AAGCATGCCATAAACATGTTATAGCAGATGTTGGATGCTGTCATGATGACTTGGCAGATTTTGTTCAGTAATATAGCAATATACTGGTAATTGTCATGAAAGATGTAGCAATATTAGAAGGTTGTCAATGTAACGTAGCAGGGTTTAAGTAAAGTGCTACCACAGATGTGGTAAAAATATTATTTCCTTCTCCAGTAAATGCCACTTATTAATAAACCCTTGCAGTCCGTGCTGCTTTGTCTTCAGTATGATGTAACTAGTGTACGGATTAATTTTAAATGGTATTTATTCTAAAACAACCTCCCCAGCTGAGCACACAGTGGCTGCTAAAACTGAGCCTTTGAATGGCCACCCAGAGAGACCATCCATATAGTTGAAATGCATGCTGCTTTGTCAAGAGAATAGCAGCCTCTGGTCATTTTCCATTGATGCAAGGACCAAAATTGCAGGTGGTCTTTTCAAGGTCAAGCATCGTGTTCTTATGTATGCTGCATAGCTTTTACACTGTGCTTTAGTTTATTTTTGCTTCAAATTCTTTATGTGAACTCCCCCGGCTGTACGTTTGTGTTATACGAAGAGAAAATGAAGGTTGCTAAGGGAGATTTTTACTGTGCGAGATAAAAAAAAAAATCAATAAGTAAATAGTTATCTCTGCAGAGTAAAGATGGCTGTGGTTTCTGTTATGCTGGATGTAGCATGGCCACAAATGATTCTCTTTTGCACACACTCCATAACTCATAACTCAAGGTCTAGAATGATTTCAGCTGGGCCATGATTCTTTTACAATGAGGCTGCTACAAATGAGACTTTTACTGATTGCCACAAAGTGAGGTTAAGGTAACAATCACAAACACATACTATTATGTATTAGTTGTTATGGCTATAATAAAAAGGAGATACATATATCTTATCATTCTGTGGGTAACACTTTACCTGAACCCTGCTTCATAACACTGACACATCCAAATGTGTAATGATATACGCTGTTTTGTGCTGTCATGACAGATTTTGTTCAATAATATAACAGTGTCATGTTATCATTACTGGTAACAGTCATAACAGATGCTTTAATGTTTGATAACAGCTTATGTGATAAATTTTGCAATAAGATGGTTCTTTAGAAAAGACAACAGTTCCGTATAGAACCATTTTGATGCTTAAAGGGTTGTTTGCGTCATAAAATGGCTTCTTTGCATTTGAAAAGGGTTCTACGTAGCATTAAAAAGACATTGTATTCTTTGTTATGATGTCAAGTGTGTAACAGTAGAAGAACGCTTTTTTGTTCTATATAAAAGCTTTTTAAAGAGGTTCTATATAGAATTCTATGCAGCACATTCTCCATCAGTCTGAAGAGCCATTTCATGATGCAAAGAACCCTTTAAGCACGCAAATGGTTCTTTGAGTGTTTATGGTTCTATACAGAACCACTGTCTTTACTAAGGAACCCTTGAAGAACCATCTTTTTTTTAAGAGTGTAGCATTTCATGACAACTGACATAAGCCTACAGAAATATTTATACAGGATTATTCCAAGTTGTCATAATGGCTGCTTTTGCCAATTTTGCTGTCATTTCTCCTCTGTAAGCGACTGGCTTGTTGAAATAAGCCTTTTTAAAAATATCTATTTAGGTTTATATCAGTTGTCATGAAAGGCTGTGCACCGTTAAGTATAGCCAGGATTACACAATATTTAATACTATTTCTGTTTCCCAATTTGAAATCAAATCATCTCATGATATTTTCTGCACTAACACAGCAGATTCTGATAATTCAGGTTTTGGAGTTTTAAAGACTTGTACAGTTTTATGCTGGATTTTTTTTACTATTAAATGTTGCTACAAATGAAAAGTAAATTTAAAACCGCATTTTAAAAATACCTGTTTAAGATATTTGCACATATACAATGCAAAACATGGTGAATGCTGTTTGTTTGAGATCTGTTATAGGTCTGTTAAAATTCAAATATTTTTTGATTAATAACAAATAATAGGTGTTATGTAAAAATACAGCAGACTCCTGTATTGAAATTACAGTTTATTATGGTAAGAGTACAGAAGAATCTAGAAGTTATGCAGGTGAGAAAAGTATACAGTTGTTATTTTACTGCTACTTGCTGTTAATATAGTGCCACGTGTTTACACCAGAGCACACTTTGTTTACACTTTCAATTACACAAAACTATTTAAGCTTTCTTTTTTTTTTTTAAGTGATCCACTCTGAAACTGTTACCTTGTTACCTAAATCTGCCTTGCCTCTGGCTCATCACAGCTACACTCATGAGCAATGCTGGCTTGTTACTGATTAATTGCTGTGTCCTTTTTTCACCTACATGCTGTAGCTGGAAAATGAATTATGACAAAACTCACATTAAAATACAGCTGAAGGAGATGCAGCATGCATGTATGTACAGTGGAGTCCAAAAGTCTGAGACCACGAATGAAAATGCTTCTACTTTGCGTCCCTCAAATTTAACACAAAGACTCTCACTACAAATTCTATTATCAGCCTAACAATTTAAATGAACAGAAGAATCTTTGAAATTTCAACACGGATTACAAAATTTCTTAATGTAAAATGTTTTTTTTTTGCTTTAATGACAGCATGCACTCAAGCAATTTTGCTTAAATTTAAGTAGTAACCAACAAATAGTGCAGAATCTTTTCATTTTAATTCTCTTCATTTTATTGTTCTTTGTTTTAAATTTTTCTAAATTCTAGTCTTCAGGTTTAAATGAACAAAAATCCCAGATTTTCAGTATGCTCTCAGACTTTTGGACCCCTCTGTATGACAGTGTAAGTGTGTGCATACTGTTTGTGTGTGTGGTGGGATGGAGGAAAGTGCTCACAGAGGAATATTTACATATTAATCTGCGTTGGCATTCCTCAAGTGTGGCTGTTAATAGGCACATTAAGCAGCGAAGAGTGATGAACAGCAAATCAATTCGTTATTGCTATTTATAAGAGCTCTCAGAGTAATCTTTCATCTCTAACGCTTGTCTATAATACCCTTTCGCCTGTCGTGTCTTAATGAAAATGATTAGAGAAACAAAAGGAGCTAATCACAGATAAGTTTTTCTGATCTAAATAGCTTGGAACAAAAAGATGAAAAAGGAACAGCCTGCACTCATCCTGGTGTGGTTCCATCAGATGTGAATTCTGGTTCTTTTGCATTAACCCTTTAAGGCCAGGGCAAAACAGCAGCCCTTTTCAACCATTTAATCTAGTCTTCTTTTTTAATAACAATGCTGTCATCGCATCTGCTTTTTTATATGTAAAGAACAGCTAACAAATCTGAAGAATCGTAGATTTTTATTTTGTGTGTCATAAACTACCACTCTGATTAAGCAAATCTATTAACTGGAGTACACTTTACCTTTCAGTCAACCTGTGATCTGGATAAAGGCAGCATTGTGCTTCTTTTATATACAACATGGTAGCACACACATTTTACTATGCTCAACATGGACATGGACGCGAACCATCTATTCTTGAGGCAAACACCAGTAATGCATTTTTAGCAATACTTTAGGAAAGATATGGTCAGTACCAGCTGTATGTAATAAGTGACATTAGCAGCTTTTAAAGGCCCCCGCAGCCACCTGGGGGTCCCCTAACAACTGCTGGGTTACTACTGTACCATTAAGTTATCTATGATGCTCAAGTGAGGGGAAAAAAGTAACTAGTCTCAAAAAAAAGCAGAAAAAAATGAGAAGATAAAGAGAAAAAGCTTAAAAATAAATGTATGTTTTGGGTTTTGTTGTGGTGTGAATATTATCCTGTAATTTTTGGCTTGTACTTGGATAACAAGAAGTAGTGGATCTGGAGTCTGTCAGGAAAAGCTTAAACAGAATTTCTGACTAAGTTTCAGACTCACAAAGCCAAATAAACACAGGCGTGGTTAACTCATTTTCTCGCTTTAAAACAGCGGTTAACAGCTTTCTCTGTTAACTTGTTAGCTCAGACTGATTAATCATCATACGTGTGCACATAAAAGCGTGGCCAACAGCCAATCATGTGAAAAATAAAGAGTTGCCAAAGACAAAGAAATCATACTTCCCAGATATTTAAAAAGTAAAGCATTTTAAACAAAAAGCAATGCTTTGCCACCAAATTTAGATCCAACTAAGCTTAAAGTTAGCTGGGTGAACAAGAAATATTGCATTGTGAGACAGAGCCCTGCATCAGGAATGCTGAGACGGTGATCTATAATTTAAAGCAGCACAATGTAATATTACATCACATTAAAGTAGCATTACTGAGTCAGGAGAATAAGGAATACACCAAAATATGGTGTGCGTGTGCTGCTGCGAGTCACCCTGTAAATCCTGAAATAAGAGGTACCAGGATGAACTTGACGAGAGTTTTTCAGACCACATCATACAACTTTATGTATGATGAGTTCTCCAAATCCCCAAATCTTACATAGTGTTGCCTTAAATTGTAACTTATTAAAAGCAATACAGTTATCCAGTAATAAACGTACATAATTTAGATAACTGGTGGTAGTCATTGTTATTAGCTAGTCTGTAATTTCACAGTATATCAGTTTGCAGAAAGCGGCCCTCAAAAAATTCTGTTCAGGGCCCCCAAATACTGGATCCAGCCCTTATAACTCCAAAGATGTAGACACAAGAACACTGAATGCTGTATATAATAATTTGAAAGTAGTTTTGCTCTTCTTTTATTTTACCATAATTCAAAATAATAAACGAGCACACAGTTTTATAAAAGCATCTAAAAAAACGCCATCCTGGAAGGCTGACTATAGTGGCTTACATCAGAGCTTAGTCCCTGCACGACATCACACTGTGAGCTGGAAAAAGCACTGCGAGTCAGGCAGGCACAGGCTCAGTGTGGACCTGTGAAGAGCCGAGTGTTGAAACAGATGTCTTGCCAGTTTGCTTTTACTAAAAATATCACTTAAGGCACTTTGACTATTACATATGTTTGCAGATTTGCTGCTACCAAGTCCACATAAATGTATTTAGAAACAGCCCAGTATGCCAGTAGGCAATGATTGAGTACACCTTCAGAGCTCATGGTAAGAAGTGTTCTCCATTGCGTGAGCAGCCGTGGGAAGTCCAGCACTGGCAGTGCCCTGACCTTTGTAAGTGATGTCTGTAACTCGTCCAAAGAAGCATTAGAGCTATGCAGACGAGAAAACAGCCAGATACAGAACCAAGAATCACTGCTGCTTCTGCAACGTCCAGTTCTAGCAGGGAAACAAAACCACTATTAAAACAATATTAATAACCATATGATGGCCTTAAAGAACCTTGTAGAAAATGGCTGGGTTGCACAGACAGGGATGAAGCTTAAACTTGGCACATTTTATGGTATCTATTAATCTACTTTAAACCTATTTAAGCACTAAACTTTAAACCTATTTTAAAGATCCTGGTTTTAGTTTTACAGTACACCTAGATTCTTACCCCATTACTTAAAACTCAGATTTAAGCGTTTAGGTGGGTATTAAGTTTAGACTTGCTTCTGAGGTGGTTTAAATTTTATATATATATATATATATATATATATATATACACACTGATCAGGCATAACATTCTTGTTTCTACTCTCATTGTCCATTTTATCAGCTCCACTTACTATATAGGAGCACTTTACAGACTGTAGTCCATCTGTTTCTCTGCATACTTTGTTAGACCCCTTTTACCCTGTTCTTCAGTGGTTAGGACCCCCATGGACCCTCACAGAGGAGGTACTATTTGGGTGGTGGATCATTCTCAGCACTGCAGTAACACTGATGTGGTGGTGGTGTGTTAGTGTGTGTTGCGCTGGTCTGAGTGGATCAGACAGCAGTGCTGCTGGAGTTTTTAAACACCTCAGTGTCACTGCTGGACTGAGAATAGTCCACCAACCAAAAATATCCAGCCAACAGTGTCCTGTGGGCAGCGTCCTGTGACCACTGATGAAGGACTAGAGGATGACCAACACAAACTGTGCAGCAGCAGATGAGCTATCGTCTCTGACTTAATAGAGTGGACAGTGTGTGGACACAGTGTTTAAAAACTCCAGCAGCACTGCTGTGTCTGATCCACTTGTACCAGCACAACACACACATAACTGCTGATTAGCTGGTGATAACTTTTGTGAACACTGTAAAAAGAGAAACCCCACAGCAACAGTATCTTACAAATGCATGTATATTTTGCAATTCCAAATTGAGTTCATATGAAGGCAATGGCTGAAAACATACTAAACATAACTCAGGTGAGGATGAGGTTTTAATAATGAGGTCTGGCATAAAACAGCGTGGGAGACTGCTATCAGGCTAACAGGTTTCTCCAGTAATACTTAGTTAGGTTTATGTACTTGTAAAGGATTTACATATAAAGTACAGGGCATGTTTCTTAAATAATGTAAAAGCTTTAAATGCCCATGTGTAAGAACTCCTGTAAATATTAAAGCCAGTATGAAAAGGGTTTGATGCCAATGTCATTTAATGATATGCACGGCTACCACATGTTTATGTATTTAAAATACTTTATTTAATATTTAATTTAAATTAACAACAGGTTTTGTTTACAATTTAAGCTGTCTTCTAAGGGCTTTGCTCAACCTAGCACTGAGCCTGGGTCTAAACTCAGTTGACTGTTTAGAGGTCTAAATTCTTTCTTTGCCTGTGAGAGCTTCTTTTGATGTAGTTTTGATGTGCTAGTTTTCACTCAAAATGATATTAAAAATAATGATATTGAATTTATCATGGCAAAGAATCAATCAAATCATAGGTCAAGGTTTTATTCACAGATCAAGGTGTTGTTAATAGGCCTACAGATTTAAAATAAGCTAGATTTTAAATAAAACCATTACTTACCTCACCTTAATCCCTGTTGGTGCAACTCAGTGTCCAAGTGATTCAAACAATGTATTAATTACCTGCTGTTTCTATGATGGCAGAATCATCTGCCTCTTTCAAAACAGGCCCAAAAGAAATGCGATTTCCAGTACTGCTGAAGAGAACCTCCCCATCGTCAGTATAATGGGCATTTCTGTGCTGTTGACACTAAAGGCAGCAATGAAAGAACCCATAATCACTCCATTCGCATTTAGTGCCTAAAAACTGAATTACAACAATTCTAGATATAAAACATCTTTTGTGTTTCAGGTCTGTTTCAGGCTGCAGGACTGAGAGCGGTGGGTGACATGAGGCTCATAATTTTACATTTGATGGAGTAGAAGCTAGAAAAAGGCCATGCTGATAAAAGACTAGGAAAAAAAGTTGCCATCAAAAGAAGCAGAGTAATGATGGGTAGAAAATCTTGCGCGAGAAATCGTGGGACCTGGTCATGAGTGATGAATGCTCTCCAGGGTCTTATTGCTCTCAGAGAGAGTGAGGCGGCCGAGACTCACCCGTTCACACTCGGAGTTGTTCCTCAGGCACACGCTCAGATCACAGTGTAGGTAGGCAGTGGAGTAGTTAATCATCTGGAAAAGACTGATGGTGAAGCTGGCTCTTTTTGACAGAACAGTGGGAAGCAGGTGGATGCCTTGTGGATCTATGGGTAACCTGGTGGATTGCACACAAGACAAACATGATATTAGGAGAAATGAGCAACTTCAGACATAACATACATTGTGAAAGTAATGAAACCTGTCAAGTTATGCACACACATGGACAGCGCTGGAAACACAAGCAACATCTGCTCGCGTTCATGCTTACATATCAATACGGTATGGCTCCTTGTATCTTCTCTGCAGTAAAAAAGCTTCAGAGACACATCTAAAGTGAACAAACTTCTGGCAAAGTGTGCTCTGTTCTGCAGTATGGCTTTTATGCTGAAACTTTTAAGTCTTTTAAGGCATACACTTTCATGTTGCTGTACATTCTGTGGACTTACAATCACTGTTACCTTTGAATTTCATAAGAGAAACAGAATTTCCCTTAAAAAAGCATGTGTCTTCAACTGAAAATCAGAGGTGAATTATTAGCAGCTTGTCTATAAGACACTGGCTTAAAAAAAAAAGATTAGGGACATGGTAGGGACTCTGTATCTCTAATGAGGACACACTACTGACTGCTGGCTTAGTTCTTCTGTAGCACATCATTACCACTGCCTAAACTCCGGCGTGGGGAGTAGACATGGTGTACTGGCAGAGGTGAACACCAAGGACAAAAACATCAGCTATTTATTGCACAGCTCACAATAAACAAAACTTAGTGTTAGATCCAACAAGACCGTTAGACTGAGGGCATTTACAGCTTTCTACAATCAAACTCTTTGAGGAGAACTTTTGCTCTGCCAGTGCTGTTCCCCAGTGATAAGCCGGCGTCGGTTCAGGGGTAGCTATTTCCCACAAGCAGCGGGAGTGCTGATTTACACATCGCGCCCATAAATATGTGAGATATGGACTCCATATTCTAGGAGCATTAAATAGATTTGGCTAAATTCGACAGCAGAGAGGGGCATAAGTCTTTTAAAGCGATGCTTTACCTGGAAAACAGGCAGCAGGTGGTGTTGAACTCATCTAGTCTGACTGTGGGTGAGAGACAGCAGGACTTTATCTCCAGGTTCACCTGGGTGTTATTTGTTTTCAGGTTGATGACGACATGCAGGTTTCCAAGAGCAGGGACAAGATCTCCTGGCATGATATCTCTCTCCAGGGTCAGACGCATCTCTGCTGTGTAGTTTCCACTGCCGCAGATGTCATCGGAGATCTGGGCCAAGCTTAGACAACAAGTTAGGTTATATGACTGCACTTGTACTATGTATATGTATATGCAGAAAGGAACTACAGCACATTATGACATTCACCTTGAGCACATTGGCAAAGCATCACTGAGCTGTTTTTCCCCTGGAGATAAACCTCCTGCAGTGACTTTATAATTGGTTTTATTAATAACAGCTGTATAGTAAAATATGAGTGTGGATTATAATCTTCCCTTTTATTCCAGTATAATACAGTTACTACCGAGTCCTCTGGCTGCTTGCAGAAAACAACTTATACATTTATCTTAGATTAAATACTTAAGGGATAGATTTACCTAAGATAAGGGGTACTTAAGGGCATTGTATTAAGCTTCTTAACTGCTCTTCTTAGTTAAGAGCTATTCTTAAGTGTTTTATAGCACCGTTCAACAAACACACAAAAAAGAAAAACATCTGCAAATCAAACAAAGAATCTGCTGACTGTCCATCCCAGAGTCCACACCTTAGCATCACTGAATGTATCAGTGTTTACTTGGATCATGAAAAGCAGAAAATGCAGTCAACGTCTAAGACTGAACTTCGGGGGTGTAGAAAGTTATCCCTGCTGGTTTCTTTGAAAAACTGTTGTAATTATGGCAAAAGATGGACACACTGACAAATGTCATATTACATTTAGCTGCTGAGACTTAAGTGTAATTTTTTTGTTAAATATATTTGTGTTTTTTCTGATGCTGAAAAATGAATAATTTGTACTTAATGGCCATTTTCACTGTAAATAACAGACATTATTATTATTATTATTATAGGAAAGATGTGAGTTAATGAAATTAATACATGTATTGATAAGGCATAGTAACACAAACAGAGTGCTTAATTCTAAAGGTTAAAAAAGAAAATGAAAGATGGTGATAAGGTGATGCTTAAACCCACACATGAAAAATATAGGATATATGCCATTTATATATCTCCATAAAGTGATTTTACACAGTTCAGTAGAGGTAAATGGGCAAGTAAATGAAAACTTAAGGCCACAATTCACTCAAAATGTTTTAGACAAGTGGACATTGATCAGAAGGTAAACTGTCATACTCACCCACTGAGGAAATCCGGTGATGCAATCCTCATCCTCCTCTGCATCACTGGCAGGTCTGGCATCAGCTCAGTTGACTTTGCCAGGTTTGACTCAAATGGGAAAACAGTGGACAGGTCACTTTCACTTTCTTCCGATAATTGCAATGAACTTGCTTGGGGGTATTTTGTTGCTGTTATCTCTGAGCCTGCCATGCTTACATCCGTGTGGCCAATGGCAAAGAATGTGCCCTCAGTAATAGATGGCAGTGTGGTCTGCATAAAGCGTTCCTTTAGTACCTTTTCTTTTACATGTGGATGCGATTTCAACATGGTTAAGTAATCTGTTAGGCTTTTTGATGGGGTTACAGGCAGTGAGTGTATGTTGAACAGTTTGTTAGGACCACCAGCATGAAGGGTGGATTTCACTGAGCCTGTGGTTGGTTTAGGTGGTGGAGAAGTCGCTGGGTTCAAGGTCAGATGTTTTACAGCTGAAATGTTTATGGTGTGCCTCTTCATAGCTTGTCTGGTGCTGGGGGCTTGGCTTGATGCTGCCTGCTGGAGGTGGTCTCCTGCAGATGCTGTTTGATATGGTAATAGTGGGCCATTAATGTCCTTCCCATTTGATACAGCAGCTATGATGGATGATAAAGTAGAGCTGAGTGAACTTGCCTGATTAATCGTCTGTTCAACCGTTTTTGGAGTTTCAGCAGTAGCAGGGGAAGCCAAAGGTTGAGTAGACAGAAAACTCTCAATGGCAGCTGGCGAAACAGATGCGTTCATTTGGCCTTCAGTAGTTTTCTGTAAATCCTGGCCTCGACTTTGAGAGGATGACACAATGTTTTGCAGTGGAACTGTTGCAGGGCTCCGCTTCTCGTTTTGCATGCTAACAGTGTTCTGACTATTTTGGTCAAGTACCTCTGCACCAGTGGAGCTTTCTACTTTCATTACAGCTGACTGATTCTGTTCAGACCGCTGTTTTAAGGGTGAATGTGTGGAAAGCATCCCATTAATATCCATTTCTTCTTTACTCTTTCGGTCACTCTCATTTTTCATAGACGTCGGAACATGTACGCTATCACTAACTTGGTTTTCTTTGGCTTGTTCAGTCATTAATGTCTGATTTGTAAACATATCTCTACTAATTACACTTCTCTCAGTGATTTCTAGCCTTGAAGCAACACTTACTCGACTTGGATGTGAGACTGAATCTTGCAACGAGCTGTCTGGCATCATTTCACGTAATGCCTTTTTATGTGATAATGTGATAAAGAAAAGCTCAGACTTTTCATCCAGATAAGAAGCCATGGCAAAGTTTTCTGCCAAAGTGGTTGGTGGAACATTGGTATTATGCCTTTGAGCAGCAGGGCTCAGAGAGGGCACAATCAGAAGCAAAGTACTTCCTTTATCAGGCCCTGTCCTGGTAAAATGTGTGAAAGAGGAATTTGCTGAACCTTTTCCTGTTACTGGCCAGGTGTTTGTGGTCCTGATTAGCCTATCAGAGTGCAATGCTGGCAGTTTGGGAAACACAGTGGGCTCTCTATTTTTGTTGGCGGGATGGAAACTTGTCGAGACTTGCGCTTTTTTAAATTCCTGAAAAGTCACAGATTTAGGTGTAGATGCAGAGTGCCCGAACGGCAAAATCAATGGGTGTTCTTTGAGGACATGGGCGGACTGAAGCAGTGTGTGGCCGGCTGGACTTGATAGGAAAGTCAAAGGCTTTGCGCTTCCCGTCAGGGATGGAAATAGAAGCTGCTTGACAGGACTGTAAGTGACAGCATGACCTTCAAAGATTAGTGATAAGTTCTGTATCTCCCTCCGAGGGGTCTGCAAGGGAGTTGTGGGTATTTTCTGCAACTCATCAGGGTGGTCTGATGTAACTGAGTGATGCATACTGTTGGAAGGAGTGATCAGTGGGTTTGGGGTCAGTTTAGTTACAATCCCTCTACTGGGCATTGTTGACTCTGAATCCCTTTTACTCTGAGTAGATACAGTCATAACTGTCCCAGCTACTGGTGTGGTGCTAGATGCATTGGACAGTTCAGTTGTGTTATGTATTAGGGGTAATTTGTCAGAGTTTTTATTCACTTGAGGGTATGAAGTTCTATTTTCAATAGAAACTTTGCAGCAGTGTTCAGACATTTGGAAAAAATGGCTGTCGGTGGATGAAATGTTCTGAGGGGCTATGAGGACATGGTTCTCAGGATGAGTGGCATTTTTAACTTTGATTAAAACAGATGGTCTGTCTGTGAACTTGACTGGGAGGACAGTTAGAAACTTGAGTCTTTCCTCATCTTTGACTAGAGTGCTACTTTGAGATGACTGAACTGTTTGAGAAGGCGAGTGGATTGTCGATCCCACTTGGCTGTGTACAGCTGATGCGCTCGACAGTTCACCTTGGCTTTCATCACCCGCAGACACAATTCTTTGCAGCAAGGTGTGTGTCAAGGGTGAGGTTACGGATGATCTTGTTACATGCAGTTTGCCAGTCTTTGGAAAGGGGACCTCTGAAGGTTCGGAAAACTTGGAAACATAGAGCTTCTCACCCATAGCATCAGTGTACACCCTCATTATGCTTGCGTGGCCTTTGGTGGTGAGCGATTTAGTGCTTTCTGCTGTTTCTTTAACTACCTCCTGGCTAGACGACTCCAACAGTAATGGAGTGTCGACATCAAAGATAGCATTGTGACGGGTCACTAAGCTCAGAGTGGGCATATTTTTCTGGCCCGACTGCCCATCTCCATGCTTTTGGGCAACGATTTTAACTCCAGCGGCACTACCCTCAGTGTCTAACTGTGTTCTGTTCTGCACAGCTGTCAGACGAATTATTGTGGGGCTGCCCTTTTGTACAAAAGTCTTTTCTCCATCAGTGAAGATGGCATTCAGAGGGTTAGTGGTTCCCAGTGACTTCAGAGACCCATTTTCGTTTATGCTTTTTCTTTGTCTTTCCACTGTCTCAGTTGCCTCCCCAAGGTTATCAATTACTGCTGGATCAAAAGCTGATAGCATGGGAATGCTCTTTGCAGGCAAAAGAGTAATAGACTCTGCGGCTCTTTGATTCTTGCTATTAAGTGGAGCGTGAAGCGAAGCTGCGATCTTTTCCCTGCCTCTGGACAGATGAGCAGCAGCCGTCATGGTGCCGTTCATCACTAGCCCAGATCCAGCCTGCGCCGAAGTTACAACACTCTCCCCTTCTTTCTCCTCAGAGATCAATGGCAGATCTGCTCCAGAGGCTAACAGCACAGCTGACGTGTTATCCTCACCTGAGGTAAATAAACCTGACCCATGGTTTGAAACAAACCTCTCGTCTCTTGAGCTAATCACCTCTTCAGCAGCAGCAGTCATAGCGTTTACAGTAGTTGAGCGGTGCCTTTCATGTGGCGCATGGAACAAATCTGTCCCTGGAGAAGCGATTAGAGCCATAGTGAGGCGAGGGAGGCTTTCGGTGGAGGCTTTCCTAGTGTTGTAACCAGAGTTGTTTTGGTCTGTTGATGGCAGAGCAGCTGGGTAGGTTGTGCTCTCAGTTTGCAGTGACTGGTAGTCTTGAAAGTCCTCATTCTGAGCGTTAACTGAGTAAACACACAATCACAACTTTAAAATGCAGACAAATCTCTGTCATTTTATGCTAAAAAATAAACTATTTACAATTTTTCTGGATACAAGCACAGGTGGAAAGCATCAAATTACACTTACTCTCATTATAGTACTTGAGTACATTTTCCCCATAAAAAGGTATTTTTTTAGTATAATCAAATTCTAGTGATTTTACTTGAGCTAATCTTTAATAATGTATTTACTTCACTGTTTAATTATTAAAAAACATACACCAGTAGTAGTAATACACTAGTAGTTAGTGCTGTGGCTAGCTAGCTAGCTAAACCTACCAACTTAAATGCTGTTGTGTGTTATATTGCAAGTGGCTGACAGCTAGCTACTCTAGTTAATGTAAGCTAATGTACAAGGGGCTAATGGGCAGTATGGCCCATATTTAGACTAATCTGTTTTAAAAAAGCCATAATTTAACAGTAACAAACCACAGAGTCTTTCAGGGATTCTAAACTACTTCACTGGAAACAAGGAAGCCTTATATACAATCATCTAATTATGAAATGCATGTAGTTCACCAGTTCACAGAAGGATGTGAGCATACTCTGATCTGTGATCAGTCTCAGGACTGTAGCCAACTCATTGCAGATATACAAAAAAGTAACTCAAAGTAATCTCATCAACAACTTATTGTACTCAATTATCATTACAGTTACAGTACTTTTACTACAGTAGGGATTTTCAGTACTCACCCCTGTATATAAATGTTTCTTAAACACAAAATATTTTTTTGTCCAAGACATAACATATGGTTTGCTTTTTACAACCATATGATCAAGTTTCTCACGACACATGTTGTGAAGGCCATCTAATAAATAACTTAACATTCTAAATATTTCAGATATCAAATTGCAAATTGAAACTGCATTAATATGTAACCGCAGTGCATTTGCATTTGCATGTTTGCAATGCATGCTTCATTTCCAATTTTACTTAGTCTAATAGTTCTTTGCTCTTCAGAATGTGAAAATTGCAACTGCAACGTTCATACATTTCATCATGAAAGCTAATAACTATCCGAAAAAGCAAACTCCAGTACATACCTGTAAGTCCAAACACGAAAAAAACAAAACTCAACTCCATAATTACCAATCCTCTATTGCCACTACTGCTGTATGTGAACAGAACATTTTATAAAAGCTCCAATGCTATAAAAACAGCTACTTTAATCTCATAATAATAATCCCAGTAAACATGAAACTTCTGAGAGACCACTGTACTATTGTACTGCTCATCACATCCTGAATGGCTTGCCTCCCTCTCAGCTCATTTATACTTAGATTAGATTACTGACAAAACAAGAAAAGTAGCTCTGTGCGAACATTTTCATTCATCACTCTGATTATGTATCTTCTGGGTATTATTTTCCATCGGTGTCTTAACTTGTGTGAGCTGCGTTGATAAGCCAATACTCACATAATCCATTATTAAATAGATTCATGGCCTGCCAGTTTTCCAGAGTTCTACTAATGAGCTTATTCAGTTTGCAGTTTGACTGAGGCTTGGTTAAATAAGCCCTTAGACACAGAGACCCAAAACATTGACTTGCTTGACTTTATAATCACCTTTATGTCATTTGCGATCATTCAGTGGTGCTGTTTGAGAACAAGGCTTTGCACTTGAATGAAAACTGACATCCCACAAAGGCCAAAGAAAACAACACTGATGTCATCTTTGTTATCTACGCTCGACAAGACTATTACAGATAGTAATAGACTCCTTGCAGATGACATCAGCAGTATGAGTGGGTTACACCAACATGGATTAAGCTCAAACTTGGACTAAATCAAGGTTTATCTATTTATCCTGTTGTAGCAAACTTTAAACCTAGTTATAAAATAATCAGGATTACATTTAACCCACAGTACATTACCAGATTTAAATAAAATTTAAATCATGTTGCACCTTTACTTTAAACACAGATTCAAACTTAATTTAGGATTAAGTTTAAACTTCCAATGTAGGTGGCTGTAATTTACAAAATGTGTTTAAAAATTGGTGTTCACTGAAGGATAGAAATTCTCTAAGTAAAACTATATATGGGGGGAGGACCTCAGAAGACATGCTCATGACTCACATGCTCACTCACTGATGGTTAACTGTTCTCCCTACAAGCGGTGCTATTAGCAATCAAGTAGCTGTTGTGTGCAACACTGAAATAGAAGGAAATAATCTCAGTAGCAGGATCTTACAAATGCACAAGGATCAATGACATGGTTTTGAAAATTACAATTTTTAAAAATCTTATTAAAAAAGACATGCATTTTTTATCTGCATATGTATTTGCATTCATATACATGTGCATTTTATATCTTACAGTTAGTGTTAACAAAGTTCTAATTGCCTATTTCAGATATTTGTGCTGGTCTGGTTGCACCATTTGACTCACTGGTTGTGCCACCTGACTTTTCAGACTAATTTCGAATTAAACAGGAATCTGCTTAGACACTTGTAGAACCCTTTGTTCTTGAAATTCAGTTTATGTAAAAACATTATTATACAAATTAGATATTTACATAGTTTTCACCATAGTCACACCACTTGACATGGTAAACTATTCTAACCATGACTCAAAAATGACTTTCAAAATTTGTGAAAGGGCTACTGACTTTGGCACTTCACCTTGAAAGTCACTTTGGGTCTTTATGCAATACCCTGGGCCCTCTTTCGTAGAAGCATGTCGAAAAGGCTTTTGTTTTTGCCACGTAACATTTGAGGAAGTAATAACTTGCGGACAAAAGTTTTGCAGCGAGTTGAGTGCTTTTAAAAGGTTTCAATTTAGTTTTTAAACATGAAAATCAAACTATTTTATTTAAAAATTTATATAACTAAATTACCTTTTTTGATAGTTTACTTAATTGGATGGTTGCACTTCCTAATATTTTTAGACTTTTGGAGACAAAAAGAAACTAAAACGAATTTTATATGGATGCACTAAAAATTGCTTCACATAAAACAGGTAATGTTGAATAATTTGATATATGTCACATATTTATTATATTATTTTTGGGGGAAAATAATGGACTGGCACAAAAAAATGCATGTCATGTCAATGACTGAGGTACATTTTGCAGTTACAAACTGCATGTAAATGAACAAAACAGCTGAAGACAGACTAAATATACTCCAGGTAAGAACACTGTTTTGTTGAAATATTTGATCTAGCATGAACAGCTTGGCAGATAGCGAACAGGCGAACAGGCTATTCTAATAATAGCCTGTGTCAGAGCTTTTCCTGTACAACTGCAACTTACTGATTAATAGAGTATTTGTAATTAAAATAGTTTGATTCAAATTATCAGCAGGGTTTATATATAATTTAAGCAGTATTCTCAGTCTGTTTAAACATCTGCCTTTCCTCCTGTTAGCTGTTAATTTTCACTTAAAATGAAGCAAAAAAAGTATAAAGAATGATTAGTGTTGAGAGCAGTGTTGTTACTGTACATTCATACTGTTGAACCCATCACAGCAGACAAAGTTAACTGAAGATTAAGCCTTTAATTGCAGAGTTGTTAATCCATGTTTAAAATTAAGTGGTGCAACACAACTCGATTTAAAAATCTAGATTAACAAGTCTTGATTAGCTCTAAACTATGCTTGTTGGGGCACCCCACCCCATGTCAGTCTGAGGTCTTGTCCAATGTGAAATCACTCCAGCTCACTTTCCTGCATGGATTATTTGAGAGCAGGCTCATTAAATTTGCTAACCTGTGCATCTGCTAGATTGTTTTCCATGATACAATTTCCAGAAATTGTGAGCATGGGCTCATAATTGTTCACCAGTGTCCAGAGACTACCAGGCTTCCGTTTCATTAGAATGAACAACCACGTTTATTCATCATTAAAATCCATATACAAAAAGCTATTATTTCTCCATTTGGCAACAGACAGAGGAAAATGCAATCAAACTATACAGACTTGCGAAGTCAGTCATTCAGGAAGGAAGAAAATTGAAACATGAATTGTCCTTGGGCAGCATGTAATCTAGTGCACCGGTGTCAACCCCCTTTAATTAAAATGAATACAGGGAACAGCTGCATAATAAAGGCCGGCCTTGGGTAGCGGAGGTTTATCTGTGAAGATTGTCCTGGTTGCAAATCTCAGGGCGGCGCCCCAGCACCTGTGCATGTTTGCGTGTCTGCATGTGGCTGGGGCTTGAAGAATGAATGGGAGGAGGGGGCTTACGTGATCAATTTCATACAGGAGTGAAGGATCTCCAGGCCGTGAAGCTCCCTGAGTTTTGCCAAGTGCCTGCAAGTAAGACCAAAGCACAGTCATCAAACAACCAAATGGTTTTCTTGCTCAGTGCAGCTATACAATCACCTGAAACAAGAAAAGAAATGCAGAGGTTGAACACTAACTTTAAACAAGCTTTTAAAAAAAAGTCACATCAGCAGTCTGCTTTGCACATAAACAAGGCTGAATGTAGATCCATTTTATTTTTACATGGTAACTTCGGCTGATGTATGGCCCCTGCTATAGCCCAATTTGTCTAAAACGCTTATTTCCCAGCATCTATTCCGGTCTTAGTTATTGAACTCTGTCCTAAACAGACTCTCTCTCACAGCCAAAGTGTGTCAGAGACAAGGCAGCGTCTCCTCTGAGAGGTGACAGGTTCTCCACTGCAGAAACTTGGTCTGCCAAGAGTTTCTACTGAATTACATCACACTGTCTGAGATCAGTTTATTGTTGTAACGTCTTTGGTGGAGCACTGCGAAAACATAAAATAGACCTATATGGAGGAAGGAGAGCATGCTTTTGATCCTGTACTGTGGCTAGACAGTGCTGTAAATCAGTTGTCAATTTACAGTAGGGTGCTGAAATGTCTAATACCTTAAAACAGTGACTATTTCTATACGCCCTAATACTAGCAAACTGCCTCAGTCATGTATGTAATAGACATAAGACTTTTCTTTTGCAGTTAACAAAAGTGTAGAAGTGTTAAAAGAATTTCAAATGCATCCCCATGAATTAATGCCCTGTATCTGACAGCATGTGACCGTGTTAACTGACTTCTTAACAAAGTAACTAAGGCCTGGTTTACCAGACATAGATTAAACAGTGTTGGACTAAACTGACTAAAAATTATGACTGACGTGTCTCTCAGCCACTCAATCCTCTTAAAAATATTCCATCCACCATGAAAAAAAAAAGATTTCTAACAAACTCACAGTAAGAATGGCAGTGGCAGTAAATTGGCCTGAATTAACAGACTAAGCAATGGTGGACAAGTGATACTGAGTAACATAAGCCATCTCAATCAGCAGGAGGGTGTTGCTGTTTGTTTTATTCCTGAAGCTGAAAAAAAGATTAAAGCTATGTGGAAAATCTGTCACAGTTCTGCGAAAAAAAAACATTAACAGACTTACACTGGCTATAAGGCAAGCTAAACTTTATCTGGGTTACTGTATTTTCTGAAATCATTTTAATGAGGCCTAAGGATAAATAATATTACAGAAAAATGTTAAGATCAGTAAGCTAACACTTTAGCTGCTGTTAGCTTGATCAATCAGGTAGATTAAATAGGACTGTGCAGTGTTCACATTCTTAATGACAGTGTGTAACGATAATATTAATGCACTCAAGCACATGCCATTCTTTGTATAGTTTCATTAAAATTTGCTAAAAAACCTTTTAAAGATGAGTCCTCCTCAGCACAGACTAGCTCCAGTGTTAGCTTTAGCACTAGCTCATCTGAATTGGTAGCTTCTGTCCCTAAAACCTCCTCCTTATTAAAGACAAAAACCAGCCGCTTTAAATGTTGAGTGACTAAACAATTTCCTTAGTTTGATTAATATAATTATGGTTTCCAAATTATTTTTTGTTTGCTTTGAAGATGAATTCCGATGCTTTTTCGAAATCTGTATAACCCAGTGGCTGAGATGTAAGCAAATTCACTCTAGATAAACTTAGAGACTCAATTTTCTTTACAGTAGCAGTGATAGGAACTAGGGGTTACATTATCTGCAACACAAATATAGCCATTTAATTTACTATACAAAACCATCAGTGAACCTACACGTCTTCTGAGTTTAAGTAATGTTTACAAAATAGTGGTAAATCTGAAAAAAAAAAAAAGTTTTTCTGGGAATTTTTTTGCCTTATATCACCTTGCATGTAACTCTACACCATGAATGTATTTAAAATTATATGTTTTATGTACGTTCCTATCACCACCACTGCAAACAATTCTTTGTAAGTTTCTCTAGAACAGAGTATTTTACATCAAGCCATTCTGAATGACTTTACAGTTTAACCATACAGATCCAGTATATCTTAACTCACTTTTACCTCTGAAAAACTTGACATAGCCTACTGTCTTCCCTTTTTTTCTAGCATTTTTATGCTTTTTGGTGGAATCTTCATTTGAATAAAAAATGAATTCTCATTCTTCCTACAGACCATAACCGGGCTAAACCAGTCAACATTCACTGAGGGACCCACTGGAGAAGTGACAGAATGTGCTACTGGCACTGTATCTGAAACGAGTCATTTAATGATTATTTAATGACATGTTTCAATTAAGAATCTTTCAGGAAGCCTAAAAAAGCCACAATCTTTGCAGGCCTGTCTTTTCAGGGCACCTCTTAGTGCACCTAATGAACTGGTTACTCAGTTCATTAGGTGCACTAAGAGTATATAGGCCTTCCACAAACTGTAACTTTGTATTTACTTATTAATTGCTCACCTTTGCTTTTCATTGTATATAATAATGTATAAAGTGGTAAGGAAGTGGTGATGCGCACAGGTTGGAGCAGCTGTCAACTCTATTTGTTATTATAATCAGAATGAGGGATCGTCTAGCTGCTGGTGTACCTGGGCTCTGCCTTACACAGCTTCCCCAGAGCGATGGCTGCGTTCTGCTGCACGGCCGCTCTCGTGGCCTCGCCGGCAGCGTGGCGAAGCAGGAGCGACACACAGTCTGTGCCGAGGAGACTAGCAGCAGCTCCCTGCACCGCCAAACAGTGTCCCAGACACAGAGCTGCATTCCCCACTACTATCTCATCGCTGCTGCCCAGGAGCTTCCTCACAGTCACCAGCTCTGAATAAACAAGCGTGTGTACCACACAAGGTGAAGCCCACAAACATACACACAAAGTCACTATACAGTCACTGAAACTTAATGTAGAACATTGTATTCTATACCACCCTCCAAATACACTTTCCCTGGCCTTCAATACGCACTCTTGTCAAACTTAACCAGCTCTTCACAGGCCTGCTGGCTGGAGGCGGTGCACACCACAAGAGCTTTAATGGAGTATCTTGAGCTTGTCAGTCCTGCTACCTGACAGAACGAAGAGAAGCACTTATCATTTCAGCAAACTTCACAGAGCTTTAACAAAAAATAGTCTGCTGGATCACAATAATATTCTGTTCTTTTGTCAGGCTTCAAATATTGTTTAAAAAACCAACACAACAAACAAAACTAGCCCACAGTGTGCATGTGTCAGAGGTGCTAAAACTACAAAACTAAATTCCAAAAAAATTTAAGACAGTATGTAGAATGTAAATGCATCCTGACCTGTTGGAGCAATTTAAGACTTAGAACTTTCTGAAATGTTCACAAAATATTTAAACAGGTGATGCAGTCAGAGTCCTTTATAAGCAAGGATATGCCGAGGCTCACTGTGCATAAAAACCAGCACGCTTCTGTGACATATCAACACGTAGGCTCGGGACAGCTTTCAGACACCACTGTCTGTTATGGTGGGGAGCTGGGGGGGGTGCTAATATGGTTTGTGCTAATATGGGGAGAAGGTGTGTGGGGGAACAAAAGGGATAGTGCTTTTGTGATACACTGAGGCATCAGCCTGTGCTAGATTCAAACCACCCATCTATGTATTGGTGGTGGCTGCATTTTACCAGCGAGGTATGAACACATGGAGAAACCACTTTGAGAAAGAGTGGGAAAATGATGGTGGGACAGGGCAAACAAAGAAAACACAGAAACAAAAACAAACAAAAACACATCGATTACAAGACCTTTTCCCTTCATGAACGAAGGAAGCTTTCTTTTCGTTCCTGAAAGATCAGAGTCCTGTGAATTAACCACAGAACAAAGCTGAGTTCTTGACTGTTCAGCTCAGCTTTCTTCTCTGTTTTTTTCAGATCTCTTTTGCTTTTAACTGAATTTCTCTTTTCTTTCCCTTCTCTTTTCGTCTTTCCTTTTCTTTTCTTTTTCTCAAATACAAACCTGTCTGCAGTACCGTACCATACCATTCACCCCCCTACAAAGGTGCAACAGAGAACCGTTGCTGCCATGGGCTTTTAAGTTGAGCCCAGCAGGTGTAACTGCTCAGTGCTAATTAGCGCTGGGGATTCTGGGACTTGGAGTTCTTTGACTCAGATCCACCAGCTCTCCTACTGCACCGACTCAGCCCCCTGCTGGCGACTGGTGGCACTGGCTGACCCCTTACACTGTCAATAAACACTTTTCATAACTGCATCCATAAATGCAAGTTATATTGTGTTTTTGTACTGTTTTCAGTTTAATTCAAACATAATTAAGTCAAACAGAATTTACTAAACACTGTTTTCTGTTTTATTAGCGTTTCATGTACTGTTCTGACTTTTGGAGCTATTGGACTTACTTTCAGAATCTTCAGAAGTCTCTTCACCACTCCTTGCTGCACAACTTCCTGAGTGGCAGCAGCCGACCTTGGAAGGACCACACTCAGCAACCCGGCAGCTCTCTGAAACCAAAGACAAAAGTGCAAAAGTCAATCCTCTGTAGCATCAACACCAGTCTCAAGGTGCACGCTTAAGATGGTTAGAGCGTTTTAAAGCAGTCTTGCAGCCACTCTGTACTTTGTGACTCCTTGTCACAACTCCTGTTCAGGTCTTATCTGAGTGCTGAAAAGCTGGTACGTAAACAATCCACTCCATTATTCAACAGACAGGCGAGCCAGAGCACAACTGTTTCACCATAATTGTACGCAGAAAAACAGCTTGGGAGTTATGATCTGCCAACATAGCAAAGCCAGGAATGCAGCGTGTGAAGCTTGATTTACATAGTCAGAGGAAATTGTCTCTGGTTTTATGCCTAGAGCCTCTACATTAGCCATTATGTAAATACTTCCTTGCATCCCGAATAAAATTCCCCAGTGCTTTTATTGCTAACCAAGAAAAATACATTAGCATATTTAGGAAGCCAAATTTTCACCACGCTGTAGTCATACAGTACTATGCGAAAATCAGACCACCCTTATTTCTTTAATTTCCAAGTTTTCTGTATTTCATTTGTCCACCGTTCAGCTTTATTACAGCTTCCATTCTTTTCAGATTTGCTTTCAGTTTTCAAAGAAATCTTCAGGGATAATTTTCCACAACTTTTTTCCACACCAAGTTCAGTCTTAAAAGTTGGTTGCATTTTCTGCTTCTTACAATCCAAGTAATCCCAAACACATTCAATGATGTTGAGGTCTGGACTCTGGTGTGGCCAGTGCGTTGTTTTGAGCACACCACCAGCTCCTTTGTTTGATTTGCAAATATCCTTTTCTCTATAACAGCTTCTTGACATCTACACATCCTTTCAGACCCATAGTGTTGAGTTGTCTTCTCACAGTGGAAGGACGGACAGAAACATCTGTGTTTTTTTTTTTTTCAAATCTGAAGCAAGAGTGGAGCTTGATCTTTTCCTCTCTCCAGTTGTGAGTGAAATTTGATGGTCTACTGGAGTAATTTTAACACTGCAGAGCTGTCAGCGTGCATCTAATCCTTAATCATTGGTCATTAGTATGTTCAGAAGCATAGAAAATGACTCATATTAACACATAAGCTGTAGTTGAGAATGACCAGTTGTTCTTCGTGAATGGGAGCTGGGAGATTGCTAACATTAGAGCTAAACTGATTTTATGTTGGCTTGGGCAAAAGCACACAAATCCACTTACCGATATGATGCCTCCGTCCGGATCACTCATCAAGGCCACACACTTGCTGCAGCCCACTACAGCATGCTCCTGTGTGATAAACACCAACACACTCACCAAACTCTCAGTGCAAGTGTTCTCTCAGTTTCCTCCAGACAAACACTAAGAGTACATTCTGTCCTGTTCATTCCGGCCCACCATCCTCCCTTTCTCTAAATAAATCAGTGTGTTAACCAGTCTCAGCCAACAATATCCCCTAACCCTGCTTACTTGGATGACAGGAGTGGGATTAGAGGCTATGTTGATCATCAGGCCCAGGAGTGGATAGAGAATGCTTTTGTATTCACAGCTAGCACAAGGCCCCTGGAACGAAAAACATTATTTCATCTTGACACTACAAAAAATTAAATGTGTGTCCTGTGACGTTGTAGTGATGTCAAAAGCATTTTTTTATATTTCACAGTTTGCACCATGTAATGCGAAAAGAAGCTCAAAACTCATCATCAAAATTCAAGCCTGTAAAACGTTATACATTATTCAGTGATGTTCAAGGACAAACTATCTGGACGAGCCTTTCTGTCAAGAAAGTTATCGCATTAAATCAAATTTACCATGGCACTAAAAGAGCTCTTCCAAAACGCTTCACAGCTTGCCATCTTGTTGCTAATAGCTTCATCCCGACACATGGCCCCAATCACAGAAATTAAGGAGAGGAGCAATTCTTGGCTGGGTGCTGATATATTTCCCTAGGCATGAAGAGAAACACTTCAGAAACGTTTATAAAATCTTTAAGATGTGAAAGATTTAAGATATCAAATACCTTACCAGCAAATGCTCAAAAGGAGTAGCAAAAACTTGGGTAAAGTTCTCTCTGAACTGCATTTGAAACCTGCAAATAAAAGGACAAAAGGACTCAAATATAAGCCTAGATTTCTGTTGTTCCTCACATAACCCTCTAACCTGCACACTGAGCTTTGGGCTTAGAAGTCAACCAGAAATATTATCCTACTGTGAGCACTGATCCAGGCAGAGCTTTTAAATCTTGAATTACTGACTTGTGCACTTGCCCACTGCAAGCAGAAAACAGGACTCTGTTTTCAGATTAAATATTTGACTCTTTATCAGTCAATTTACCCAGGATATTACTTTTGCTTGTGAAGTGACTCACAAATAACTGACGTCCTGAGTGGCATACAGTCTTTCATGATGGCAACAACACCAACTATACAATGAGCTTGTGGCTGAACCTTGATTGCCCAAGATGTCCAGGTGAAGGTTAGCGTACACTGCAACACACCTTGCCATCTTTCAAACTGCTCCACAGTGTAACAGTCCATAAACAACAGTCTCAATTTATTGCACTGACATTCCTATGTCAGTACATCTGAAGGTACTTAATCATCTGTCCTTGATCCTGTCACACTGAAAGACCTAAAGCTCTAGATTCGAACATGAATATGGAATTTTGCTTGCAACAACTCATCACGCCAAAAGATGACTAAAACCCACAGCATAATCCACCCTTTACAGCTATGATTAGAGGTTGAATGGATTGTGAAAGACAGAAAGGTCCCTCTCTTTCAGAGAGATGACTGGTGGGACACTGAAGTGTGATGGATTGTTTAGTGTCAAACCTGTTCATTTTGCATTCTCAGGGGGCCTTGGCTATTGAGTTGAGTGAATTTGAATACGTCTCAGTTTCATATGTTTGGCTATGATGAATGCGCATGTAATGCTGCTTTTGGGGGGGTCGGGGGGTTCATGTGCTGTTTTTACTGTGAAGGAGCTGTTGTTCTCTGTGCCTCACTAGAATCCATTAAATTTGTGGCTAGGGAGGGCAGTGGGTGTGAAGTGGAAGTAAATATATTGACTGGGCATTACTTATTTTCTCCAGCCAAGTTCTCCAGAACAGTGAGTGCCATGGTTCCTGACGTGACATCCTTACATACGCAATCCATCAAGTTCTCCACCATCCTGCAAGTGAGAGCGAGAAAATGGGTCGTACTCTGTAAGCAGATCCATCAAACAACTTTAATTAAAGGTGTGGTGAACATCAGATCTGTTATGGAGAGAAGACTAATTCAGAAACTCATTCATACACCAGATATAAAAATTAGTATTTTTATTTTATTGTTGGTGGATTTTCATTGTACTCTTAAGCCACAAAGACATTACAGGCATCAGTGATGACTTTGGTCTAATTTTTCATTTAACTCTTCTCTCAAACTGTCAAAAATGTCAAAGCTCAACACAAATGTGTGTATTTCAGTGTCTAGACATGTCTAACTGTATTTAATATCAAGGCTCAGCTCTGCCCACACTGCCACAACCACATCATATCATATATCACTAAAAAGCTCATTTCTAGATTCTGACTGAAGAATCCAAATATTTATACCTCACTTGTACTAACAACAACATTTACATAAAAACACAGCGTCCAGAATACCTGCATTTGTCTAATTTTCCAAGTTCATTCCTCACCCTATCATAAATGTAATCACAGAAGGATTTCCTAATATTTTGCCCATAGCTTGATTTATGCTAGATTTTGTACTACAATAACCTTATATATTAACAGTGTATCGTGTTTTCTTGATTTCAACAATCTGTTCCTTAAAATCTTTTCTGCAAAGTGTGCCTTCACTATGAAATTAGCATTTTATTTCTAACATTATCCAAAAATATGTACATTTCTGCATATTTAAGTAGACAATATCTTAAACATTACTTTTTACAAAACTTACAATACAAAGAATTTTGAATTTTTGCAAGAATATCAGTAATGAACTGGCAAAGATTCTTTGTGATAAAATGTGCCAAAAAAGTGATATTAGAACCCATAGAAGAACCACTGTAGTGCCGTAAAGAACCATTCAATGGATGGTTGTGCCTTTTTTGTAAATGTGATGTGCAAATGTTAAGAACCTTCAAAGAGCCTCCACGTAATGTAAAGGTAACATAATATGTCCAAGCCAAGAACTGTTCAGGAATCTTTATTTTTAACAGTGTATTTGATTTCTTTTCAACATGTGTGTTTTATCATCTCTTACCTGTGCAGACTGAGATTTTCAATTACCAAGCGTCTCCCTTGCTGGGTCTCAGAGTACATGCAGAGCAATGTTAAGCACGCCTGCTGGATTGCTGACACTGGTGAGGCTAACAACCGGACAATCTGTTCTCTTGTGCTGGAAACACTGCAGTAACAGCAGCTGATTCTCCTCTGTAATTGACAGCATTTGACATCACAAGGAAATGAGAACAAGAATGTTGTAGGGCACAGAAATAGAGAAAACAGAGAGAGAAAGCATGATAGAAAGAGTGCATTTGCATGATAGACAGAAAGAGAGAAAGCAAATGAGAGAGCATGAAAGAGAGAGTGCACTTGCGCATGAGATAAAGAAAAGAGAAAGTGCAGGCGCAACAGACAGAGAGCGAGGGACAGAGAGCAGCACTATAGAGAGAGTGCGGGTGCGAGAGAAAGAGTGTGAGAGATAGAGTGGCACGAGAGAGAGAGAGAGGTGCGTGCGAGACAGTGCAAGAAAAAAAACTGAGTGCCTAAAATCTCTCAAGTTCTCACAACATGTAATAAAAAGTAAGTTAACAAAACAAGGTGTGTTACATTTGAAATACAATTACATGAAACAAAATGCAGCCAGGTTAATTGCCGTTTTAAGTTAAAACCTCAAATTAGTTTACATTATTTTTACATTATACATAAAAAAATTTGAAAACCAGTCTGGCCGAGCTCGAAGCTGTACGTGATAAAATGTTTACCCAATATTTGTTGGGCCATCCGGCTGCAGAGCTCTAACAGTGGTTATCAGGACACAGAATTACCCAAATGGAATGTTTTTTTCTAGCTTATTCTTTTATATTTAAAATATTGTTATTTGTTTGGTTTTAGGCAAGAAGAGTTTTACTGAATCACTATTCAGCTTCTGAATCAGCTTCTCTGTTAGCCGGACATTTGAGAGGAGACATGTTGAAGAGCTGGCTGATGTGCAGAGGACTTTCACAGTGGCATTACTGAGGAAACATTTTTTTCGCTGCACATTCTGTTGATGTCTAAATCCTTATATTAAATAAAAAAGTGCCAGCTGCACATTTACAGGTTTAAATTTTACATGCCCAGCCAATGCCCCTGGCTCCAACACACAAAATGCTAGTCAAAGCAAGTAAGCAGCACCTTAAAATTACAGGCACATGCACAATAGACACTATGATGACTACTTATTTTTATTTTTATTATTACCATGTATAACATTTCTATCACTTCTTGTCAGGTTTCAAAACCTGTAACCATCTCATAAAACTGCACATACAGAAAAGACACCATTTGAGCACAAGTTTGACCTTAAACAGTTTAATAAACTGGAAACATGCCTATAGACCTGTTATCTATACAGGCAGCAGAAGGCTAATCACTGATGAGGTCATATTTATGCAGTGCACTCTACCGGTCCTTATCATTCCCATTCCCCTCGATGTGATGCCCCATTAAAAGCAGCACAGAACAGAGCCGAGCTCTGTGATTCGCCTTTGAACTGAACCTCAAGCTGCGCCACATGCTGTCCTTGGTTTGGCTCCCCCGAGCTGTAGTCTCTACAGGGAGAAGAACTGGGAAGAACTTTTGAAAAACTACAAGCACTTTGGGGGTGGTTGTTTTTCCCAATAGTTGGCTAATGCAGAAGGAAGCCAGATAGCTAACATAACTAATAGAAAGGCAAACGTTACATTTATATTTATTAGCCTCTACATCTGTGGTACTTCAGTGTATTTCTTTATTTCTGTGGTGATGGGGTGGGTTTCCCAATGGTCATGTGACGTATTTGCAACATGCATGCTAGGTACTGTAGTGAGAGAACACTGATGAATGAAGACACAAAAAAAATCCAAAATCATGAATTCGGTCAAACCGATGAAGCTGAGGGATGCACTACGTAGTATGACAGTTAACATATTAAATGCTAGTTTTAGGTCAGAAATACCCCTTTAAGGTGCACCCATTACTGCCACAGGGTTTCAACTGAGCACTGACAGCTTATCTAGTCTCCATAGGAAACCAATGCTGACAAAATGGGACACTCTGGAGCAACCACACATGAGCCAAAGGTCACCATGCCCAATGCCATGCGTCAGCTAGATATGTGTAAAACCCCCAGCACTGGGCTGTGGAACAGTGTAACTGTGCTGTCTGCACTAATGGTGCACCCGCTAATACCTTTGGGATGAGCAGGAGTGGTGTCTGTGATACATAACTAATAATCCAACGTTAGTACCTGACTTCACTAATGCTCTTGTGGCTGAATGCTATCAAATCCTCACAGAACATGTTCCAACATCTACTGTAATGCTTTCCAGACAGTAGAGGCTGACACTACAGCAAAAGGGGGGCAAGCTCTCTATTAATACCCTTAATTTCTCAAGAAATGTTGGATGAGCAGGTGTCTACAAACACTTGGACACTTTTAAATCAAAGCTCACCATTCATTCATGTAATTTCCAGTCAAAATGACAAATAAGTACCAGGTTTAAGACAATCCACATGCATAAGTAAGGGGTAAATCAAAGAAATAATACAGGAGATTCCAAAACTGGAGTTATATAAGTTATATTAATAGCCCACAGTCCACTAAAACAGTACATGTGTTTGGGATTACTTGGATGGTGAGAAGCAGAAAGTACCAAATTTTAAGACTGAATTTTGGCAGTGTGTTAGAATCTTCATACAGATTTCTTTGAAAACCTAAGGCTAAGTCTCTCAAAAAGAATGGAAGCTGTAATAAAGGTAAAGGAAGGACAAACTGAATACTGAAAAATTGAATAAGATTGCTGAGGCCTGTGTAATTTTCTGTTAAATATGTTTTCTGCTTTTTTTATGACACTAAAAATGAATAACAGGTCTCTAAATTTTGCCAAACGATTGGGCATGTAACAGTTGTTACACTCAATAATACTCTGTGACTTTGCCAAAGCTACCCTGATGCTGCTTTCATATAATGCAAATAAACTACCTGAAAATAGGGAAGCAGCTACCATTAAACTGTAAGGAAACTCAAAATACAAAAAGTTCAAAAGTAAAGTGGAAACGGCAATACTTACCATTTCCACAGCAAACCACCCTCCACAATCTGAGCACAGATACACACAGCTCCTCGCTGTATGGCTCTTTAGAAGTCTGGGCAAGACAGCTGAAGAGAGACAGAGACAGATAAAGGTGCAGGGAATCATAAAGCACCTCTCCACGCTCAGCGCTTGCTGCAAATCATGCTGAATTACAACAAAAACAACTAAACACACTTTAGAAGAAAACCCACTAGACCTAAGAACATAAGCCTGACACTTGATACATATTCAAATGAGTTAATTCATATACTGTTGTTTCACAATTTGCCCACAACAAGGGTACTGATGAAGAAAGCTGTCTGAGACTTCTAAGGCTGCAATCAATCAAGGCCCAGCAGCACACAATTTACAGCGATGAAGACACATGGTAAACGCCTTCACTTGCGGCAGCATCAAAAGGATTGAGGTCCTAGTGGAATTAACAGCAGAGCTCGAGAATATCATTATGTGAACGTGTTCCAAATGGTCAAGACTTATCGCGGGCTGTCAGAAGCGTTTCCTCTGCAACCTTACCTCCTTACAACGTTATTGCCAGCGATGATACTGAAGCCATTGTTTAACCGGAATAACGTCTGCCCAGTACCTAAGAGGAACAGAAGATACTGTTAGCATAGGCAGGTGTGTAGTGAGAGCCACATATCAACACCAAACCACCCTGACTGGCCTCAGAAACATAATCTCTTATAGTGAAGGGCAAAAGAGTCAGAGAGGGAAAGTGAAATAAACAAAAACTCATTAGGAACCAGGGCCAGCACTCTTATCTCGCAAAGAGCAGTACACCTTTTGTGGAAAGAAATTAGCCCACAAAAGGCCTATTCAGGTATCTTCTTTGTCCAGAGGTCTGGCTGCGGGCTATTTGTTTTAGAAAGCTTTCAAGACTACACAGTTTGTGGGACTTTGACTTCAGGACATGGCCTGCGTCCATTGATGACTACCAACACAAAAAATAGTTTTAATAGAATTAACACAAAAGACTCCAGTTAACTTGGGCATCACATTCTTTTTTAAGCTTTAGGCCAAGTAGTTCTTCTAGTAAGTACTTAAATACTTTTGTTATAGGAATATGTGGCTTTTCATTCTTTAGATGTCACACAGCTTCCATTTGTGCAGTACTCTAAGATCTAATGGCAGCCACTGAGGGATATAATCCAGTCGGAGCTGTGCAGACAGGGACATGTTGATAGGTGCATAAATCCAATAATAGAGTTATTAAAAATGTAGCCGGCTGCCTTTATTAGGTTTTTGCCTTGGCCCACGTGTTCCTAATGGCATCGAAGGCGTATAAAAGTGTCCTCATCATGAAGTGCTAATGAAGCGCACAGGAGGAGATCAATGAGACCTCCACACCCAGCCCCCCCCCCGCTCTTCTACCTATTGATCCCCAGCACAACAAATATTGTCTTGTCTGCTGAGACAACACCAAGTCAAGGTATAGGCACATATTCAGCCCAAATTTGTTCGACTAAATGCATCGGATGTTCCAGCTGAACAATGTGCTCTTTCTGGCTAAACTGAGACTGTCTGACAGGATGAGTGAGATACAGGCTGGGATACGACTGCAGGGGTGAGGAAGTGAAGGAGGAAGCTCATGAAGGAAGCATTATGAGCACTCACTGTCTTTGATAGCCTGCGAGAGAAGCTCCACTCCCCCACAGTAGTACAGGTTGATCTCACTGGATCTGTCCAGCTTTTTCAGCAAGTCAGGCACCGTCGTGACCCTTCTTTACCCTCTCTCAACTCCTGTCTTGCTACCCTTTCCTGAAAGTTCTTCTTCTCCTCCAGATCTACTTGTGTCAGGTAATCTATAGGTATGACAGTGATAGAAAAACAGTGTAGTTCTGACTGGTGATGCACAGATGTTAGTTGGTATCAGTATCAGGTCAAAACAGCAGCATAAAGATAATTCTACAAAAGGCTGAAATTATTAACAGCAATATCAGGACAAAGACCACTGTAAAAACAATGCAGCCCTTCAAACCTCATAATACTTATAGACATTTTCACAATACAAAATGAGTATCATATACATTTTTCTGTGGTATGATAAGCTGGAAGAGACAAAAATGTACCTACAGTGCCACATTTAAAAATACTATTAAGAACTGTGAATATAATTATATTTAACATTACACATGCACTAAATCAAATTAAACAGGGTTATGTTCTCTTTTTGTAATGATACATGCAGTTGGTCCGTGTTCTTTAAGTAGTGAAGATATCTTAAATACGCATATACACAATAACAATAAATACTGTCACATTGCCCATTCCTATCAATCTTTTCAACCTTTTCATTTATTTAATTTCAAAATGACCATTAAGTACAAATTTGTCAGTGTCAGGAAACAAGCTACAACTAAATATAATACTACATTTTTCAGTATTTAGTGTGTCACCACTTTGCCTTTATTACAGCTTCCATTCTTCTCAAGAGACTTGCTTTCAGTTTTTCAAAGAAGTCTGCAGGGATATTTTTTCACACCTAAGTTCAGTCTTAGAAGTTGGTTGCATTTTACAATGACAAATTTAGAACCATGAGTCCTTAAATCCTTACTCCACAGCTTGGATGGCCAGTTTCAGTGTTCTAGTGCAAATGTTTCCTTTGTTAGTAATGGTTTCTTGACAGCTACACATTCTTTCAGAGACATAGCATTGCATTTTCTCACAGCGAAAGGACCCGATGCTGACCGGTTTAGTGGTCTACCAGATCTTGCATGGTTGTTAGGAGTCCCATTTTCTATACGTTTTAATCAAGTCCTGTTTGTTCACTTATTTTCCTTTGACTTTCCCTTCTTTACACAAGTAAAATATTTTATATCTAATCTTCTTAAAAATTTCTCTTTTAGTCATTTTAGATGCACATGAAAAAGAAATTCACAAGCAGTTAAAATGAGTTTGGGTTACAGTTTGTGTAAATGTTAGCATCTCTTTAAAGGCTAAGATAACATCAGTGACTCCTTTGGGAGCAGCTTTTGTGAGGAGACCTCAATAGTTTTTGTGGTGTAGAACAGATAAATTAAATACTAATAGAATTTATAGACAGACATGCTTAATGTTTTTTTCAAACATATGTTTTCTGCTTTTTTCCTGGCACTGAAAAATGAATAACTTGGTGGTCTCTGAATTTTGTACAGTACTGCAAGTTATGTAGTTAGGAGTGTGAGAAACTGAAGTGTGGGTGAAGTTACGGTCTCACCCACATACAGTGCTCACTTCAGTCAATCACTCTTTCTCAACATCATAACCCTCAGTTCGATTAAAATTTAAAGACATGGTCTAAGGAGTTACAGTGCTTTAAAAAAAGTATTTACCCCTCACCCGATTTCTTCTATTTTTGCAAATTTGTCACATTTAAATGTTTCAGATCATCCAACTAATTTTAATATTTGATAAAGACAACACAAGTGAGCATAAAATGCAGCTTTTAAATGATCATTCTGTTTACTGAAAAATAAAGATTTACTGGCAGTAACAACTGCAATCAAATGTTTGCAATAACTTGCTATCAGTCTTTTACATCCCTGTGAAGTTATTTTGTCCCACTCTTCTTTGCAGAATTGTTTTAATTCAGCTACACTGGAGGGTTCTTGAGCATGAACTGCCCATGTAAGGTCTTGTCCCAGCAATGGGACTCAAGTCAGCACTTTGACTCGGCCACTCCAGAACCTTAATTTTGTTTCTTTTGAGCCATTCAGAGGTGGACCTGCTTGTGTGCTTCAGATCATTGTCCTGCTGCATAACCCAACTGCGCTTGAACTTTAGGTCACAAAATGACTGGAGGACATTCTCCCTTAGTATTTTCTGACAGAGAGTAGAATTCATGGTTCCATCAATTATGACAAGTCTTCCAGGTCCTGCAGAAGCAAAGCAGCCCTAGACCAGCACACTACCACCATCATGTTTGACTGCTGGTATGATGTTCTTATAGTAGAATTCTGTGTTAGCTTTATACCAGATGTAACGGGACCCATGTCTTTCAAAAAGTTCCACCTCTGACTCATCAGTCCACAGAATATTATCCTAAAAGTCTTGGGGGTCATCTAGATGTTTTTAGCAAATGCGAGATGGGCCTTTTGTGTTCTTTTTGGTCAACAGTAGTTTGAGCCTTGCAACTCTCCCATGGACGCCATTTTTTTAGTTTACTCAGCAGCTAAGGGGGCAATTACTTATTCACATAGGTATGTAGGACTGAGCAAAGAAGTCCGATGATCTGAAACATTCAAGTGTGACAGATATGCAAAAATAGAAAGAAAGGTCAAGTGGCAATTTTTCAAGCAAATATGTTTGAATATGCAAATGATGCATTTTCAGGCAATCCTTTATCAAACTATGTACAGACAGAGAGAGAGATACAGGTAGATGTATGTATAGACAGAGAAAGAGAGAGAGAGAAAGAGAGAGAGAGAGAGAAAGAGAGACTTCATGTTGTCATGGCAGCACCGCATGAAGGCTTGAATTAAACAATGAGCAAGCTGTGGACTGAAGTACAGAGTCAAAGTTAGAGGCCACCATTCTTTTCATTATTTCCAGTCAAAACAACCATTAAGCACAAATTATTCATTTTTCAGTGTCAGAAAAAAGCAGAAAATATATGTTTGTTTGTTTTTTTTCATTTTTGGAGTGTTTAGAGTGTCCACTCTTTTCCTTAATTTACAGCTTTTTTCATTCTTTTCAGGAAAGTTGCTTTCAGAAATCTGCAGGGATGTTTTCACCTCCAAAGTTCAGTCTTAGAAGTTGGTTGCATTTTCTGCTACTCACAATCTAAATAATCCCAAACACATTCAGTAATGTTGAGTTCTGGACTCTGGGGTGGACAGTCCATTGTTCTGAGAACACCAGCAGCTTCTTTGTTTGATTTGCAAATTGCAAAGCATTTTCTGCTTCTCATGATTCAGGTAATCTAAATTACAAATGATATGTATCAGTGCATAAAACCTTACTCCAAATCTCAGATGACAAGTATTCTTCTTTTTTGTTTATTTCCTTCTGTCAGTAACAGCTTCTAGACAGCTACACATCCTTTCAGACTCAACATGCTGATCTGTCTTCTAACAGCAGAAAGATTGACAGAAACATCTGTGGATATTTTTTCAGATCTGAAGCAAAAGTGGGGCTTGATTATCTCCTCTCTCTAAGCTTTGAGGGCTTATCTGATGGAGACAGTTTTGTCAGGCTACCAGGTCATTTTTAAACTCCAGACAGGAGGAAACTCCTGTTTTTTCCCTTATTTTCCTTTGACTTTCCCCTCCTTATGCAAGTGGATTATCTTATATCTAGTTTTCTCAGAAGTCCTGAAAATGAATACCTTGTACATAATAGTTGTTTTGACTGGAAATTAAATATACGATGAGAGGTACTGAATGAAAGGTAAACTTGACTGTGACAATATAGCACATACACTGTCTGATACTGATTTGTATTCTATGGGATATATGTTAATAGTATTTTTAAGTCTTACCTTTTACCAGGGTTTCACGCTCTGGCTCTATATCCAGTATCTTTTCATAGCAAAGCCTGGACTGAAGAATTACAGAGATAATAAGAAAGAAAACTGACATTAACTGGAAAGAAAGCCAGCAAGATAAGCATATGACAACTCAACGCTGCATAAAATCCCAATCATGTGAGAATTCAAGTGTAGCCAATCGTTCTTACCTCAGTAAAGTTCTTCAGTGCTAGATGTGCTCTTCCCATGTGAACATATGCCTTAATACACTTATCATTGCACTGTGGACGAGATCAAAGCGTTAACATGAATTAGTCACCTGAATATATGAAAATTTCATCAGGGATTCATCATTAACTTACAAGGTTCTATTCTGAAGCTGGGCAAAGAACACGTATCTTCATTAAAGTTTTTCAAGTAAAGAGTTTTTTTAAAGAAGTAAAGAGTATTCTGGAGAGAAAAGAAGGTTAATGTGATTTAGCACAGGTTATAAGAACAAGGCCTGACTTCAACCCAGTTTTCTCTCTGAACAACCGTTCTGCTCATTGAATGCTGTCCTTGCGTGTTCCCAAATGGGACGGGGATCACAGAAGCAGTGCCTGAGCTGACATTATGATGAATGAGTGGGCACCTCTGACACGTTTACTTGTAGTTACACTTACCTTCAGGGCCCACTCACAGTCACTTATGGCCTCCTTATACTTCTTCAGCTTGATAAAGGCCTGCGTGATCAGCCAGAATAGAGTACATAAGAGGCAAACATTAACTTATCACGAACACGTTGCATTATTTTAAGAATATAACTGTACATATAACTCTATATAACCAGCTGTTTGAAAGAAATAATGCTTGTGAAAAAATCAGAGACAGAGTGACATTGAGAACCTGAGCTCTGTTTGTGTAGAGGGCCTGCATGTCACGGAGCTGCTCTAGACCTTCAGTGTAAAACTTGACAGCCACTTCATAGTCACCCAGGGCAAAAGCTTCATTTCCTTTCTCCTTCAGGGCTGCACATCAAATAGGGAGAATGACGGTGAAGCTGCGATTGTAAATTCAGCTAGATAACACTGGAGTGATTTCAAGATGAGCATCTCGCATACATACACACACCTTTGGCCCGCTCCTCTTTCACATGCCTCCTCTTCCTTCTCTCCTCTGCGTCTTTTTCTAAAGCTTTCATGAAATTCTCTGAAGAATTTGAGGGAATAAAAGAAGCCAAGGAATATCTAAACACAAGCACACACTGATTTCTAGAAGTTCTAGATGTGTACTGAAAAATTAATTATTGATCCTCTAAGCCAGGGTTCTCAACCTTTTTCACCCCAAGGCCCACCTGTTTATAACTACAAAGCATAGCGGCCCACAGGAAACTAAAATCAACTTTTCTAAATACAATTTTCTGTTTTCTTTTCTTAAGTGCTGACATAAAAAAACCTGAGAATAAGGGATGAAAAAGATCACACTGTCCATTTCGGTTCAATAACAGAAACCAAGATTTGCAGTTATGTTAAAAAACATAACATTTTAAAAAATATATAGGTGCAGTGATGTTAAAAGGGGAGAAAAAGAAAAAAGAATAGACATGTGCAAGGTGGATTTCAACTGTGATTTGGAGCTGCAGTCTATCACGTTTTCACTGAAAATACTCCACTGACTTTTCCACAGGAGTAAATGTTTGGTCTCAAGATGTCTCGTTAGTTTTGAGGGTATTTGTGATTCATTTCAAATAGCCAAACCTCACTCCACTCACCGGGCTTTGTGATTAGTGTCGTCACAATAAACAATAATAATAAACCTTGATATCTGGTTCTTAAGTTTAAAAATACATTCCTATCCACAAGTCAAAATCAAACGCATCTCTTCACTATTATTTTATTTTACAGCAGCTTGTGTACATTAAAACAGGCAGATTATGCTAACAGTACAGCACCAACGTACTGCTGGAAGAAGAGGAAAGCCAGCTCTGTTGATGAATTCCTTCATTTCATCATAGTATGCGTTCCCACCAGCAGTGAACTGAACCAGGGTTTGCTTGGAAGTGGACTGAGACCCACAGGTTTTGCTGGAGCAGGTTCAGCTGTCCATTGCAGACCTGAGTATGGGTGGAGTGCTCACTAAGAGCAAAGGAGCTAAGTAAAGAAAAAATTTGATGGGTCCACACCAAACAAGGTAGGTGTGAAAGCGCCCTTTGAAACTTCTCCGTCTCTGGCTCACCAACTACTTACATGACTTAAAGTGATGTTACTGGCCCACTACAAACTACTGCCTCCCCCTTAGTACAGGCCCGCAGGCACCTACAGGGTGCTTCACGGCCCACAGGTTGAGAAACCCTGCTCTAAGCCAAACATAAGGCATCGCCTGTGTTAAAAGTAAATTATCAAACAGTATTGAACCTTCAAGCACAAATGGCATTGAAAATAAGCTGAAAAACAGTTTAGACTGTCATACACAGCAAACAGTAAACCTACCTTGACTTTGGTGGGGTTCAAACAGTGTATTCTAGAAATCAAAAAATGACCTTGCTTAATATACTGCAAAGCATAAATGCATGACATTATACTTTTCATTAGACTACAAGACTTTGACACAAATCAAATATTATAGTACATTTCTGCTGCTACGCTGCTTTCTAACGAGTTTGTGGAAAACCTCTGATTATTAGGATTTATAAGCATGCAGCGCTGGGTAGAGCAGCCTAATAAATACTGAAGTAAAACTCTTTCTACTTCAATTAAATCAAGGCTCAAGTAGAAGGTAGCTCCAAATAAATGACTTGAGAAGGAATACTCAAGTACTGATTAATATCATATAGAACCGCAGTGGAACTTCTTGAACTTGTTCAGCTACCAGGACAGCTTAAATACTTAATGGCAAAGGTTCTATAAGTCTGTGAAGCTCTACTGCAGGGATGGAACACCATTCTTAGGAAAAGATATTCCTTCAATTGGTGTTTTGGTAATGGTGGTGGAGAGGGCTGTCTAACATGTCAGTCCAAAATCTCCCATAGGTCTTCAACTGAGTTGAAATCTAGTGACTGTGAAAGCCACAGCATAAATGTGTAACTTTTGTATTGATTTGTGAAGACACGTGGACTCATGCCAGCAAAAAGCTCCCTACCACACATGCACATGCCCACTTGTGGAGAATATCCATGCCCAACAATGAACCTTCTTTCAGAGTCTCTTATATATTTTCCTCTTGCCATCTTGATCCAAAATCAGGGTCAGCTGGGCCTGCTCTGCATTTTTATGCATGCCACAGAGCAAGGCAGGATGTTATCTGCATCTGTATTTATTATGTTTTCCTCTCATTAATTCAGGTTTTCCTTTAATTTGTCATTCATCTGTAATTTCTTTTGTGATTATGTGAGTCGTTACAAGCCTCTTTAATGAAAATGTGTTAAAACTGTATTGAATATAGTTTTTATTTGGATATTATACCCTGCAACATAATGAGACACAGTTTTTTCACTTCAACTATTTTTTTCAGGTAAAGTGGGACAGCAGTTGGGACAGTTACTAATACCTTCTGGCAGTACAGCAAAATTCTACACATTAATTCATGTCACTGGATTAACAATAATCATTAACTTAACTTTGAATAATATTTTGGGGGGAAAATCATGTTCCATCCTCAGGTAAGGAACTGCAGCTGAAGCTTCTTCCCTCACTTAATCTGACCTCTATACTGTTCTCCAGTCCTTTCATTCTGTAGTTGGTCCACTGACCCATCTCCATTAAGTTTCAGCTCCATCTTTTCTTTATGATGTCTTTTCTTATGATACATTAGCTTTTAAAAGAAAACAGTAGCCATAAAGAACACGGACTGTAAAAGATGTCCAACTTTACCCAGCATGTTCAGCCAAAGTGGACAGTGCTTAAAATCTACTTTGTCACATTAGATACAATTTGTCATATACTGGTCACATAACATTACAAAAAAAAGAGCAATGTAAAGCAGTGTTGCTTTTCACTGGCCAACCAATCATAAACACAAAAAAAGCATTCTGATTTGTCAGTGCATTCACCATGGGCTTGGTGGAATACACCCATTTTAATTTATGATCACACTCAAAACGATGATGGTTACATTTGACTGATTCCTGTTACTCAAAGAGAAATGCTGCGAGAAGCTTATGTGTCTTCGTCTTATTCCGACAGCAATACTCTAACTTTGGGACGACGTTGGTCTGAAAATACAAGGTACAACTCCATCAATATTTTACTTAACTGCATGTATGTCAGTACCACCAAAGGTGGGTAGTAACTGGTTACACTTGCTGAAGTTTAAAATTTTGACAGATTGGTACTTTGCTGAACATTCTGATCTTTTACTCACGTATACTGTGAGGAAAGTAATTTACACTTAACTAAAAATCATTTTAAAGTAGTAACGTTTTGTTTAATGTTATTATATTATTATATCCCTGCATGATGAGATCATCATCATCTTATTAGGCTGTGGTCAAGGCTTAATTATCTCATTCCCATACTTCACTAAGTCGTGGCCACGCATTATTTTTATTAATGTGGTATATCACCAATAGGGCTCCGTATTATATTGTGTGGATGACAGCATCTACATTACACCATTATGCTACACATCTTACTTTTGAGGTTTATCATTTTTCTTTCAGAGCAAGAGTGCATCAAAAAGAGAAGAACAGCACTTAGAATAGCCATTGTCATTTCCTATGTTGGCAAATGCTGGATTTACACGCACTAAGAAGTTCAACTGCAATTTTAGAAGTTAATCAGTAAGTAACTGGTTCTTTTGTACTTCTATTCCAGCTGTTATTGAAAAGTACTTTTACCTCTGCTCAAAATACTTTTACTAGTTTGGCTATAGGCTACTCTACCCACCTCTGCTTCCACCACTGCACATATCTAGATCCATACAAATATAGTTACCACTGGTCCGCTATCAGACGTGGGGTTTTTATTTATGACTGTCCTGTTGAGGTGAGTTTTGCATGTTTTCTCTTCTTCAAAAGAGGCAACAAATTTGTCTGCCTTTTCTACAGCTCTCTCCTGAGCGGCCACATCACTGGAGTTCAGCTCCTTCATCAACGCATCTGTAACACGCAAAGGCAAAGTTGTATTTACGTTACTTTGACGTTAAAAAAAGAGATACTATAAGAGAAATACTTATCTATCTTTTCTATAAGTAACGTTACAGGTCTCACTAATGTAGATTAAAATACTTCATGGAGCTTTTGTTTACAAAGTCAGCGCCAGTTAGCACAGTCAGCCACCAGCAATTCAGATTAAGCCTTAACAACGTCGTACAGCAGCTAGCCATGTAGCAGTGATGTTTACCTCAAGTCAAAACAGACTGGGGCACGTTATAAAACTTAAACACACTTACTTATTTCATCAACGTCCCTCAGGAACTTTTCCAAATCTTCATTCTCGCTGTGCTCCATACTTATTTAACTATGAAGACTGATTTAACACTGTCTGTGACCAGCACTCTCTCCCCGACTTCACCTGTAACCATAGCGACGTCGCGCGTGCTCACGTGTTTACCTGTAGCCATAGCAACGTGAGTGATAGTCACGTGTTCCTTAGTGCCGCGAAGCTGAAAAAAGTACAAACTAAACGGCTTCATTAAAACGGTATCATTATTTTAAAAAGTAGGTTGAACGTTAAAGGGGAATTCCACCTATTTTTCAAATTTTCTGCGCAATTTAAATGACTAAGTAATAAACAAAGTCACTCGTTCAGAGTGGTTTGGTGTGAAGTGATCCACTGTAGAGAACCAACTTTGTTTCACAGTGGTGATGATATGAACCAGAAGAGCAATGTCTACAACGCAGACATAGCCACTTTATTTACTGTCCATAACCACCAGCAAGTACGGAGCCCTGCTGGTGACATCCTGTGTAAATAAAAATAATGCGTGGCCACGCCTTATTAACGCATGGGAACGAGATCCTAATGCGTGGCCACGACTTAGTAAGGCGTGGGAATGAGATGATTAAGTCGTGGCCATGACTTAGTAAGGCGTGGGAACGAGATAATGGCTTACTAAATCGTGGCCACGCATTAGGATCTTGTTCCCACGCTTTACTAAATCGTGGCCATGACTTAATCATCTCATTCCCACACCTTACTAAGTCGTGGCCATGTATTATTTTTATCAATGCTTGATGTCACCAGCGGGGCTCCGTAAGTAGGCCTACACTTCTTCTTTTTTATATATAATGTTACAACACTCTGCATGTATGCACGGCTTTTAAAAATGATGTCTGTTTCCAAAATCGTATCGCAAAACTATCATGAAACAATGTCTCGGACATCAGGCTGAGCATTCGTAACCATTCCATGTAATAACTTTCTGTGAGGGAGCTTTCAGAGGCATTAAACACTCTTCAGTTGTCTGGGTCCTATCAAGACCACTGTGAACAATTCTGACTTGGTGTGTCTCTCTAAAACAGAGTACTCTGAATGACTTACACCTCAGTGACTGAATTATGCAGAAACTTAATTCTATTATTTTAATGAAAAAGCAATACTTTTACTACTATGAGGTTAGGCTACTCTATCCACCTCTACTTCCACCACTGCAGAAATTTTTAAAAATTGTTAAAATTCCCCTTTAAGGTCAGTTCACAACAGCTAATATATTATCATGTCTGGATGACATAGGTAAATACTAAAAATTGACACTATTCCATATAGCACACGAGTTGTATGTCGAGAGTTTCACAAAACGCATAGTGCCAACAGTAAAGTTTGGTAGAGGAGGGATAATGGTCTGGGGCTGTTTTTCAGGGTTTGGGTTTGGCCCCTTAGTAGTGAAGGGTAATGTTAATTGCTACAGTATACAAACACACACATACGCACACGCACATTATCTAAGCCATTTCTCCTTCTGGGTCACAGGGGGGTCCTGGAGCCTATCCCAGCAGCCATTGGACGGAAGGCAGGAAACATCCAGGACAGGCTGCCAGTCCATCGCAGGCATACAAAGACATTTTAGATAATTATATGCTTCCAACTTTGTGGCAGCAGTTTCTTGTTACAGCAGGGCTGTGCCCCTGTGCATAAAGCGAAGCCTGTAAAGACATGGTTTGATGAGTTTAGTGTGGAGGAACTCCAGTGGCCTGCACAGAGCCCTGACCTCAACCCCTATGAACAGTTTAGGAATGAATTGGAACGTTGATTGCGAGACAGGCCTTCTCGTCCAACATCAGTGCCTGACAAATGCTTTTTTGACTGAATGGGCACAAATTCCCCACAGACACACTCTCAAACGTTGTGGAAAGCCTTTCCAGAAGAGTGGAGGCTGTTATAGCTGAGAGGGGGCGGGGTTCACAGTTAAATATATTTTGCACATATATTTTAAAACATCACCTATACTGCACATATATTTTCAATATGAGTAGCACATGTAAACGTATTTTTCTTTTATATGGAAAGTGAGGTTTTTCATCACCCAAGAGACACAGTGAATTAAAAAATCTTTAAAAGGCTAGATAAATAAAAAATAAAGAAAGAAATAAATGTCTTAGTCAATACAGCACTCATAATTCCAAGAAAGGCTTGATAAATTCATGATTTTAGTATACATCAGTGTGTTTTAAAACCTCAGTCGTTTTATGTTCAAATAAAAATGATAAAACAGTCACCGGGGAAGCATTAACTCATGTGAACATCAGAGACTATGGAAAACAGTGGCAAATTCTTTCTTCTTTAACTTCTCAGATCCCCAATTGTTAGTTTGTCTCTGTTGTATTGTTATATATTTCTCATTGTCTTGTTGTGCTGTTCCAGTTTGACTGATGATTTTCAGGAACCACATAACATCTGTCCTCAATTCTTCATACCTTGTCAGTTTTACTGGAACCATTTACCAAATAACTGATATGCATGTGCATGTAGAATGGCCTTTGGATGGTGTCGCACATTTGACACTCATCAAGTTAAACGCATTTGCAACGATATCCATGTCAAACTCATAATCGCTGTCACTTCAGAAGTGTGATGTGTTTGGTTTGACATCAGACACGAAGGAAACTCGTTCCAAATGCACCCACATGACTCTAAAGAGGGTCTTAGGCCGTGCGTTTGTCCCTCTGGGGTGGATTGATTTAGCTACACTATATCAAAGGGGGGAAAAGAAAAAAGAAGCACTTCTAAGGAAGAAGTATCTACCGAGCAATATTCACTGACTTTAACTCAGAACACTGAAGAGAGACTTAGGAAGCATTCACAGCAGTGGGGAACCCTCAGGGCCTTCTAGTGCTTCAGCGAAGGCCTAATGATTTTTATGAAATAACAAAAAAATGTTGTCCCAAAAATTCTTGTTGGGAATTGTTTTATTTTTTTTAATTTCTAGTTTTATCTGTAATCATTTTTATTTAATACAGCCATTATGCATGCTGTATTTAAAGTTTACCAACACTCTTATTTCATTTTTAAGTTTTGATTGGAAACAAAAATGTTCCTAAAACAAAGTTATCCCATGTGGATTTTTTCATGGTGTACTTAAGTAGATACAGACAAGCTAGCTCTCCCATTGGTTAGAACTTTAGGAGCTGGTCTGGAGTCCTAACATGTCAGATTAACTGGCAACCTAATTAATGAGCCTGGGAGTCAATCCCAAACAGAATTGATTCTCCAGTTACAGTCATTTGGGAATCAAGAGTTGACTCCAAAGCTTTGGACTTGATTTGCTCTCTGGTTAGCCAGTCTGAAAAATACATCCTTCCACAACTCACACATCAATAGATGGGCTGTATTTTACTTTAGACAAAGTGGTAAACAAAGTGAAATGTAAAATGTGTAAGAAAATAGAGGCTTACAATCAACTTCGCTGGTACTTGCATTTGTGGAAAAATATTATATTATATACAATATAGGTTATGTTACACATAATGATATCTAATTATACCAATATATGTCAATATATTCGCATATATTGGAAAACATTTGAATTGGGAATGTGTTTGTAATACGTTTTGTGGATATCATTATTCAGGAGTCGACTTCAAAGGACTGAGTGCTTTGGCAGTCACAAAATGTACCATTATCCACTTCAACAGCGCAGTGATAGGGCTTACATAACCCAGATATTACCAGTGACTGAATTTGCATTAGCCATGTTTGATTGATAAGAACACCTAGATGGACGTTTTGAGGCAAAATGTTCCTAAGCCAGATAATTATGCTCTGAAAAGCCAAAACCTTTGGTTCAGGAGGAATTAAATGTATAAAATGAATGAGAGGGAAATATTAAGGCTAATTTAGAACATTTCACAGGGAGCAAAATGTTCTCTATCCATCACACCTCCATTCATCTTTACCTATAAAGCCATTATTGCTAAAGCAAATCATCTTTCCTCTGTGATTCCAGTAAATTACAGATAACCTTCACTAACAGTTCAGCATTTATAATCGAACCTGGGAGGACAGCTATAAACCAACCAGGCCAAGTCTTTAATATGACTTCAAGAGTTCTGTAAAATGATTGAAACCTGAGGGAAAATAAGAAATGTTTCTAATGTAATTCACAATTTACAAATATGAGTGGGTCAGCAGATGGATCATGTGCTTTGCAGTAATTACACACTCTGTAAAGTTTCCAACAGCTTCACCTTCGAGACGACTTGAGGATCTCAGGATTTCAGTCATAAAAAAAACCTAGTGCCAGTTCCATCCATAAATACACAGACACAATCTATACCAGACCAATTTATTGAAACAACAATACAGCAGCAAACATACTATCCATGCCCTAAGAAAACCTATTGCCTTCAAATCAACAGGTTTCTTGAAGAGGAAAAAGATTGTGTCTCCCAAAACTTTTGCTTAAAACGTCAAGGTCTTTAGAGCTGATTCTCTGCGCAATGCCTAGTGGGCATTCAGTAGTTGAACCTGTCAAAGTTTCATTTCAACACTAACACTGTGTCAAACATTCAAAGCATTCATGACTTCAGAATGCTTTCCAGTCAAGCTGTTTAACAGTCAAACTGTTTTTTAGCATAATAACACTGTTGGTTGCATGTAAGACAGGCAAACGTATTTCAGTACTCTGGGTTTATAACTTTTTGTACTTTTTAATCCAGCATTAGCACTTGTTATATACAATGTTCATTATTTTCTTTTTCATTCATTTACAAATACATTCATACAACCTTTGTTTTGCTTGTTGTTCCTCTTTATACATTCTACACACATATGAACACATATGCATGTTTTGGTAGGTACTGAAATACACCTGAGTCATAAGGAAATCATACACACAGCCTTTGTTTCGCTTTAGTTTCCCCCTTAAACATTCCACGTGTGTCTTAAAGTAGTTAGTGAAATATACCTGATCCAAAAGGAAGTCATCATCCAGACTTTAATGCCACCATCCGTCTCACAGGAGGCAACCTGCTGTAGCTTTGATGAGACAGTTGGCCTTGTCACATTTAGCGAAAGGCAGAAGCGCTCATGTTTCACGAGCGATCCATCATTTCACTCTGGAGCCGTGTTCTGGCCGTCTGTGCCGTGTTTGATTGGCAGCTGGCCGTCGCTCGGGCTGACCTCTTTCTTATCTCTCAGGAGGCTCTCCACTTGCCGGAACACTGAAGACTCTCTGTGCTTCTGCAACATCCTGGCCACGTCCTGTCCAAAAAAAATAAAAAATTAACCCTCATCTGAATTCTCGTCTGTTCGGCTCGTAACACTTCCCATAGCCCCTCAAATCACCAGACACCAACTGGCAGGACAACAAGCCACAGGTATACATACATACATACATCATCTAAACCGCTTATCCTTCTGGGTCGCGGTGGGGTGCTGGAGCCTATCCCAGCTGTCATTGGGCGGAAGGCAGGATACACCCTGGACAGGTCGCAAGTGCATCGCAGGGCAGACAGACAGACATACACAGTCAGCCACAGGTATCATTAAATAAATTGCACTCACATCCTCAGTCAGAATCCCTTGGCTTTGGCCAGGTTTCTGCACCCTCTCCAGCAGGAGGCTATTAAGAACAGAGTTGGTGCCCACTCCGCTTTGTACCCTCTCTTTCGCCAAATCGGGGGACAATCTAGCGCGGAACAGCTCACTTAGACACACTTGTAACACCTGGAGTAGGAAAAGAACAGTGGGAGAGAAATAATAAAAAGATACCCCCAAAGGCCAAAGAGATTGTCTGTCTGCATGTGCCAGTGATTTATCTGGAAAAGAACCCCTTCGAAGGCATAGACTCCAAAGAAAGACCCCCAAATACTCTCTAGACTGAGGAAATTTTCTGTATGTGCATGTGCCAGGTTTGTTAAGTTGGGCACTGACTACAAGTTGTTGCTAATGATATTTAAAGCTCTCAATGGCCTATTTCGAGCATATCTTAGTGATCTGTTGAAACGTTATAGCCCATCAAGAACACAAATCTCTTAGGATCACTTACAGCTCAGTTAGTGGAAGATAATTTGCTCATATGGCTCCTAAACTTAGGAATGCAGGTTTGGCATGTGCCTGGCATGTGCCAGGTATATACTAGCTTCCAGTTACGTTCCACATTGACTAGAAGGTCCTGCTTATGATATTTAAAGCTTCATAGCCTAGTTTGAGCAAATCTTACTAATCTGTGGAAGCTTTACAGCCCATCAAGGCCATAAAGCTCAACTGAGGCTCCTAGAATCATTTAAAGCTCAGCTGGCAGAATAGCATACCAGGTATGTGGAACACAAGCTCAATAGGTGATTTTAAATCCAGATTAAAAAGCATGTCTAGAAGTATTCTGCCAGTTTGTAGTTGCTGTTATTTTTATTTTAAGCATAATGTTTGTGTCCCTCCAATGTTTTACTTATATTCTTGTATAAAGCAATGTGAGATTTTTGTCATTCAAATGAAACATGCTATATATATATATATATATACATATATATATATATATATATATATATATATATATATATATATATATATATATAAAGATTTATTTTTATTTTGTACCTTGAAAAAGGCCCTTTGGAACTCAGGAGTGGTGTCGATGCTCAGCTGGCTGATGGAGATGTGAGCAGCACAGTGCAGGAGCAGCAGAGAAAATCCTCCAACAGACTGCAGCCTCTGATGGCGCACATACAGAGTCTCTTCTGTCTCCTACAAACACAGTGATTCGTTAGGAACTTATGCTCTGTACAGTACTGTCACTGTTCCATTCAGTCACATACCAAGTTGCCAGTTTATTAGGTACCTTGTGCCTACACTCATTAGACATTTCATCAGAAACTTTTACAGTGTTGCACAAAAGTCCTTCATTTCCTTCATTTATTGAATTTCCAGAACAAACAACCAAGTACAAGTTATTCATTTTCCAGCACCAGGAAAAATTTAATAGGAAATTAATTACACAGAAGCCTCAACAGTGTTATATAATATGAAATTCTTCAGTTTTTGTCCACCAATTGACTCTCAGAACTTCCATCAGCAGGCATATTTTTGTACACTTCCAAAGTTCAGTCTTAGTTGCATTTTCTGCTTCTTACCATCAAAGTAATCCCAAACACATTCAGTGATGTTGAGCTTCAGACTCTGGGGTGGCCGATCCATTGTTCTGACAACACCAGCAGCTTCTTTGTTCAATTTCATTTTCTTAGTTACAGCTTCTCGAAAGCTACAAATCCTTTCAGCCCATTTGTTGAATTGTCTTCTCATAGTGGAAGGATAGATAAAAAGACCTGTGGATTTTCTTTATTTCTCTCAAAGATAAAAGCTTTAAGTACTGTTTCATCTGATGGGGACAATTTTGGTGGTCTAGCAGGCCTTGCGTGGTTGTTAGGAGTCCCATTTTCTCTGTATTTTTTAATAATTTCTTGAACACCCGTTTTGGAAACTTCTGTTCTTCCACTTATTTTCCTTTGACTTTTCTCCTCCTTGTGCAAGTGGATTATCTTATATCTGATCTCTTCAGAAATATTTTCTGAAAAATGAATAACTTGTACTTAACGACAACACTGACTATAAATTAAATAAATGACAGGATATTCTCTGAATTTTGCCCAGTACTGTACCATGTAGGTGCCTTTGTTGATTTACAATTAGAGACAGCAGCCCATCAGCCACCCTGGACTACCTAATAAACTGGCAACAGTGTATTCTATTGAGCAAATAGTTAGTGGCAGTGGCTGTGTGAGCACTTGACATTCCTCAGTCACTGCTGCAACGTATCTGCCCTACCCTTGGGATGATACAACGGCTGGAACACGATTTAAAGATTTAATTGCATTAAATGAAACCTTTCACTCAAAGAGACTGAAACAGCAGTTTTCACCAGGGTAAGGGCTTTTTTCTAGTATTGTCCTTCACCCCCAAGTCATATTAAAATTATTACCATACGCTTACTGTGCCTATAAATACCTGGTAGTAAAAGGAATTGCGGAAGGCATTGGAGTGGTAGTTGTTTGCTGGAAGACTTGAGGCAAGCTGTAGTTTAACTGCTGGTGCCTGCAAAGCACAAACCCAAGCATTACTAATCTGAACACTTTCTGCAGGCTGCACTCCAATACATCCACCACTCTGCTCAGTGGGTGCAAAATTGTGCAAAATATTATCTTGAAAGGGCTGATAATGAATCAGAATGAAAGTGTGTGTGAGTTACAGACCACTTTGTGCAAGTGGAGCAGCTGGAGCAGAAGCTGCCCGTGCTGGTAGATCAGAACCTCTCGAGGGTTGAGGGTATCAGTGCTGACTTGAACCAGGTCTCCCTCACACTCCCACTGTGCATCCAAGAAATCAATGAAGGGGCGCCCTGAGCCTGCAGAACAAAGACAACACCATCCTTTTGTTCATCCTCTCTCAATTCAGGATGCTGAAGTCAGAGAACTACCAACAAGGGCTGGGCCATATTGATGTCTCAAAATCACTGATAGATCTTCTTTAAATATCCCAGCTGATGATATCATTAATATTCAAAAAAAGGAGACATCTAGACATTAGTGACCCATGGTGTTAGCAGTTTTGGGGAAAATATTGCTTTAGTCTGTGAGTTTGTGTGCAATATACCATCGTCCGATGGAACTTTCGTTGATTGATGATAGTATTGTAAGGAGCATGTGGTGGTAGAAAAGCAAGAGCTGCTTTCCGAAAAAAAAAAAAAACAAAGCAAGCAATACCAACAAAACAAATTCTGAGTGTGTGAACACTCACAGGAGAAAGGCACCACAAATATTACCTGAGAAGCTGTTTATTAACCTACAGACTGTGGAGGCAGATTCACAACACCTTTCTCCAGTAACCCATTTCAGCACTGCAAGCAATGCAGCAAAGCCACAGAAAAGACTCAAAACTCAAAGCAGAGGGAAAAACATGCTTGTGTTTCTTGTCAGAAAGTTGCTAAATTGCTAAGCTAACTTTGTTTGGTATATTTGTATATATGTAAATACACAGTTGTGTATGCAAATGTTAATGCACAGTCTCTTTATATATGATGAACTTAAAAATAGTAACTGTGGTGTGTCTCAGAACTTAATTAACTGGCTAGGCTGTAAATGACTGGTTAGGACTGGCCAAGTCAAGAATAGCCATTTGGAGTTGTCAGCTGATGTTTCCAGTGTGTGTTAAATTCTCTGACTCTTCGAACCTTATGATAACACTCAACAACCATGGTCTCCTCCAGGGACGTCATTAAACCCAGTTTACTGGGGCACATACCCCTGTGAAATGTTGCTGTGCCCCACTAAAACTGCAGCAGTAAAAGTCAATAAGAACACCACAAAAGTTTCCCCTTTATCCTGGATTTCTGAGCAGAACTACAGAACACACCAAGTGAACTACAGGAACTACATTTCCCATGATGCCCAGCATCTTTCCAAACGCTTAAGCGGCTAACTCTTTCATTCAGAGCCAGTTTCTTTGGAGTAGTGGACATATGTAAACATTCAAGTCTGTCATGCAGCAGACAAGATAATGATAGCTCATAGCTACATGTTTTGTCTAGCCACTTATAACCATAACCTACCAAAAAATACATAATATACTACTAAAGTAAAGGCATTAACTAAATTAACAAAGGCTTTATTTATGCTAGCTAGTAAAGGGAGCATTGATAACACAAACTTGCAAAATGAGCATTGTGATATAGCCAGTACAACAGTAAACTACTCATGGCTAGGATGAACTGATGATGCAAAGGCACAGTCACAATTTCACATGTAGTTTTATGCTGCAAATGAATTATTTTACATGCATATGTGTGACAGTATTTACATGAAATCTAAACAATGAAGACAACAAATAAACCTTTGTCATGAAGTGAGAGAGCAGTCAGAGCATGGAGCAGGAGCAATAAGAGGAACAGAACAGGGAGAAGGAGAAAGAGAGAGAATACAACAGGGAAAAAAGGGGAAAGAATCATCAGAAAAATTGATAAAATTTCTTTAGTGGTAATTTGTTCTTCATTTCTCATGCATGGCAGAGTAACACTCAATTTAGTGTTAAATTACTATCTTATCATTAGTATCACTATCAATCATCTATTTAGTGTTTTACAGGCTTTTTACCAAGCAAGCAGAAGGGTACAGCTGTGCCCCTCTTAGTTCTGTGTGTGCCCCAGTACAGCAGGGAGTCTAGAAATGCCCGTGGCCTTCTCTAAGCAGCTGGTAGAAGATCTGAAAATGAAGCTAATCAATGTTTGCCAAGTAGAGGAAGGTTATAAATAGATATCAGAGAACTTGCAACTCACAATTTCAACTGCCCAAAATATCATTAAGAAATGAGGACCAGAGGAAGTCAAGGCAAGTTCTAGAAAACCAAGCAAACTCTCAGATAGAACTGATTTTATCCTGGCTAGAAAGGCAATGCAAAACCCCCATAGACAGTAAAGGACCTGCAAGAATGTTTAGTTGATACAGGAGTGATGGTGCACTGTTCAACTGTGCAGCACTGCTTGAACGAACATGATCTGCATGGAAACCTCTTTAGAAGGAAACCATAGCTTTAACCTCATCGCAAAGTAAACATCTGAAGTATGCAAAACAACTTTGAGATTGAAAGCCCAGCGGCATTCTTGAAACAAGGGCTGTGTACTGATGAAGTACAAACAGAACTCACAATCACAAAAGGTGTGTTTGGAAAAAAAAAGGAGCAGCATGTGATGAAAAGAACACCTTGCCAACTGTGCCAAACACAGGGGTGAATCTGTTATGCTTTTGGGTTGTGTTGAAGCCAGTGGCACAGGAAACACTGCATGTGTAGATGGAAGAATGGATTCCATTAAATATCAGCAAACTCTGGAAGCAAATGTGACTCAGTCAGTCAACAAACTGAGGGTGAAAAGAGGCTTCTCATGAACTACTTCATACAGCACAAGCCACAGCTTTTGTGCCAAAAAAGGTATAAGCCCAATAAAGCCTGCCTCCTGTTTAAGTCAGCAATAGAAGCTGAATTGGTGAATGTGAACACAAAACAGCATCATGGTTAGAATAACAAACATGTAAAGTACAACCCCATTTCCAAAAATGTTGAGACGCTGGGCAGAATGTAAATGAAAATAGGATGCAATGATATGCAAATCATCTAAATATTTTTAAAGGAAAATACTACAAAGACAACATATCAAATGTTGAAACATATATATATATATATATATATATATATATATATATATATATATATAAAATATATATGCCCATTTTGAATTTGATGCCAACAACATGTTCCAAAAAAGTTGGGACAGGGGCATGTTTACCACTGTGTTTGATCACCTCTTCTTTTAACAGTGTTTGGGAACTGAGGAGACCAATTGCTGTAGTTTTGAAACTGAAATGTTTTCCTATTCTTGTTTGATACAGGATTTCAGCTGCTCATCAGTTCGGGTTCTCCTTTGTCGTATTTTCTATTTCATAATGCGCCAAATGTTTTCAGTGGTGACGGGTCTGGACTGCAGGCAGGTCAGTTTAGCACCTGGACTCTTTTAATATGGAGCCATGCAGCTGTAATACATGCAGAAAGTGGTTTGATATTGACTTGCTGAAATAATCAAGGCCTTCTCTGAAAAAGATGTCGTCTGGCAATATATGTTGCCAAAACATGTATATATTGTTCAGCATTAATGGTGCCTTCACAGATGTGCAGGTCACCCATGCCAGGTGCAGTAATGCACCCCTATAACATCATGAATACTGGCTTTTGAACTGTGCATTGATAACAAGCTGAGTGGTTTTTAGCCCGGAAGACGCAGTGTCCATGATTTCCAAAAAGAATTTAAAATTTTGATTCGTCAGACCACAGGACCCTTCTTCACTTCCCTTCAGTCCATTTATTAGAGCTCGGGTCCAGAGAAGGTGGTAGCATTCCTGGGTCCTGTTTATATATGGTTTCTTTTTTGCATTTTAGAGTTTTAACAAGGATTTGTGGATGCAGTGATGAACTGTGTTCACAGACAATGGTTCCTGGAAGTGTTTCTGAGCACATGCAGTGTTTTCCTCTACAGAATCATGTCTGTTTTTAAGGCAGTGCTGTCTGAGGGCCCAAAGATCATGGCCAGTTTGTACTGGTTTTTGTCCCTTGCATACAGAGACTTCTCCAGATTCTCTGAATCTTTCAATGTTATTATGTACCGTAGACGATGAAAAGCAAAAGTTCTTTGCTATTTTACGTTGAGAAATTTTTTTCTTGAATTGTTGCACTATTTGCTCCTCATCTGTACTTCTGAAAGAAAAGAAATGCTTTTTTATACACAATCATATTACTGACCTGTTGCCAATCAACCACCAGGTGTTTTGTTTTTGGCATTACACAATTAAAAAAAAAGCCTTTTGTTGCCCCCATGTTGTTGGCATCAAATTCAAAATGGGCATATATTTTTCAAAAAGCAATGAAATTTCTTAGTTTCAACATTTGATATGTTGTCTTTGAACTATTTTCAATTAAATATAGGGTTTAAATGATCTGCACATCATTGCATTTTGTTTTTATTTACATTTTACACAGCATCCTAACTTTTTTGGAAATGGGGTTTTATTTGTAAACCTAACCTTTAGTATCAGGATAATAAACTGTAATATATATCTATATATTAGATATATTATACAGAATTCTCGGTAGCTCCACTCCTAGTGCTACCTTTATTGTTTAAGACTGTGAGTTTCTGTTATTTATCTGAATCAATAAATTATACTGATAAGTGCTGTCTAACTAAAACTATTGGAATAAAATTAAAAACTATTAGAATAAAATTCAAATCTAAAACATAAGTATAAAATTACATTGGTTATCAGAATTTTTAGTCCCTTAAAATCACTATCGGCAACAAGATTTTCATATCAGTAGGGCCCTAAAAACAGCCATTAAAAATCTAAAGTCTATAGGCTTAATTTGCTTAATTTGCTTAACAAAATCCACATTTTATAATTTGGCCGCACAGTGGTTTCAAATAGTTTCCTGCAACGCCCACTGACTGTCAAACAAGTTAAACTTAAATATCTTTGACAGAAACTTTCTCCACTGTATGACTCTTATGATTGCATTTGTGCATGTCTTCCATTTCAAATTCTCATGCTTGTTTACACATCTGATTGGAGGACTTCTTTCATAGTGTTGAACATGTAGTGTGCAATTAAGCTACAAAGTTACCACCACATAAACTCATTCAAGTACAGCTGGTTAGTACCTGATTGGTCTCCGTTGAGCAGGCCTACTTTCCATGCTCTGTTTCTGATCTGCTGGTCCACCTCTTTGATGAGCTGGAAGAGCGGAGAGAGCTCCAGCAGCCTGGTCCAGTCCTCACCTGGAGCACAGTAATGCAAATCCAACAAAAGAAAACAATAATAAATGTGAGACTCAGCCAAACTGTCAAAAACAAATTCCTTTTAACAGCATTCAAAACTTTTGGTCCTGTCCTGTTCATTTGTGAAAGCTTCATGAACTTGCTGCACTGCTGCCTGAAGTTGGTCCTTATTGCCCCCTAGTGGTCTGACTATGCAATGACACAACAAAGTCAAGCAGAGCACATATAGTTTCAGCTCACTCAGGCTTAGCAAGCACGTCCCTTTCTACAAATGAGAATTGCCAGCCCTCAAGGACTGGCATTGAAACTCGTTGATTTGACTGGGGCCTTTGAGAATATAAATAATAAAGTTTGTTTAAGTGGTTTTAATTAGATGAACAGTATAGTTTAAAGCCCCAACTCCCCACCTTAACAATCTCCTGGATTGCTGTCAGATGGAGTGCAACACTACCAGAAACAAGTTCCCTCTGAAAGCTTGCTTATGAATGCAAATGTTCTGACCTGCCAGTTTGGGGACCATGGCGTGCAGGGGAAAACCAGGTTCCTTGAGACGTTGGCTATCTGTGTGAACAGAAAAAGGCGAGTGATCTGAAACGCTGTTGTCAGTGATCCGACTGTCTGAAGCTGGCCTTACCTTGGCTTTCAGCTAGGCCGCTGTCCTGTCCTCTCTGTGTAGATGTGCTGGACAAGGGCATCTTCAAGCCGTTCTGCTCACTCACAGCTGAGGCCTTTTCATGATCTTTCAGTGAGTGAGTGGACACTGCTGCACAGAAAGAGCACTACAGTCAACACTAGAAAACACATCGTACTGTGCAGAAGTCAGAGACCACCCTTCATTTCTTCAATTTCCAGTCAAAACAGTAGAAGCAGAAATCATATTTTAACAACTTAATATCATATCAAGGGAGTCCCTTTGGTGGAATCTGTAGGGATATTCTTCCACACCTTCAAAGTTCAGTCTTAGAAGTTGGTTGCATTTTCTGCTTCTCAAGATCCAACTTATCTCAAACACATTCAGTGAGGTCTGGACTCTGGGGTGGTCAGTGCATTGTTCTGAGAAAACCAGCAGCTTCAATTTTTGATTTCCTTTTGTTTGTCTATTCTCTTTTCTCGTAACAGCTTCTTAACAGCTACACATCCTCAGAGAGAATCTCATAGTGTGGAGTCTTCTCACAGTGGAAGGATGGACAGAAACACCTGTTGTCTGAAACGATCTGACGATTTATCTGATGTTGACAGTTGGTGGTCAACCATATCTTGCACAGTTGTTGGAGTCTTATTTCTTCTACGTATTTTGACCTCCAGTTTTCACGGAGACTCCTTTCTTTTCACTTATCTTTTGCCATTATCTTTCCAGAAATATCTCCAGAAAAACAAATCACTTGTTCTTAACGATCATCTTGACTGGGAATTAAATAAAGGGTGTAAGATCCATTGATAAATCAAGTTATTGATCTGAATGTGGAAACTCAAGGCATCAATTTTGGAATGTTATTATTGCTTATAATACACTGTACTGCCATCTGTACTCGATAGGATAATACAGTTTTCAAGTGTAAAAACACTTGGTGTATTGTTTTTTGTCTATTCCACTAAAGTGTAAATAATTCCTCTATTATGTACTCAGTGCATTTAAGAAAAAAATATTCTAAATTGTACCAAAGTAATCAAATCAAACTGATTTGTGAAATTTGAGATTTGATGATGAACTGAGCAATCAGAATTTATCTGAACCATTATAAGGCCAGAAATGTACATACCTATTTGGTGCTTATAACATAAAGCAATACAGACCAAATGTCAAGGGAATTCAAAGCTGCTTCATGCATACTGTTCTCACCTCTGAGACTGAGTTATTCAGTCCAGTAGGTTTATTATTACCTTTAGCCACTGGGACGGACACAGTCCACGCTCTAGAGCATGTGTCCCGGTCAAACGTCTGCTTTGCGGACAGTTCTGCAAAAGGCACAGTGAAGACTGCTGAACACAGCGAGCCACACTGATTTCCATTTGTATGCTGGGAGGATGAATGAGTGCATTGTACCGGAGCTCTGCTGGCGCTGGGCACTGGCGGAGGGGCTGGGGAGTTTGCCGTCCTCCAGCAGCTGAATGAGGCGCTCCAGCTGAGGGAGTATTTTGTGCTGAGTCATGGTCGCTGTTTTCAAAGGGTTTCTCCCACCTCTTGGCTGCGTCTGACAATAATCCCTGTACCAGAAAGACCCTGACAGCATAGCCTAGAATACGAGAGAGAGAGAGACTGAGAGAGACTGACTTGTGAGCGTTTTGTTTATACGAAAAACAAGGACACAAAGTGTCATTGATTCAAAGCACCAGCATGTGGTACTCCATTTATAATGTTTTTGTTTTGTTTGCTTGGAGTTTTGCTGTGTTTGTTTTTTGCCAGTGTACATTACCAGAACCCAGCTGACTTATGTAGGTGGGGGGTAGAATAATGTGATAAAGTGAAACTCTTCCTAAACTCATTCTTGTAACGTCAGATGATATATATTGTACATTTATTTAAATAATAAATAAATACAACTAATGAAGTTCTGTAAGTTAAAATAAACATTTATCAAAATCCAACATAAAAACATTCATCCAGTGATAAAAAGCATGCTTTAAACCTGGTGGTCCTGTAGTCCTGTTGGGGTCTGAAGAACAGGGTAAAAGGGGGCTAACAAAGTATGCAGAGAAACAGATGAACTACAGTCTGTAATTGTAGAACTACAAAGTGCAGTTATATGGTAAGTAGAGCTGATAAAATGGACAACGAGTATAGAAACATGGTAGTGAACCTAATGAAGTGGTGGGTCAGAGTACATTGATGTCCCACAAACATGGAAATCCCTTACTGTGGCCAACTAAGCTACTAAAATGGAGTACATGGGTGCCGAGGGGCTCCGGGGGGAAATTTAAGGTTTAAACAGTAAGTTGAGGACAAAGCGAAGTTATGTAAATCGCCTTGATATAACCTATAAAGTTGTGTTGCAGCAGCAGCACTGAACGTTCCCTGTATTCAAGAACTTACGTAGGGTTTGATTAGATCCATTTACATACAGTCATGAAGTAATGAGTGACTTATAAATGCGAACATACCAGCTGCACACAAAGGACATCCTGCTGGCCTGGATGCACAGTGCCAGTATCTCCCCTTGTGGACAGTCTTGTTAAATGTGAGTGAGTGAGCGAGTGAGTGAGTGAGCGAGTGAGCGAGTGAGTGATTGAATTACTTACAAGCCAGATCCAAAAATATTTAATCAGATCAAAACAGAATTGCTGATCTGAGCATTTGCTGGAAACTGCTTGTTTGGGGCATAAAAAATAATTAGAATTTTACATACACAGACACTGAATTCATTATAGTTTTAGATATGGCACTTTTTTGATACAGATATTGAAACCAATATTTCTCAATAATTCTTTGAAAACTGCTAAACTTGAAAATGAGCTATTTGTAATTAGCACTTCACTTAAGATGATCTCTTAAAAACAGGCTCTCATCCTCAAACTTCTCAAACACTCTATTACCCACCATCAAACAATGTGATCCTGTGCTATTTCAGAATAGATTCATTCTCATTTTCCTCCAATATCCATTCTGCTAAAAAGAGGCCCAATACCGATACTGATACTCATCCATACAGATATGCAATCTCTAATGTTTTTGGACCTTTTATGTGTACGTACTAAAGTCAAATTATCTTCGAGATTATTAAAATCATACATTTAAGCAAGACTGTCCAAACCTTTGGCAGGTACTGTAGCTTACCTGCGCGGTGTCAGCATGGAGCTGGCTGAGCTCACGAGTCCAGTGCACTGAGGATAGGGCAGCATCCAGCTCAGCGTGTCTCTGCTTTAATTGCTCCCACAGCTCCTTCTGTCTTGTCTTCTCATCCTAGAGCACGAGCAGGTCACTCACGCATCATCATTCCACCACAAATGTGACAACTGTATGTATTAAAATACCACATACTGCTTTCATATTAAGACATACTGAATAATTCATTTAAAATTTTGTTGTTAGACTGTAACAAGAGACCGCATCAGTGCTCAGAAGGTGGATTTGCTTTATGACTAATTAGCGTTGTGGAGAAGGCTGGGGAAAATGGAATCTAAACAGCTCATTAATTTGAGCTGCTTATGGGATATTCCTGGTGACTGCATTTGCTGGATAAACAGTGGCACTGCAGTGGAATCTAGCAAAGAAGTATTTCAAAAATGAGTCAGTCATTTCCTACAGATCACATAATTGCAGGCTGTGAATGTGGTGGGATTTACTAATTTCTTCCTCCATATGTGGATCACGACACCACTCGTAGCATCCTTCGCTTAAAAATTCACTGTACAGATTTCACACATCATAAAATTCTACACAAATCAAACACAAAGTCATTCAGAGTGGTTTGGTGTGAAGTGGTGCATTATAAATGACCAGCTCTATACAGAGGTGGTGGTGGTGATGACAGTAACTAGATGCTGTGATGTCTACAACACAAATACAGCCATTTTATTTACCATCCAAAGCAACTAGTTATCCCACACCTCTTCTAAGTTTTAATGTAATGTTGAGGGACTGTGAGGGAGCTTTTAGAGGCATTATACACTTCAGACATCTGGTTTCTATCACCATCAGAATGTTTCTCTAGAGCAGAGCATTTCACATCAAGCCACTCTCAATGACTGTTCATGTCTTAAATCATGTAATTATGCAGAATTTTTGAACTTCTTTCTCGGTTTGTCTCATCTGTAGTGGATGGACGATAAGCTGTTGACTGAGTTATGATAGAAGCAAAAGGGCACATTAATGTATTCTTCATAGATACTTGTGAATGAAGCATTACATCTGTATAACTTGTTCTTTCTGAGATGAGACTAATTTCCAGAGGGAAGAATGTATGGTAATTCATTAACAGTATAGTGTGAGTGTGAGTTTTCACAGGCTCCTAGAGGTATACATACCCGAAAAACAAAATTTGGATAAAACCTGGGACAAAACAGCTTTGGTAAGAATAGCTTTGGTAAGACTAGTCCTGTAATAGTGTGACAGATGTTGTTGAATTTGTGTTATAAAGGCACGTATTTCAAAAGTTTACAGACAGATTTCAGCACCAGCTCATTGGCTCCTATTATGTGAGTTTTGAGTCCTCTGGATTTCAGTATCTTTCAAAATATAGGAAAATGCATCAACATTTCTGTCTGTGGTAAATAACAGTAAAATACAAATGCTTCAGAAAGAGATTTGGTTAAAAAGGTTTGTAAACATGTATAAGCATGAAGAGAGTGAGTTCAAACTGACCGGATGCTCTTCTGACAATGTCGGTTGATCTTGCTCCCACTGCTGCCTCGCCATCAACACGCTTACTCTGTTCAATACAGTTGTTAGTTCAGTGTGCCAGTGACTCTGCTGCTCCCACTCTTCCTCATCACCTGCACATATACACAAAGGGAATCAGGCTGTTTCTTTATGACTTTATCACTTCACCCCAAGAGGCGCTCACCTTTGCAAAAAACCCCCCTCCATTTCAACACAATTTTTAACCAACCCTCATCAGCTTCGCCTCGCCATTACCCTTGGGGAAATTCCCAATTCTATCTTACTTCTTAATAAGTTCCATTATTCAATGACCTCAAGTGAAGTTTATTAGATGAGCCCCAAAGAGGCAAGAGAGTGAACGTAAGTGCTGACTTAGACAACAGAACTTGTCAAAAAATGAATGAACCTGACACATTTCCCTTTTCAAACTCAAACAAAAGGCAGACAAAAGTTATTTAAGCCACAGCAATTAAATTCTTTAAAATTAATTTTAATATTTCAAAGCTGTAACATTCAATTTGTTCAGAATGGGTTTAAGGAGCAAACTACTCCATCTGTTATACTTGACTGCTGAACTTCATGACTTTTTTTCTGCTAGCTTGCTAGTAAGCAAGCTAAAGGCTACACAGCTAGCTTTGCCTCAGAAAGGAAATACAGCAGATTTCTGAGGCAAAGCTTACAGCCAGACAGACAATTATTCACAAAATGCATGGATGTTATGTTCAGACACCTCAAAAAGTGTTCTGCATTACAAAGTTTGCCTGGCTAGCCAATTAGCCCACTGTGAGGGAGTGTATCTATGTTTTCAGGGTCCTGTGTTCAGCCCTTTATATGATACATCATACTTAAGGAAACCTATGAAACAGTTCTCAAAGTCATGGGGTCGTCAAAGGTCATACAGGGGACAGCAAACTCTTTGCCTCTGCTACCCTGCTGAAAAAAAACATCATAGACCAGCACTAATTCCACACTAGTCTAAGCTGGTTTACTAGCATCCAAAACACAACATATGCTAGTTTTGCTGGTGGCTAGTTAATCCTCCTATAAGGTTTGTATTTCAAACTATTTTTTAAGAAGTCTGAGTGTAGAATATATAAACTTCTTGAATAGTTGCAGTGACTGCCCTTCTTTTTTGTTGTTGCTAGCTGTGAAGTCCTTAGCTTGCTGACTAGCAAGTTAACAGAGCACAGTAACAAACTTGAGACGGTATCAGGGATTCCCTGAGGGGAAATGGTGATGAGGGCATGTTAAAAACAAGTGTTGACATGTAGGGTAGATGTTGTTGTTGAGGATATGCTCAAAGATTGCATTGTTAGCACAAACTGGTAATGTTTTGCAGTTTTGTTAATATTGTGAAGTTCAAATAAAATGATGACTAAAAAATCTGAATTCTGCCAAATCACTGAACAGATTTTCATTCTTGTAAAAATTTCAAAAATCTTTCAAAATGCAAATCTATTTGGAAGCCGCATGAACATAGACTTCACACTTTATTTACTGAACATATGACAGCAGAATATGCATGTTTGCACACATATCAGAGCTATCATGTTGAGGTAATATGATTGAGGCAATATGGGAACATGGGAGCTATTTTCCATTAAAATTTCAGCGAGAGAGCATAGAGGACTCTGGGAGCAGTGTTGTTTCCAAAACTACAAAGAGAATAAACAGAGCCTGGGGAACATAGAGCTGTTTCCTAGAAATTTTAATTAGAAAATCAGAGGATTAGGTGAAAAACAGTTGTTTGTTTTTTGTAACCCCTTAAAATCCCAGGCTTATGACATAGTAAGACTTATTATTGACTAACTTCACAGACTACAATGCAAATTAGCTGAGATATCCTTAGGTTATAGAAGTGTGTAGTAAAACTTTAGGTGTGCCAGTGGGCCCTGGCCATTTAAGGGATTAACTAGTTTGCAAGAGCAGGTTTTACATATTATGCAGATATTTTAAAAACAACGTGGGTGTAGCCCAATGGTTCTTGAGGCTTTCTAATGTTTGGTTGGAGCCTGGAAATCATTTGAATTAAGACATTTGTCTCTGTGCCTGACAAAGCATCCCTAATAAAAGGCCCTAATAAAAGGCTTGTTTATCATAGATGTGATGCACTTCCAATTGGTAAGTCAAAGTTGGTGAGTGCATGTTAAAAAAGTATTGAAACAGGACCCCATATGACAAAATGTGAGGACTTTACCTCCAGTGAGAGTAAGCAGGACGTGGGCGGGCAAGATGAGGGAGAGCTCTGAGTTCTGAGCACTTCTTCTCTGAGCCTCAGTGTGGGCTGCCTCCTGAAGCTCTGCTGTGGCTTCGTTCACTTGCCTCTCTGTGTCTGTCCACAAAAGCTAGAACACACCATGCACACAAAATCAGGATAAAAGTAAAGGTCCTCCCAGATACTTTGACTGTACAGATACTATGTCTGTACAACCGGCACTGCAAAGAAGAATATTAGCCATCTCTCATCTCTCCAGCCCAGTGTGAGCCTCACACGGTCTGACTCCTCCTGTATGGCTATGTAGAGGCAGTTCCTCAGGGTACGCTCTAAATCTGCCACCAGCTCTTCCTCTTTCACTCTCTGCTGTCGCCAAAATCGACCCCTCGCACTGCACTCCCTTTGCAAGGCCTCCACCTGCACCAAATACACATGCACAGACTTACAGAACAGAACCAATAGTGTGGTGAATGCTGCACTCTTCAGAACATCTGTATTTTTACTGAATTTTAGTTTTCCACTTTGAGTATGTTATGCAAGTTTATGTATCAAATAGTCATAATTTATTTTTAGATGACCGCTTTCTAACCTCTCCTTATCCGTTACAGTTAAACAGGCAGTTACTGTGTCTTTAAAGTAACAGGGAACACAGTGTAAAACATAGCAAAGTGCGATGAAAAAAATTGCTAGATCTGACTGATCAGAGTTATCTGGGAATTCTGTTAATATTCTAATGAACATAGATGATTGGCTCTGTCCCAGTTTGCAAAACCACAGAAGCAGACTAAAGTAGGGGGAGTAGGGAGACCGCTCTGAGACTACAGCTTACTAAAACAATATCCAGATTTTGTGTGTCGTAAAGATGGTAAGGTTCACTTTACTGCTGGATATGCAGTCAAGGAATGCTCTAATGGCCAGAACAGATGAATGAATACAGGGACTGAGAGATGACAGGCAGACAGACACAGATGAGCTTGATTGTACTTTTATGCGAGTTAGGTCAGCTTTCGCTTGGTTGTTTGCTTTTGCTCAGTCGTTAGCATTGACTCGGCTATTTGCTTTCACTTGGCTGTTAGCTTTCGCCTTCCAAGTTTCTCTGACTCAAACAGAGAGAGATCAGTGGGGAACACAGATTTGATAAGCTGTGTGGGAAGAACAAGCCACATCAGCCTCGTGATTGGTGAGGGCACTGCTTACACAAAGAGTACCCAACATTAGAGTGGCCCAGTTTACATCGAAAGGGGAGAATGTTGGCAAAATACATCAACAATTTAGTGTACATTAGAAAGTTATATATAGGACATACTGTGTGGCCCCAGGAGTGAGATTAACCTACTTGGAAAGAAAACATGGATTTAGGTTCCCTGGGGCTTTAACCCCTTAAAATCCCAGGCTTATTACATAATAAGGCTCATTTTTCAGTAACTACAGGGACTTCAGTGCAAACTTGCTCAGCTATTTTTAGGTTGTAGAAGTTTGTAATAAGACTTCGGGCCCTGGTCATTTAAGGGGTTAAGATTTAAATATGTAAATGATCTCTGTGCTGTCCTATCTTGTGCCTTGTTCAAAAATCAGTCCAGGCTGAAATCTATGGAACATTCTGTTATATTTAGAAATTCATGACAGATAGAAATAAACTTCAGCCACTCTTTTCAGATGTCCTGATTCTTTGGAAGGCTGCAGTGATAAAATGCTGTGATACAGTGTTGCCTCCTAACAATCAGAAACAGCACATTTAATAGTTTTTGTCTGCATCTTCTGTTCTGAAACTCTGCCACAGACTGTCTGCAGTAACACTCAACATGAGCAGGCATGTTAAACTGCTGTAGACTGAATGGGCAGTCATAGGAGCTTTTCATGATATCGCCGCCTTAACCAAACCTGCTCACCAGCACGCTGTCGGCAGTGTCTCCTACAGTCAGACACTGGGACACAGTTACTGGGACTATGGTCCTCTTCCACACATCTAGCCGAGCTCCAACCACCGGAGCCAGCATGCCGGTCACTGGGTCCACCGTTCGTGCCCCAAAGCGGATGGGGACCAGCCCTGGAAAATGGTCAGCCCACCATGAGGCATCAGGGCATGTCATTTTCACTGTATGAAAAAAAAGCAAAGTCAAACCATGCCTGACCTTTGCCATCTGCATCCTCCATGGTTCCAATCAGAGGCACCATGCACCCTGACACCCAGTCCAGCTGGGCTCCGAGAACAGGGACAGACAGGCCAGAACCTCCCGGGTCTGGATAGTCCAGCCCTGGCAGAGCGGGCAAAGACAGCTCTGTGCCAGGCAGCTTGACCTCCCCTAAAAGAACATACACAGAGGACTTTCTGCACATTCACAGAGTTTCAATCAGTTTAAGTTTATTGGCATGGCTCTTTTTATTACAGACGTGAGCCCTTCCGTTCAGTCAAATCATAAAATGAGCGCACACAAATTTCACCAATAGTTTTGTTATTCATCTGTTTCATTATTGGCTTATCTGTATGATTAAACTCACATCCAGTAGGAGTGCATGTAAATTTGAGAGTAAAAATATGACAACCTGTGACAATAGTTGATTTGCAGTTAACTAGTTAAAATGATCATCAATATAATTGACAATACCTACAATAAGAATAAAACAAGAAAAGAATGCTAATACTAATAAGTTGTGCATCCAGTACAAAAGTGCATGTACATCTTTTACACGTACATTGGTATAAACAAATGGAACTATCCCATCTTCCATTTAAAGACATATTACACCATGCTTTTGTTTTGTACTACTGAAAAAATAAAAAATACCAAACACAGCGAGTACAGAAGCATGTCACACACTGTATAATACAGCAGTTAATTGTTATTGTAGAAAATCAATCACACATACACATTCACGTCATCCTACCATCTTCAAAAAGCTAAGATGTTTTGTTTATCTCACATTTTACTCTTTCAAGTCATTGTAATTTTAACACTATAAAGTTTGGTCAGTAGGGGGAGCCGTGAACTCTCTGCTTAACCTCAAACTCCACCCATGAGCACAGCCATTGGTTCATGAGCCACTGAGAATTGTTTTATTGCCTCCCTACCTAAACATTTGCATGAATTAGTGTTACTTCATGTAATTGTAAATGACACGCTGATAGACTGGCGCTTGATTTCACGCACTGAAGCTGATTCATCATTTGCACTCAAATCTCTGCTTGTTACCCCATCATACGAAAGTTTCATGAATCAAACACAGAGGAGTTCATATGCACAGCCAAATCTGTGCTCTTCTGTATGCATCTTTGATGGACAAGGGTCAATGTCACCTCTTTAGATACGTGTAATGAGCAAGCCAAGGACCACTGCAGCAGAAAAGCTAAAAAAACTTCTGAGCTCTAGGAACCAAAAGGCAACATCAGATGGAAATCATAATACTACAAGTGAGATTAAACAGAGGCACAAAATGATCAATGATATGAGCCAGCGATTGATGTTAAAAGTCTATCAGACAGAAGAACTGGTGAACTACTGATCATGTCAAATGACTTTAAGCATTTAAGTTGTCTATAAAGTCTAGTTTATAATATGTTATCCACACTATATGAATAACTGCTGTATATCCTCATGAGTGTCATTCATTGTATTAAAAGATCCCATATCATAAAACTGAATTTATCACTCTTTTGAAACTGCAGCATGAGCTTAAGCATTTGAGCAGGTTCCAAAGTAACATTCAGTCCACATGCTTTTTTATCAGGAAAAAAAATGCTTCTCCTGTCATTAAAAGTCGCTCTTGAATTTGGCTACAGATGCCTAAAAAAATACCATGAAGGAAGAAAAGCATTACATGTATATATTATTTAATATTACTTTGCAAACTGTTAAATCATTCCTCTCTAGTTCTCATTGGGTTTTCTTTCCTACCACAGCAATTATCGCCTTTGAAGCATTCTCATAAGCTTACTTCTTAATCATTGCCAATATCCAATTACATCTCCCTGTTGCCCAGGCCTGAAACACTTTTAAAGTTTCAAAAACTTTCACTCCCCAGATCATGCTGTTTATATGCTGCCAAAGTGGCTCATTTTGAATTCATTTTTACTTTTTTTATGTCATGGAAACCAACACATTTATACATATTTACTTATTCAGTGTACAGTAGGACAGCACAACCTTTTTGCTTTCTGAATGAGGCCCAAACAAAATAGTCTGTTTTTGTGCAAGGGGTAAAGAGAGGTTGGAAAACTGGTCATGGTACAAATTACTTATGACTATTCTTGGTAAACAAGACCACTCAAATGTGATAAGAACTGTAATAAGAACATTTGTAATATAAAGGTTCTTTAAAAAGTACATTTAAATTAGCTACAATAAATCAGAGGTGGTCCCATTATTACAGTTAATATGTCATAGAATTGACTACATACCAGTCTTAAAGGGCTATAGTCTCCATTTTTCTTTTTTCCTGAACTCTGTATCCTTAGGAAGGCTGCAATAATACATTTAGTTTCCGACAGCCAGAAAAAGTACATCGTGTCATTCTCCTCTTATATGTTCTGCTACAATAACTGTGCTACAAACTGTCTGAAGTAATACTCCTTGAATAGGTGGGGGAGTGAATGATACCTTTTGAAACTTATATGCTATACAGTACAACAAAGTCATTCAAAAAGGAAAATTTCCATTCTATGAAACCTTTAAGTTGTCTCTGCTGGACCCAGTAATGCTGTGATTGTAAACAGAAGTGAATCACCGCTGGTCAACCACATGACAGTGCTGAGTACCCACCTACCTACACTGCCGCCGTCCTCAGCCACCCCCCACGCCCACTCCTGCTGGGCTTCCAGGCGGCTAAGCAGCTGAAGCATGCAGTGCTGGCTACTCTTCCAGGCCTGCTCCAAGTCAGAGGCAGCAGCCCTCAGTCTGCTCATTTCACTGTGCAGCTCCAGAGTCCCAGCGCTCCATTCCTCACAGCAGGCCCGCAGCTGCTCCACTAGCCGCACCCGTGCCCCCAAAGCCTGGCTGTCTAGCAGAGCCTGGAACCCCCCAGCATGGGGCACCACCTTTCCCCCACGGATGCTGCCTCCACCAACCCGCACAAGCCTGCCACTCAGAGGCTCGATGAAGCTTTCACCCAACAAGAGGCCCCCGACTGGAAGGACTGTGCCTGAAACATAGAACAATATAACAGCCAGCTTCTTCAACTTACTGCACTGATGAATCATGAAATGTGGGAAAAGTCAGTGTTTTCTCATCTGCTTGCTAGAGAACCTGTTAAAAAATGCCCATATCCTACATTTTCTGTACTGTATCTTTCTCTGGGGTCCACTTATGACACTTGTGTGGATTTATGTATCACAAACAGTCGTAAATCTAAATTATACATGAACATTCTACAGCCTCTCTTTATCCCTTAGAACAGTGGTTCTCAAACTGGGTGCTGCGAGTGGAGAGGGTGGACTGTGGGTGGGGAGGAGGGCTGAGAGGGAGTGGAGGGGCTACGAAAGGGGGTGGAGCTGCAATTGAAGGGTGGGGCTGCGAAGGAGGGGTGTCACAGGCTGGAGGTTGGGGGCAACAAGTGGGCCACAGAAAAATTTCAGAAGTTGTATCTCTACTTAGTAATTTTGTCAGTTCATAAAATCTTCTTCAGCCATACCTAAAAAGGTGGTACTTGTGTAAAAATGGCAGATGTTTTTAAGCATTACAATAATTTAATGTAAATGTCAACCAATTTGTGCCCATCGAGAGCCCACTTAAACAAGACATCTGTGATGAGATTTAAAAAGGTCTTCATTTTTTGAGTAAAGTTAATGACTGGGATGGGGGGGGCAAGAAGGGGAGAGGGTGGAGGGCACAGCGGCACTTACAATCCACAAAGGGGGCTTTGGACTAAAAAAGTTCAAGAACTGCTTCCTTAGAATTAAACTAAACTGCAGAAAGCTGAATGGGTAGATATATGCAATTGCATTGGTTTTATGACATCACAAAAATGTGAATCCAAAACAAGCTGAGTTTTTATATACAGCCTGTGTGGTTTTCTGTTAAGTTTTCGGAACTTTAACAGTGTTAACATATGACTCTGTGGCAGCAGGGATGTGGTCTAGCACCACCTGCGGGGTAGACAGCCAGTCACAGTGAACCAGCAGGTTATTAAGGCCATGCTTTTCACCTGTGTGTCATTTGCTGTCAGCCTACTTGCATGCTTCTGTCTTGCAGTAGGTGGTTGGAGACTGAGTGAGAGAGAGAGAGAGAGAGAGAGAGAGGGCTTCCCTTATGCAAAGTCAGCCAAGTAACAAGTCATACGCCTGAAAGCTATGTTTTTTTTCTTTCTTTTGTCTTGCTCGCAGCTGAAAAAGCCTCGCCTAAATCCTTTAAGTTCCTCCATTATATGTATCAGCTCTGCTTATGTTAATCCAGCTCCTAGATCCTACTTCCCCAATAATGCAAAGGCGATCACAGAGTCTTGTGTAAAGAAAAGAAAAAAGTGAAGAAAATTGTTTTCCATGATATGGACCCTTTAAATCCCTTAATCCAGCTAGGGTTGCTGGAGCCTATCCCAACAGTCATTGGAAGGAAGGCAGGAAACACACAGGTCAACAGTCCATCGCAGGGCAGACAGGCTTATTACATACTAAAGCTTATTATTCAGTAACTACAGGGATAATAAAACTTTAGGCCCACCAGTGGGCCCTGGCCTTTTAAGGGATATCACAGACCGAATACTGCTATGTGACAAAGAGTATGACAACAGCTGCTTTAATGTAAGATTAATTTAAAGCTGGGAAGACAACCGCTGAGCTCACTGATTACCTGATTAATGCAATCACTAAAGCAATCTAGAAGATTATGCAGCTTTAATAAACATGTTCTGATTACATTCCTCTTAGAGGTCATATATTCAATAGCATACACACTACAAATGTGTCAGGTTTCACTGTTTCATTTCATTTTTGTTTTATTTCTCTCAGTCTACATTTCCTCTACATTCTCATGCTTCTCTTAAATCGCTGACTCTATTAATCATTGACATTTGACTATTCTAGTCTCTTACAAACCTCAGCATTATAATTACTGCATATATCTTGAATATGTAACACATGATTCCATTTTATGCACAGAATCAGTTAAGGGGACATATTCTGACCTTTGTGGGGATCCAGACCGACCCCTGTGATAAGTGCCACGCTTCCTGTGCGGGGGTCCAGCATGGGACAGCCAATCTGGATGGGCTGTCGAAGACGTGAAATGGGGCACGTGTGGACCCCACCTAGCGGGTACACCATACCCGTCTGGGGGTGGATGGTCACTGCCAGGATGGGCACCAGCACACCAGTGTCATAGTCACACATGGGTCCCCCTAACACCAGCCTCTGGCCTGCACGGAGACCCCTAAGCTTAGAGGGTCCAGGGAGCTCAGTGTGGCGAGATGGAGGGATAGGGAATGAAGGGCAGCAGAGGAGACTCCCATTTTCCCACCTCACCTGAGGTCAAACACATGGAGCAGAGGCCACGTTTAGATTAAAGGGTTAAAAGTGGCACAGATATTTTTTGCCTAAAATATTGCAGATCTGGGGCCAGATTCACAAAAGTGTCTTAAGAAAGAAAATCTTCTTGAATGTGTGTTTTTTTCTTAACTTCATTCTTAAGAAAAAAGTTCACAAAAATGTTTTATTCTTAAATTAACTTCTTAAGAATGATCTTTTTTTCTTAAGAATTCCTATTTATATAACTCCTATTTTTTTTCTTAACTATTTTTTAAGAATAATTCTAAGAACAGGTGGTATTCTTGAAAACATTATGTTCTTAAATGTTTTCTTAACCTTACGTTAGCCTCACACTTGTCTTAGGCTGTAAAGGTTAACAGGGTAAGCGTCTAAATTTATCAAGGCCACTGCCTCTGCTGCTCTTGTCCATCCTCGTCTGTTGCTTTCCAAGAAGGATTTTTTCCTGTTGGCAATTTCTTCCACCATCACCTCTAGTTCTCCTTTGCCAATTTTTTCTAAACTCTTGGTTTGATGTTTTTCCTCCCATTTCGCTCCTCTGAGTGGATAACGGAAATAACAGTGAAAACAAATTCAAAATTTATCTTGCATCATTTATGGGAAGCTGTAAAATGCAACATAGCAAATAACATAAATTAACATTTTCCTAAGAAAATTAAGTAAATGAAGAACATCTTAAGGAAATAATTAAGATTATCTTAAGAGACCATTTAAAAAAAAGTATTTTTTTTATTAATTTCTTTTAAGAACATTCTTTGTCTTTATAAAAAAAAAGTTTTCATAAATCCGGCTCCTGCTTATTGTCATGGTATAAACACAATAAATCGAATCTTTTCATATCAGATTTGAGCTTATTTTATATGCAGTCTTAGATTGGATAGGTACTTGATACCATGGCCATGGGGCTATAATTAGAACTGTCAGATCAGAATTCATGTGCTTTTTTTTAATTACACAGCACACTTCACTGCACATGAGCATATCACTGTCGTCATGCAGTGTTGGCAACATGTCAGCAGCAGCTAACCTGATGATAAACTTGATGATAAACTTGATGATAAACTGATGATAAACCTGATGATAAACTTGATGATAAACTTGATGATAAACCTGATGATAAACCTGATGATAAACTTGATGATAAACCTGATGATAAACCTGTTGATAAACCTGATGATAAACTTGATGATAAACCTGATGATAAACTTGAAGATAAACCTGATGATAAACAGGTCTATCCCAAAGTTCACCCTTGTGGATTTTGGTCTTGTTTTAGCACACACATACATGATGTTTGAATATTTAATGAAGTGCAAAAGCACTCATTAGGACCGCAAATGTACAGATAAGTTTGTCAAATATTCAAACATATTAAATGAATTAAATACATTTCTTTTTGTTGCGAACAAGTCAACGTTATGGCTCTTAAATCCACAAGTGTGTGCTATACATGGATGACTCTACCAAACTGGTTTAAAGACTTCAAAACCCATTTCAGACTCTAGACTTTTAACTGATTTGGACTTTAGACTAAAATCCTTTTGATTGGAGTGCCTTAAGTCTTAATTATATTTATTTTTTTTAAATAAATGATTGAACATTCCATTTTGTCACTACCAAAACAGTCGTAACACTACTGAAACCTTAGCAAATGTTTCAGTTGTGAGTGTTTTGGCAGTGACAATTGTAGCTGATTTTAAGTATGACTAAGTATGAAAAACACTAGCCAGTACATGACTAGCAAACATAGCTTTGAACTGTTCACACAAATGAAATCATAACAATTTTTATTAAAACACAAAAAAGTTTACTTTACTGCCAAAAAATATGTGTGAAAATATGTATAGTATAGTATTAGTAAGAGTCTGAGTGGCACAGTCACTGTCTCCTGACATGTCTGTATATTTTTTTATTGTGACTTACAAACTTAAATATCAAATTTGAGTGAAATGCCCTTCCATAAACATACTGCCCATGGCCTGAAACATACTGGAGCAGCGGAAGTAGCTTTTAAGATTTTAATGTATGTTTTCTACTTTTACTACTTCTTTCTAACGCATTTCATAATGCATTTTTCATTGATTTCTATGAATATTTAAATTTCCAATTATCCAATTATGCACACGGGTACGCAACACCACAACCATGGACTCCGGAAAAGGCCAAAAATGTGTGCACACGTGCCTTCAGGACATACAAACAACTGATACACCTCATTAATTTACACAAATTTGAGCAAAAAATTAGCAATAAGGCCTATAAATGAGCCCTTTTAATCAAATTAGTCTAATCTACAATCAAAGCCCAAAACTGCTGTACTGAGATTGATATCATATGTGATTATGTGAAGTCAGTGTATCATGTAGTGGAATATGACATGCTGGTGTGGTCTCTCACCCACACAAGCATCAGCCGTGTACACCAGAGTGGAGCTGGCAGGGTCAAAGCTGACGTTCCCGGCCACAGGCAGCACCCGGCCAGTCTGCGGGTGGAGAAAGAAATCGGGAGGCACGGGCATGCTGTGCCCACTGGCCAGGAGCATGTGGGTGTTCGAGTTGGGCTGGATGAGGCCGGTGCAGGGGTCCACATGGACAGCTTCACAAGCCCTGACAGTGCCATCAGGTGCTGTATGGGAAAAACAACTACATTAAACTATGAGACGCTCAAAGAGCAGTGGTTCTTGTGAATGATGCAATGATGCAGTACTGGGGCTTTTTCAAGAAGCATGATTTCTAATTAAGCCCAAACTGAGGACAGTCTAATAGTAATGCCTCTGCCCTTTAATTTATTTTTCACTCTTCTACATTCAGCCACCACTAGGTGGGGACGTTCATTGGCCAGACACAGTACATTTGCATAGACAGAATATGTACATGTTAGTTATGATACATATACCAAACAGAGGGATCCAACAGAACAATGAGTTAAAACCTATTGTAGAATGTATGTAGGGTAAAGCTCCTGGAAATAGCTGGAGTGCTGAGAGTGATGCAGCGCAAAGGGCTCACCAATGATGTCATCCCTAGTGAGTACTGTACCAGAGGCAGGACAAAGTAGTTGTGCTCCTGTGGCCTGTTTGAGTATAGCCCAGCCCCCTTGCCTCTGGGCCTCCACTGACACCAGCTCTGCCATCTCCTCAGTCAGAACTGCCACTCGCTCCATAACACTGCACAGCAGAACATGTAAATCACATTATCACATAAGCATGGCTCTGCTCAGGACCTGTGACCCAGACAAGGTGTATTATTTTCATGAAACCTTCTGTATATATTGTTGTGGCAGTTTGGAGGCAGAGATTTCTAAAGAAGAGATTGAAAAAGTCATTTGTTGCACTTCTTTAAATGAGCCTTTACACTGGGATGACTCTTCAGTTGACTTTAAAATCCGCTAAGATAAATGCATATGTAGACAATTAACTTATCTCCTAGATATGGTAAAGAAGGTGATAACAGCCTTGTGCAAATCCAGTAAAGAGACTAATCAGGGTTTGCACTGGGCACTGGGTTTGCACTGGGCTTTCCAAGAACAGCAGAAAAATTCTTCACTGCTTTTATCATTGGCTGGTTGTGTGAACAATATCAAACTGAAGGCAGAACAAATGTGTTCTGATGTCTTCTCCATTCACCCCAAATAGCCATTCCAAAACTCTGTAAATGAGCCCAACAGATCAATCTCAAGTTTCCAGTTCCCAAAAAGAAAAGGTTTAGCATGCACTCTTGAAACTAAACATTCCTAAATGGTTATCAGTCCTAAAAAAAACTTTACACATTACAAAATGTTCTTTCACTTGCACATCCAACCTAAAAAAGATTCTTTAAAGGGGAAATCTGCAAATGTTTTCAAATATCACCGCATAATTCAATTGTTGAGATATAAACATTAAGTCATTAGGAGTGGTTTGATGTGAAATGGTGCAGTGTAGAAAAACCTCCTGACATCTTTACAGTGGTGGTGATAGGAGCTGGGGTTGTGATGTAACAAAGATAAAAAAGTAGTAAAAAAGTTAAAAACAGAGTTTTCTTTGGATGCCATTATACCCTGCAATGTATAGTTACTGCAGTATCTTTATGACTATAAAACCACAGTAAAACATGTCTCAGGCATCAGGCAGCGTATTTGTAACCATTTCTGTAGTAGCTTCCTGGAAAGAAGCTTTGGGAGCATTAATTGCTTTGGACATTTGGCTCAGATCAACACCATTAAGAGCAATTCTGACTCAGCAAGTTCCTCAAGAAAGATACATTTTACATTAAAAACACTCTGAATGACTTTGTTTACATTATGATCTGGTTTCTTGGCTGACATTAAGCTTAAGGAGCCAGCATCATTGGTACATCTTTATTATTTAAGTCTTGCTGGGTAAACTCCCTGCTTATCTGTGCAAATTTCTATCACGTATTAACCGCTGCTCTACAAGGTACCCAAGATTAGTTCAGAACTGGGTAGAACAACTTTCTCCTACTTTGCGACTTGGTCATGGAACAACCTTTAGAACGAACTACAGCTTAATGATTTTGTCGCCCTGTGTGAGTTTAAAGCTTTGATAAAAACTGAATAACTCGAGGGCAACTGCTGTTCCTAAGCTTGTTTTTGTGTGCTGTATTATGGATCTGTCTATTTTTAAAATGTTCTATCTAAATTGTCATATGTCTGTTTTGTTATGCTTGATTTTATTATTCCTGTAACTGGTAATGGTGTGCTATCCTGGCCAGGTCTCCCTAAAAAAGAGATTTTAATCTCAAGATTTCCTGGTTAAATAAAGATTAAATATATAAAAATAAATGAAACATTTTTATTTAATTAACCAGGCATTTTGAAAACTTGATGGGATTCCCCTTCAAAAGAACCATCTACTTCTTTAAGGAGCCAAACACTCCAAAGAAGGTCGAGGTGCTCGAATACTCCCTGGCCTGTTCTTCTTTTACATGATAACCCACGAACAGAAACTGTGTTCTCTTTGGGAGTCCAGAGAAAAAGCTGTCAGCTGAATAATGTTATGAACTCATATCTGTTGCTGATGATTCATGTATTACATATGCAGAAAGCCATTCAGACCTTTGGCAGCGTCTGTGAAGAGTGTACTCGTGTCTTTTGAGCACCTAAGCTCAAAGTTCCTGCTTCCAGCTAAACACTTCTTCAAATATTTACAGAGGCACCATTACTCTGCTATACATCAAGGTGCTCGTTCATCACACACCCCCTTTCAACGAGATACAATGATAAGAGGCAAGCAGGGAAGCAAAAGCTTGGTTTCCCATGGATGTGCCTTATTGACCAGTCTGAGGTGACATAACCAAATCATGACCCTTAAATGTCTCTTAGGTCATGGGGAAATGTTTGTGAAATGATTCATGAAGCAATGTTCAGTGAACAAATGTGTGTCCACAGTAATCCTTAGTGTACTGCCTCCCATGCATTGCACTGCATGATTTATGCCCAGCAGGGAAAACAACAGAAGATTCCTAAACGGCACTGATGTGTTTGCCAGTGTAAAACTCCATCTGGTTAATACTTGTTCAGATATTGAGAAGTCATGGGTAAAAAAACATGGAACTAGCAGTTTTTCTGCCAATTTTCACAGAACTTCAAATGATGAGCAAAGCCAAAACAAAGATAAGAGCATTACTATTGATCATTACTACTGACCAAGCCCCTCAGATGAGTTGCGACACATTTTCAACTCAATGACCCATTGGCAACAAACCCCCAGAGAGTATGTTATTAAGCGAATGAGATACAAACATAAAACACTTAAAATTAAGGGATTAGTTAAGGCCTTATAAGGGAATTACAGAATTTTTTTTTGCAAAATTCAAGCATTTAGATGTAAACAGAGTCATTGCATGGTTTGCTGTGGAAAGCTTAACTGTTGAGAAACTTACAGACTCAGGTTTCTTTACAATGCTGGTGATAGAAACCAGAGGTCATGATGTCTACAACACAAATATAGTATTTCATTTGCTATCCAAAACCACCAATAACCCTAAAAAAGCCTAGAGTAATAGAGAGACACCTAAGTAAAGTGTTCATCCACCACATGCCACCAGAACAGTGACAATGTGTCTTGGCAAAGATTATACAAGTTTCTTTAACTGTACTGGAGGGATGAACCACCATTCTTTCAAAAGTTATTCCCACAATTGGTGTTCTGATGATGGGGGTGGAGACGGCTATCTGACACATCTCCCATTGCTGCTCAATTAGTTTGAGATGTGTTGACTGCAAAGGCCTTAGCATATGATTTCCATAATTTTCATGCTCATCACTTCATTCAGTGACCCCTTGTGCCTTGTGAAGGCACATTGTCTATTCAGGATAGAAATGTTTTATTATGGGATAAAGCTAATTGGTCAGAATGAGTTTGAATTTATCTGCTGAGATGCTTCCCTCTATGAGAACCCAAACCATGTCAGCAAAATGACCCCCACAACATAGCAGAGCCATTAGACCCCTTCACTGTAGGGTCAAGCATTCAAGCCTGAAGTGTTCTCTTGGTGTATGGTGAAGGGTGACTCTGACCATAGCACTTTTCTCCACATCTCTGTAGATCAGTGCCTGGTTTTTGTGAGGAGTTTATACACTGAAAACCTACAATAATATTCCTCTCTATGTAGTTGTGGATGGACAGGTCTTGCTGGCAGAGTCTGATCACCTCCTGCTTTGACATTCTCAGTCACCTCAGGTACAGCTGCTCTTCTATTTTTCATTTTTCAAGTCATGTGCAAGCATCATGGTAATTTGACCACCATTTCCAACCCTATTTACTGGGGTGCTACCCATAGATCTAAGTGCAGAGGTAACCTTATTTGAGCAGTCTTTGTGAGTCACTTTGATATTTTCCTCTTGCCATCTTGATAAGATGGGCCTGTTTTTTTGCCATTTTTATACATGCAACAGAGCATGATAAGATGTTGCTTAATTATATTTTGCACTCATTCTAGTTTCTCCACTCACTTACTTAGTTTTTTCCTTTAATTTGTCATGAGTCTGTAGTTCACTTATGAAGTCACTCTTTTAACTCAACACCTTCATTAAATGAGGTGCATACTATACATAATGCATTTGTGAAATCTGAATACAATACCACTCTACAATAAGAGTGGCATGGAAGAAGGACCTAGAAATAGAGATCATAGAGAACAGTGGGACTCAGTGGGACGGAGCACAGAAGCAGATTCATTCTCCTTCAGCATTTTGCGCAGACTGCATCTCTCTAAATTAAAGCTCTCCAGGATGTTTCCATCTATTGACCCAGCATGTGACTACTGTCGACAAACACCAGGCTTGTTGGTTCATGTTGTCTGGAGTTGCACAAACATTAACAGTTATTGACTCAAAATCTTTCAATCCCTATCTGACACAGAGCAACCCTTTAAATCAGACCCAGTACTAGCTATTTTTGGTGGTAAGACTTTGAATGTGCTGCTGTCATATAATCAATACAATAATGATCGCACGTGTTATTGTTAGCACCTAGATCGATTTTACTTAACTGCAAACAAAGTCACTAAACTACTGAACTCTGATAAGGAAAGGTCAGTAAGCACTATACCATATAACTAAATTCAATAATGGTGTACTTATATAATGACTTACAGTTGGCCTGTACTGGTATTCACAAAGTAGCTCAGAGTAAGAGGACAAATCTCAGATTCAGATTCCTTTCCTATTTATTACAGTCACTGTCACAAAAACTGATCCTACATCAGCCCTGGTGTGTACCTACCGAACACTGTAAACACTTTCTGAAAGATTCTTTCACGTGTTTTGGCTCACTTCCACATCACTGTGTTTGTCTACTCATGAATAAAATGTATGTTCACATGCACAAAAACACAAAGCAAAATATACAGACAAAATGAGACTCCTAACAACTGTGCGAGACCTGATAGAGCATTAAAACTCTCACCATCAGATAAGATGAATTTAAAGCTTTCATTTTTAATAGAAAGAAGAAAACTGAGCTCCACTCTTACAGATCTTCAGATCTTAAAAAATCCACTGGTGTTTCTGTCCATCCTTTCACACACACTCCAGCTTTTGCGTCACAGCCACTTCACATCTTCTGTTTTAGATTCACTCTTAAAACTCTTTTCTTCTCCATTCAGACATTCAGTGGAATTTTTTCACACCTGTCCTGCAGACCCTTAACGTTTGTAGGCAAGAGAGACACAGTGCCTAATTCTGAGCAGCACAGTGACTCTTAGCCATTTCTAGTGGCCAAAATATGAAATGTTGTAGCCAGAAACACCAGGTGATAGGCAATGTCACCCCCTGCTCTATATACAAACAAATAATTTCCATACAAGTTGCATTCTATATTAAGAAGCAAATTCTTAAAACAATTAAAATAATTACAACATTAGTCATAAGCCTTCTGTTGCAGAACATATTAGAATGGGAAACTTTCACTGTTGACTGTGATTTACTGAGTAGATTAACAGTGGATGATGGGTATGGAGATATTGCATTGTTTGTGCAATAATCTTTAACTGTAATGCTGCTGAGCAACTGCATCCTGCTGTTAATGAACTATATTGCTTAAAGAAAGAACTGTTTACTGTGATTTTCCTTAATAATAAATGTAATTATGGACTGAACATTGGCATACCTTTTCATTTAGCACTTTTCACTTCTGTTTTGTATTTTGTTTCATAAATGTCTCTGCTTCACAACTCGATTAACAATAACCATTAACTGAAATAAATCACTGTAACACACAGCCTCTCACTGCGTACTGCTTCATCAGTACATCTTCTGTGACTGAAGAAGTCAGACTTACCATTGCTGGATCTGTTTGTCCCACAAAGTGACCTGGTTGTCAGACAGTAGCATCAGCAGTCTGAAGCATTCTCTGAGGCTCGCTGTGAAGGCCCTGTGCATTGTGTGCCGGGGTCTTAACTCAGCCCGTAGGATCTGCAGCTGGCTGTCAAGCAGCTGGGCCAACTGGGTGCCCAAGGCTTTCCTCCGTGCCATCTCTTGCTCCACTTGCCTCTCCAGAGCCTCCAGCTTGCCCCCTGCCACTGCCCCCCAGCCAGGGTGGAGCCCTTGCACCTTTCCCAGCACCCCCTGATACAGCTGCTTCACCTGTGGACACAGAGGCAATGCAATAAAAACATAATTGCATTGAATTTACTTCATTCAAATGTGTGCATCAATTCCACATGAATAAGATACACTATTTGTACAAAAGTGTCCAAACGTGGGGAAGTGCATTCTGATTGATTTTCAAGTGTCCATGGACAGATAATCTCACAAAACATATAATAATACACAAACACAGTGAACTTGTGCACTGGTGCGAGCACAATAAAAAATCCACAGCTTACAGGGGTGTTAACTTGAAATAATGCCTTATTATTCAAACATAGCCATGTTCTTGAGTAACAAAGGCTGCCTTTTCAGATGAGCTAATGAGCTAATAATACTGCAGCTAACCAACACAGTGGGAGATGCATCGGTTTTCTACACTGAGTAACAAAGGCTGCCTTTTCAGATGAGCTAATGAGCTGATAATACTGCAGTTAATCAACACAGTGGTAGATGTGTCTGTTTTCTATAAAAAAATACATGTAGAAAACAGATGCATGTGCCAAACATGTTAGTTTGTAAAGGTAACATTACACCTCATTCACCAAGCAATTGTACAAAGTTTGCACAAAGTTTCTGACATTCACCAGTGTCTTCTTATGTGAGATTTTTTGGTAACACCTAGAACACACAGAAAAACAAAGGTGTGAACAATTGAGTGGTTTAAGAACATCATGAATTATCATGAATCTGACGTAGACATTTTCTTAGGAAATTTCTCTAGAAATTTCTCTAGAAGATATTGTCAAAGGAGGCCCATTGAGAACAGAGAAATGTCTTTTCATGTTTTTGGTGCTAGATAAAGCCAACTAAAGCAGTTAGCAAAGTCATAGCCATAATACCTCTGGCTTCTCAAATATGTCCTCAGCAACACATTCTTAACAACATGCTCACATTAAGGCACTTATATGTCATTGCAACAAAGTTTGAAATACTAACTAATATCATGAATACGATTAACACTTCATAGCCCTCTTGAAACTAAATAGCATTTAAATTCATTGTTGCCCTGTATATGTGCTCTCTGACTTCCCATGATAGACTGTAGTGAATATACAAAGGGTGATTTCTGTATTTGGATACTGGCATCTGGAATGGTTAAAGAGTACCCAGGCACCCATGCACATGCCAAAGAGACAATTAGTGGCTACTAGTCTACCAGACCTTCTGAGTGAATTCAGCTACTTAAAGATGCACACATTGCTGAAACAACTGCACACATACACCTTGTATAATCTCAATGGAAAAGCACTGGCAATAGAATGGGATGCTGTGGAGCAGTGGCACATGAGCCTAAGGTCACCATGCATCAGCTAGAGAGGTTTAAATCCTCATCAGCATTGAGTGGGAGTGATGTATGTGATCTAAAACTGCTCATCCAAAATCAGTAGCTGACCTTACCAATGGCCTTATGGATGAATGTGGACGAACCTTCACAGCACTAATCCAACACCTAGTATTAAGCCCCTCTAAGAGATTTCAGAAGAAATATTGGATGAGCAGCTGTCTACAAACTTTGACATGTAGTGTATATAGATAAATAGATAAGATTTCATTCAGGTGGAAATTAAGTACACATTTAAATCAATTCAATCCATTACTTTTGTCAGTGTGGGTTCACCTCAGAAGGATAAACAGACAAAAGGAATACTCTCTTCATCGCTCATCTTACAGCTTAATATCTGCAGGTGGCTCGAGGGGAGTAACAGTTATCAGTTGTTACCCAACTCCACTCAAAAACCATTACATAGTCAACACTGAAACAGGAGAGACTGTTAATTGTGGGCTAAGCTTAAATAAAAGCATCTCCACCAAGTCATTCAATACAGGATGATGCATTTAAACTTTAGGAGGGCGTTACCGAAAGCTGAGGAAGATGAAGGAGGAACTGTGAGAAGCTCACCTCTCCTCTGAGCTGCCCGAGTCGGGCCGTGATTGACACACTGTGCCTGAGCAGGATGTCGTAGAAGGTACTGGAACTGAAAGCCTCCAGGTCCACCTGCTCCTCATAGTCCCAGAATTCATCTGACATGAGAGCCACAGCTGTGGGCAAAGAGAGGACAGTCATCCAGGCATCAGAATACGCTGTTAATCCCTGAACAGATTCCATAAAGATCTACTTAATCTCCCTGATAGAACCGAAAAGGATCACATCCAGGCTAGCGCAAAGTGACAGGGGTTTATGGCTGTAGGTGTCAAAAAGGATACACCTGTGTGAAAATGGCTAAGACACCGTCAGGACTTGGCCACAATGGCATTGAAAGTTTACCAAAGCAAGCTCTCAGGTTTGACTGATAGTGGATGATGGCATTATCAGTTAGACATCGCAGTTCACAAAGTTGCTTGCAGTGTTTAGAGCAAACATAGATCCCAAAAGACAGACAGATTTGATACTTTTTTGGACACGGTGTACATCATGTCTTTGGATACCTGTTTATGTCTGCTAACAAGTTACAGGTGAACTGGAATTTCTTGTTGAAGTACACATAAGAAAACATTACAAAAAACCTGTGTATTCTCTATAAAGTCAATAGAGAGGACAAATCTCTCACCTCTATAAAATCATTGTTTTATCTGTATTTCCTTCAACTCAATACAGACAATTCTATATTATGCGAGCGTGTCTTCTGTAATCTCCACAGAGTTTCCTTAAAAAATGGAAAATTCCTCAAGAATAAAGTATTTTAGGATCTTATGGTTGCATAACGTTTCCAACAGCTCTTCCTTAAGAACAAACTACTAGAGGTAACTTTAAATTATTCATTGTTAATACAGCGTACCATAATAACATCCTCAGACAAACTACATCGTTAAACGATCTTATTTGCTTTCTCATTGTCAGGCAGACACTGCTGGAGTTTATCTGGAAAATATGAACATTTCTAAAGGCCTGTTTCTAAAGGACAGTATTATTTTTTCATGGTAAGGTAATGCCAGTTTACCACAGGATGTCTATAATGTTTATGACCAATTTGCAAAGGAATTTCAGTATCAGTGACTGAGATGGGAGTGGCCACTCAAATAATGCACTGCCTTCATTCTAGAAAAGAGTAGAAAAGATGTTAAAACAATTAATTTAACCATAATGTTGTTTACTCTAACCATTTACCTTTCTGTCTTAAGGGAATGCAGTGTGTCATTAGCATCATCATTAGGAATTCACAGCAGTCAACTTCACAGCATAAAATTAAAAAAACTTTTTTTTTCTTGTAAATTTACATGATCTGAGTTGTACACATGACAGTACAATAACTTTACATTTCGGCTTGATTTTAGCCACAGAGGACACAAGCAAACACTTCCTGCATACTGAAAAAGCTCCTTTTCTAAAGAATATGTTAGCATTTTACTGACATGTCAATTTGCATGGGATTAATATAACCTGAGGTTATTTCTACAGCTCCTTGTACAGAAGGTAAAAAGTGTGCAGTCGGTAAAAATGACTGACATGGTACATTGGGACAGGACTACACAGGCAAAAATTACATTACCCCATCATCTCATGTAAAACGGATCCCGTCTGAATATGGCTTAAGAAACAGTAGCACATAATGACAGATTTGTTAGGTTATCATTAAATTACCATGAGGACATCTCTACAAAAGTGAAAAAAATCTAAATGTCAGCTAACACTAGTGTGTTGGCTAATTTAGTAGCTAGCTAATGCTTGTTAGCTAGTGTTTAAGATTAATCGATACTGAGACCTCCATCATGGGCCGCACTGCCGTGGGGAGCTTAGTAGGTGTGGTCATGCAAAGCAGCTCTCAGGAGCCTCACAAACAGGTTAAAACTGGACATTTTGTTGCTGTTGTTGTTGTGTGGCTTAGATAGTGTGTAGTTGTAGGTTGTGAAATTGCGTCCATAGAGGGTGGGCTTTGTGTGTGAGTTTGCCCAACTTCCACAATCTTCTATGCTACCCCCTCCCTGGTTTCAGGTTGGGGTAGCGCTGGGCTGGGCATTTCTCTGGCTTTGTTGAAGTGCTGTTCAAAAAAGAGATCGATTTTTTCCCAAACACACTGCTTTCCACATCTTCTTCTGCGCTGACGACACAATACTGAAGCAAAAAGTCTGCATTGATACTATAGAATGTACTTAAAGTATTGTGACATCATGGTGAAGAAAAGTCAGGAGAGGCCATAATATCTGCTCCGAAGTGCTCTTTAATATTGAACAAGGCAGAAAAGCTACTTAAAAGCAACTGAAAAAGAGAGGCAGTCAGTTCAAGTCCTACTCTTTTTCTTTGCGGTTACCAACAAAAACTCACTCTAACTAACCCCCAAATCTGACACAGATCGACATATTTACATGTACCTACCTATTGGGCCTACAGCAGTTTAGGCCCACCCCTTCACACTCATGTTATAAAGAGTGTTTTAGCCTGAACTTCTTTTTGAATGAGGCACAAGTTTTGTAAAGGCGTGTGTTCTTTCTTGTATGAGTTACCTCTCTGCATCGAGTCCTCTGTCATCCCAACCTGCAGGTTTCGGTGTGTCTTTTTCAGAGCCACAACCCTGGAACCCTTCGACGAGTAGTCATCCATGTTGTACTTGAGCTGCAGAGCCCGGTATCTGGGCTGAGTGGGCAGCTTCTCTGGCCAGCCATACTCTTTAAACAAGATCTGCATGTTGGAAAAAGGAATCAATGGTTTCTGATAAAAGGTGGGTAGAAACTTTTACTTAACGGGGAATTCCACTGATTTTTGTACATTTCTGCATAATTAAACTGTTGAGACGTAAACAAACTCATTTAGAGCAGTTTGATGTCAAATCGTTCACTGTAGAGAAACCAATGGATAAAAAAAGATTAGCACCTAAAAAACATTATATTTTATGCTGATAGGTGCTGGTTGTACTCAGTTTTACACAGAACTCAGTACTTAATTTTTTGACCTCATACTGTTTTAACTGTTATTTAAGTTGTCTTCAGCTAGGCTACTGTTCCCACTATTTTAGACGTTATTTCACTGATGTTAGAATATGTATACTTGAAGGAAGCTTTTAACTAACTCCTGACCACTTTGTCTGTTCCTCTCAAAACAGTGACTGAATCATTATTTATCTGAACTGACCAGTAAGACAACACACAAGCACAGCACGACTACAGCTCCAGCTAAAAGCCCTCCGATCACCAGCCAGTCTGGCCGCAGCAAGAGCTGCCGGCGGCGAGCAATTCCCATGCGAGTCATGTGGTGGGGGTCAGTGGGGAAGAAGGGTCCGGTGTCATAGCACTCTCCACCAGCCGGCAAAACCTTCACATACTAGAGAATAGAGAAGAAGAACCCTTAAGTTTCTGAAATATATATATATATATATATATATATATATATATATATATATATATATATTTGTGGGAAATGGTTGGGTTCAGATAGAGTTCAAATGAAAGAGAATGATACCATGTGTTTGTGCTGATTGCTGCTCAGTTTGAGAGCATAGACCCCTGGCTCATTGAAACTAATAGAAAACAGGGATCGCGCTGATCGAGCCAATGTGATCTCTTGCGCTAAGAGTCTGAAGGGTCCCCAGTCGAAAGCTGTGTTAGTGTTGAACAGGTTTTCTCTGCGAAGAACAGGAGAAACACTTTGCTCAAGTTTCCGAAGGGTAAACGACCAAAGGGACTAGAATGAGTTATGGTGCTGTGAAAAAGTATTTGCCCTCTCCTGATTTTGTCTGTTTTTGTATGTGTCACAATAAACGGTTTCAGATCTTTATACAAAATGTAAACTAAGATAAGGAGAAAATGAGGAAGCACAAACCAGAGTTTTTAAAGGACAGTTTCATTTATTGAAGGGAAAACATTGTACAACACAAAAATGCGTCTGTCACCCTAAACTGATTGGGCCACCTTTACCAGCACCTTTACTGCAACCAAACGTTTCCTTTAACGCTTCCTTTTGCTTCCCTGTGGAGGAAGCTTTGTTCCACCCTTTTGTAGCAGAATGGCTTTAATTCTGCCATTCATTGGAGGGCGTTTTGAGCAAGAACTGCCCATTGTAATGTCCTGCCCAGCATCTTAATGGGGTTTAGGTCAGAACATTGACTAGGCCATTCCAAAACTTTAATTTCCAGGTCACGGACTGATGGCCAGACGTTCCTCTGCAGGATTTTCTGTTAGAAAGCAGAATTCATGGATCTGTCAATCATTGCAAGTCACCCAGACCCTGAAGCAGCAAAGCAGCCCCACACCATCACACTTCCACCACCTTGTTTGACTGTGGATATGATGTTCTTTTAGTGGAATGCTGTGTTAGCTTTACACCAGATGTAACGGGATCCCTGTCTTTCAAGAAAGTTCCACTTTCTTTTTCGTGTTGCAACTCTCCTATGGATACCATTTTCACCCAGTCACTTTCTAATGTTGGAATCATGAGTGCTGGCCTTATCTCAGGCCTGCAGTTTGTCTGGGTTCTTTTTGACTTCATGCATGTGTTGATGCTGTGCTCTTGGAGGAACTTTGGTAGGCTGGCCACTTCTAGGAAAATTCACCACTGTTCCAGGTTTTCTCCTTTTGCAGATAATGACTCTCACTGTGGTTCGCTGGAGTCCCAGAGCCTTAGAAACAGCTTTGTAATCCTTTCCAGGCTGATATATTTCAATAATATTCTTTCTCATCTCATCTGGAATTTGTTTTGGTCACAACACATTGTTCTGCTTGTTGAGACCTTTTAGCCTATTTCACATTGCTGGAAGGTTCTATTTAAGTGATGTTTAGATTCAGCAAGGCTGGCAGGAATCAAGCCTGTGTTGATCGCAATTATCGATTAAATTTTGTTAATCAGTTGAATGAGTAACTAAGGAGGCGATTACTTTTTCACCCTGGGCCAAGTGAAGTTTGCTTGAAGTGTGACAAATATTTCAAAACAGAATTGATCAGGAGGGGCCAAATACATTTTCACGACACTGTAGCAATACACTGTAGCTTTACTCACACATCATACTGAGGATAGTGCTGATACGTCAGAGTGAACAAAAGAATATCTTCAAGATGCAAGCATGCTGTTGGGTTCATCACCCCTGCAGAACCTCCATTCTTGACTCCTCTTGATGCTGAAGCAGTAGACCAATGAGAATCCACATCCATGTGGGTATGGTTTCCTGGTAAGAGATTTCACTTTAAAACCACCCATCAGGTTATGCATTCTGATCTAAACAGATACGACAGGCTGATAAATTAGCTACCTCTGAACTCCACCTCTACCATGCTGTGTGTGCCGGAGGCCTCGGCAAAGCTTTGGGTCACTTGGCCACTTTCCAAAATCAACATCCGTACTTCTGCTGGGATGGAATGGAGGAGTCCATAGAAGCCGGCCTCTGGAGCATGATAAACAGCGGGTTGGTTGTTGATGCAGAACTGGTTGTAAATTCTCTCTGCATCCTGCCCTTGACCCTGGTCACTCACCCCGAGTCTGCACCACGTACACAGGCCTGGAGAAGCCGAGACGCCAGTCACACTCCAGCCTCCCTTGGGAGTCCCAGCGTTTGAGGGCAGATAACAGCGCACTTCCTGACGTGCTCACCTGCTTAAAAAACATGACTTCCTCAAAGACAAATAGGTCAGAGTGACACCCTAGCCTTGTTTGCTTTAAGCTGATAAATGGGGCCTTGGGATGCTCACCATATCCCATTTTAATCCTCTGCATTGTCTGCAACAGTGAACCTAACCTTACTACATTTCTTATGTTGCTTCTCACTCAAACAGTCTATGGATAATTCTCTTTCTTTGGAAGTGATCATATGTTGGTATGCAATACATATTGTACTATATGTACAGATATGGGGTGTAAACTTGTATGGATGTATCAGGATGCTTCGATTGAAAGGTGGTGGTTCAACAATGTTGGAATGTTGCAATTAATTACAAACTATAATATTAGATAAAATTTGCATTTGTGTTTGGGCCAGAATAAAATTCTAGGGCTGTTTTCAAACATAAAAAAGAATCTCAAAACAAAAATCTTGATGTATTGTATTGTCTGTATTCCACTAGTGTGTACATAGATGATCTACTCACATTTGTGTATTCAGTATATTTCTAAATTCAATTACTAATTCAAATTGTGATGAAATTTGAGATTTCATGACAATCTAAATCACTTCCTAAAGAATTGTAATCTGGCTAAATATGAGATTTCATGACAATCTGAATCACTTCCCAAAGAATCATAATCTGAATCACTGTGTGGTCAGAAACTGACACCAGTCATAAAGACTAATGTAATCTTATTTATATAATATTGAGTTGCCAGTTGATTATATGCATTTACATCTACACTCTTTGAATATTTAATCAGGTACACCTACCAAATTTTTGCTGTACAATTGAGCCACCCTCAATACCTAAATACATACCACTACCACTTCAGTGTCACTGCTGTGCTGGGAATATCTGGTCAATGGTGGTCCTATGGTAAACACTTTCTGTTCGTGGACAACCCTGTGGCTGATATATTGTGCATGAAGAGATGGGCTACAATCAGTAATTGTATACCTACATATAATAGTTTGTACATGTATTCAGTAACTGCATTCCATTACAACTACAGAAAAAAGAAAGAAATGAAGAAAAATATTGCTAGCAAATATTTTTATAAAGATAAATAATAAAGATTTTATTTTAAGTCAGCTGTTGTTGGACCGTTTTTTCTGGCTAGTTTCTTGGTGTTCAAACAGTATTTGCCAAATTTATCCTTTTAATCAAGCACAACTGACAACGTCTTGTTAGGATCAGAGACAGGCCTATGATGTTTAATGTGAGGAATATTGAATTTTCCCTTCTATTCCATTACAATCTGAGAGAAGTAATTAGTCATTTGCAATAGATTTTTTTACATTTTTGATTTTGCCTTTATAGACCTCTGAAGTTGTGTCATCATCCTTTAGTTGGCGTCTTAGCTATATTAGGAACTTCAGGTCAAAGCTGGTTTTCTCTATGACACTAACGAATATTGTTTTGAAATATAGCAGCTGAAACTTTCCAAAGCCAATGCATTTTACTATATAGACATTTGTCCCCAGAACTTATCCTCTGAATCAGGAGGTTATTGCTACATGCAAGCTAACACTACTGCATTGAATTGACATTATAAGATTGGAAAATACCCCACGCAAACCTGTAAGCATTCTCAAATGTGATAGTTAAGAGTTTTTTACCAGTTTAGGCACTTTTAGGTGATGGTACATAATGGTGTTTAATAGTAGACTTAGTTTAATATTAGACTTATTTTGCACTGGTGAACCATGACTATTAATGCTAGGCCTTCAATTTGGGCTATACATTTCAAAACCTGATCAAAGCATGATGGAAAAACATACCTCAATGATAATGCTAATTTCTGCTAGTGTCCCAATGGGATTCTAGTAGTTTGTCAGCTAAGTCAATTCACCGATTCCCTTAAACATTTTTGGCTGTTTGATTAAACATGGACATATGAAGCTTCTAAAAGACATTCTGTGTTTAACTTGAAGCTTGTGATGGTCATATTAACATATAGTTTACCTTGTAGCAGTTTTACAGTGTCTCTTTCAATGGAGAGGTCAAACACAGTGTTGCTGCCACTGTTTTCCATTTCTAACAACTCATTGATGAGGTTGCCGCTGGCTTTCCAAATCAGTGACAATATCTAGGACATCCAGAAGGCCTAGAGTGATGTATTTTCTCATGAAATTGGTCCATTCACTGGAAATCGAAACGTGATTCCTCTGTCACTCTGTAATCATGTTAATGGTTAATCTGACATATTAGGCCTTCTCTTCAACTCTTGAAGTCCTAACCAAATGGATGTCTTGCTTAGTTACCCAGATACCACAGAGAAATACAATTCCTGATTGGTTAATTTTCCACTGGGCATTTTGAGAACTTATCCCTTTTGTTTCCATCCTATACTTAACAATGAAACATAAGCAGTACTGTAATACTTTCAGTGTTTAAATAGAGGCATGATTCCATTGAACCAAAATTACAGATGTTCGTTTTTATTTTTGGTTCCTAGAAATCATTAGACCTTCTCGGTAGGCCTAGAAGGCTTTGAGGGTTCCTTATTTGAACTGATGTCATTCCAGTGTGCAGGAGCCTTAACTTGCTTGCATGTATGCAGCATTTATGTGGCAATATTCTTATTTTGACTGATAAACTACCCTGTAGTGCAGAGGATCCAATGACACAGTGGGAAAAATGTACCGAGGCTAAAACTTTGGGGCATTTTAGGTTTCCACAGTACACAAGAGCATGTATTGAAAACACCATCCATTTCTGTCATTGAGAAAACCAGCTTAGACCTGGATTTCCTAATATAGGTAAGAGGCCGACTACAGAATGATGACATGACTTCAGTGGTGTACCTATTTAACTGGACCCCTCAACTGACCCAAAAGCTTGAGGAGAATCAGTGGGTTGCACCTGTCTGTTTGACTCAGTGTAGATAAGCTGAAGGGTAGCAGCGCTGCACACCAGCCGCAGAAATGGCCCTGGGACGCCTCTGCACCAGCCTGCACACTCACTCCTGCCTGCATCAGTCCCGGATGGGTTCTTGCACAAACAAAGGCCCAGAGAACTGTCATAGCCCTCAAACTGTTCAGGTGACGCACACACCTGTGGAAGAGGAACATACGTGAGCTGACATAGTGACTGACGGAGCTGTAGGTCACTGCAGTTAGATCAGCGCTGCTCACCTGACTTACACTCAGTGTCACTCAAACAAAGGCTGTGCGTAGGCCCACTGAGCACATGTGACATGAGGTTCTTGGAAAAGGAGCGTTTTTGTTTTGTTCAGGGCTCATCGACCCACAGGTCAGAACAAGAAGACAGAAAGCAGTGAAAAAATCAATGAGCACACACGAGTGAAAATAAACATCAAACTCTCCACATTGTCTCAGTCTAAGCCTTTAACCTCTCGCTTTTAATGTAGCGAAGTATAATTCTTCTTATAACTATGATTTTCTATGATTTTACTTCAGTTATATACTGTGCATAAGTTTGACCACCAGTCAAATTACGTTTTGTTGAGTGAAAAGAAGTCAACACATCTTCTACAGTGAACAGACTTAACACATATTCTATTTATTTGAGTTATTGGAATATTGGAAAAAATTAAACATAAAATATAAACTGTGACATAAGTTTTGCACAGGCCACATTTCATAAGTGAAAATCAGCAAAAAACAGCAATTCATCAAACAGTAATGCATTAAAATTGTCCTGTAAAATGTGAGGATGTGTTCACTTATTTTCACATAATTTGACCAGGAGTGCCCAAACTTTTGCATGACTGTAGGACTAAATACCTCAGCTTATTATCAGCAGTAAAAAGTTACTTGCCATTTTACATGCTGAAGGTCTTACAGCAGAAAAAGGAAATACTTGGTTTACTGCAAACATCCACCCGTCATTGAATTAAGAAACATTATGAAAACCATCCAGGCCTGCTTTACCATGCTTTCAGAAATCTAGCAGTTTGTGAGGTCAGTTATCAATAACGACTGAAAACACACAGCTAACAAAAAAACACTTTCTGGAATATTGTTTTCTCCTTTACTTTACCACGATCCCCATGTTGTATAATCTAACACGATACCTTTAGAAAATGGTTACACTGTTCAGCAGTCAAAAACGGAACATACAAAACACAGACAGAGTAACATTTCTTAGAACTTCTGTTGGCTGAACCCTGGATTTTATTCATGTGATACTGTTGAAAAGGAACATATTTACTCTCAAAGTGGGAAACTTACAGGACTAAGCAGAAGTCAAAGAAACCCCTTTATTTATTTGATTTCCAAAATGGACTTTAAGCAGAAGTTGTTCATTTTCAGGAGACATTTCTGAAGAGAATAGACATTAAATAATCCACTTGTATAAGAAAGGAGGACATCAATTGAAAATAAATGAAAAAAGGACTTTCCAAAACTGGAGTTCAAAAAATTATTAAAGGATGTAGAGAAAATGAGACTCCTAACAACCATGCAAGACCTGGTGTGGTTTACCAGGTCTTGATGGTTGTTAGGAGTCTCATTTTCTCTACATCCTTTAATTTTCAGATAAACAGCACTTAAATGGTTCACTCTGAGAGAGAGGAGAAAATCAGCTCCAAATCAGATCCTTAACCCCCATTTTAGTACCAGTTTAAACAAACCCTCGTTCTCTTGGCCTTGTCATTTCCCCTCAGGGGAATCCCCGGCGCCATCTTAAGGGCTGTTCCATTACTTTACTAGCTCAAGTGAAGGGTGTTAGATGAGTCCTCTGAGGGGCGAAGGATCGAGCAAACACCAGAGTCGACTTCAGCAGCAGAACATTTCCCTATTAAAACCTGAAAATAATGCTGTTTAAACAGCTTTAGCAATAAACTACTTTAAAATGCTTCACATTTGAAAACCTTAACATTTGATTTGCTGGACTTTAAGTTAAAAACTACTCCATCTGTTATACTCTGGTATAGCTTCATCACTTTATTCTGTTAGCTTACTCGTTAGCATGCTAACGCCTACATGGCTAACAAGAACACCAAAAATTTCAACACAGTTCTACTGCAGGTTTATAGCCAGACAAAGCAATTGCTCACACAGGTAATGCACATTATGCTCAAACCTCTTAAAAACATTTTGCATTGCAAAGTTTGCATGGCTAGCCGATTAGCTTACTGAGGCTAACCTGCTGAGGGCGAGCATGTTCTGTTTGAATACTCCACTCCTCACTGTGACAGACTACCCAGTTCTCTTGGGATTTTTAATTACTCCAACACACAGATGCCCAATGCAGGGGCCAGTCACTTCCATAAGGTTATGTAAATTACAGTAATTACCATTATTTCCATGTGAGCTGTACTGCAATATAAGACTCAGTAGCTGCCAAGTCACCAGTTATCGGTGTATTTACAACAGCAATTACACAGACTGATGCAATACAATTTATCTTACAAAAAAAGCTGCAATGTATGAGAACTCTCACCTCATCTGCTGGAGTATGATTAACCTACTACATCTGACCAGCAATGCAGGGGCATCGGACCACAGCTAATGATGGACCTGACTAACAGGGCCTTCTAAAAGCCTCACAAATAAATAGATTTTGGTGTCTAATTCTGATACTCTATGTTGTTATACAAATAAATAATACAAGACTGCCTTTTCCATGATCATCATGTAAGTTCTGCTTATCTACCTGTTGTTTCCTTTATCCCCCCCCCCCCACCTAACAAACAAAAAGGGGAATGATCCTCCGGTGTGCACATCTACCCTGTAGCCTTTCTGTTGTCAGCTATAGGTGGCAGTTAGCAGCTGCTCACCAGCTTTAACCTGGTTAAAATGAAACAAAATCAAGATTTCACAATATAAAGAAGTGGAGAGAGAAAGAGGGAATGCAAAAAGGAGAGCAGGCAAATTCTGACTCATTTGTTTCAGAAAGCAGATGAAACTAAAGTGCCAAACTGTAAATATGTTGCAGTAACATGAGCTAATGTTAGCTTGGTTAGCTAGCTAGTTAGCTTTATTTGCAGTCATTTGAAACAAGCACAAGCTGATAAACACACACAGGATTTGATTCCATGCAGTAAGTAAACCTTTTTAAATAGCTGATGTAACAGACAGTGTTTCTACAGTCATGGCACAATAAGATTCAGCCTCAGCCCAGCAAATAACCTGTACAACACACTGTTAGCTCCACAGGCAGCCACAGTCACTGAGGGAGAGAGAGCAGCACCTCTTCCTTTATAGCAGCTGAAGTTATGAGAAAAGCTGAGCTCACCCAAGTAGGTAACAGCAGCCATTTGTTGAGCAGTTTCAGTGAAAATGACAGTAAATATATTTACATTTTTAAAGTTTTTCTCTTTTGAATTTCCCTGTAATTACATTGATTATTTTGAGCAGAGACCAAGTTCAACTATAGCAAGATCGATGATTCAAATCACACTTACCTTATTGATTGTCAGCTGTTTCACCCTTAAATGCATGCCAACCAACCTCATGAAGTAATACAGCATATTAAACACATTATATTTTTCCTTTACTTTAATTTCTTGTGAGTTGGAGGGCGTGCTTGGGCACACTACTGTGTGCAGGGCTCAAAACTGGGTGCTACACCCCTAAGCAGGGGATGTTATACAAAAATTACATTTCATAATGCTGTGTGCATAGACTACTGCATTAGTTAGAGTCTGTAATCAGTTACAGACTGGAGTCCACCTGTAGTCATTCACAATTTGGCTCAAGGGGGAAAAAGGGCAACGTGAACAGGAAACTTTATTTCATTTACAGTGTGTTGCAACCACTCTGAAAACCTTAGAGAGACAACATAATCATGTTTCAGAGGAAACCAAATGTAGTGTCAAGAGTTTTGCCCAAGGCAGTCAAAAATGCTAGCTTAATTGCACAAACAGGGATTTATAATCTTCAGCATACAAGGCTGCAACATTAATCACATTCTATATAATCACTACCAGTCTTTGAGTTCCATTCTACTGACATGATTCAAACTGCAGCTTCCACAAAAAATTATATATATATATATATATATATATATATATATATATATATATATATATATATATACCGATCAGGCGTAACATTATGACCACCTCCTTGTTTCTACGCTCATTGTCCATTTTATCAGCTCCACTTTCTATATAGGTGCACTTTGTAGTTCTACAATTACAGATTGTAGTAACTTTAAATAAAAACATTTTCTCCTGTCACTACCGAAACACAAACACTTTTAGTCTATAGACGGAGGCTTATTTTAGCCACATCCCTACATTTTAGAGCAGAAAGTGAGAGTGCATCCCTGTCCCTCATGGCCACATGGTGAGCAGTTAGATCCCATTGTTTTAAAATAAATGTGTTCCAAAGTCTGAAAATCAGTGTGTAACATTAAGAATTGTCACTACCAAAACACATATGTTCTGCAATTTAGTAAACTTTTTTGTGTTTTAATGAAATAACTGATGTTTTTATGTGTGTACAACTGTACAAAGCTATATGTGCTTTTCATTTACTTTTTGAGTTTTGCTCAAATTCAGCTAAAATTGTCACTACCGAAACAGTCACTACTGAAACATATGGTAAAGTTTTGGTAGTTATGATTGTTTTGTTAGAGACAAAATGGAATGTTCAATTATTTGTTTTAATAAAACAAACATAATAAAGGTATCAAGTCACTTAAAGCAAAAGGCTTCCAATCTGAAGTCCAAGTCAGTTAAAAGTCTGCAACGGGTTTTGAACTCTGACTTTGAACCAATTGAGCTGAATGATCCATAAATTCCTGTTTTTACAATAACAACATAAACTTGGTTCAGCGAGAAATTAGCACCTATTACTGCCAACATTATGTGTGATTGTTGTTCAAGATAACCTCATTATGCAATATGGTACTTGGTACTGCACCAGAGGGTCAACCAAGAGTTATGAACCTCGTAAAACCCGAGCCAACACACTCTGTTCCCGGGGGGAGACAAAGCCTCAGCTCACTAAAACAGATCTTAAAGAAAGGCCATATAAAATGTAATGATTATATATGTCAACGAGCAAGAAGGGCACTTGTACAGTCTCGTGGAAAAAGGGCATGGGCTCAAGGCCCCCCTGCCCCCAGGTCTTTCTGTGCGCATGAATGGCAATTTGCATTAATCACTCACTAGCGCTTCATCAGTGGTTAGCTTCTGATGACTTCTGTTAGTGGTTAGCTTGTGTGGATTTTTTTTGGTGGTGGGCCACTCTAGTCCAGCTGTGCCTAAACTAACTGATGTAATAGTAGAAATATATAGTGACCTATAAAGTGGAGAGACCTCGTAAATGATCAGTAACCAGTACAAAGTAGTTTTTTGTTGATTTAGCTAGCTCACTATATATAACTAAAATTGTTATGTGTACATTGAATAGGATTGATTTCTACCTTGCAGCAACACTGAGTTCAAACACAGCACAAAGTTCATGGAAACTTTGAAGGGGGGTTTATATAGGTGACAAGTGATAGGAGTGTTTGGCTTCTCACTGTGCCTTCCTGCACTGACCTGGAGAGAGCAGAGCTGTTTCCAGCGCCTGGGGTCCAGACACTCCCCATACTGATCACGTGTCCTCCCGTCTTTACAGATCTCATACACCCGTAGCTCGCAGGCATCTCCTCTCTGTGTAGGGCGATACCCTAGAGCACAGCGGCACTGCCCGTCACTGGCCTACATTGAGAAAACATAGCTTATTATATTATATATTCTTCAGTTGAAATTGACTTTATTGTCCTTATTTTACTTGTTTTGAGAAATGCAGTTCATTTCTTTATTTCAAGACTCTTTCACTAGATTAAATGACTTAAAACAAGTAAAAATGTTTAAAAATAAGTTAAATCATTTTATAATTTTCTTAGAAACCCAGTTCCAAAAAGTTGAGACAGCAGGTAGAATGTAAATAAAAACAGAAAGCACTGATTTATTGTATTTTACAAGGATTTAATTGAAAACAGCACAAAGAAGATATATTTAATATTTTAGCTTATCAAATTGTAAACGTAGGCTAATTCCAAATTTGATACCTGCACTACATTCTAAAAAAGCTGGGTTAGGGGCAATGTAAGATTGGAAAGTTGGGGAAAAGTAAAAAACATCTGTTTTGGAGCTTTCCACAGGTAAACAGGTGAATAGATAGCAGCTGATGTTGTCATGACTGGGTATAAAAGGAGCACTCACGAAAGGCTCAGCTACCAGTTTGTGAAAAAATACATGAGCGAATAGTCCAGTAGTTTAAGAACAACTTTTTCAACACACAGTCGCACGGAATTGAAAGATTTCGCCATCTATATAAAAAGGAGAAAATGGCAAGGCTGAAAAATGAATATTAAATGCCTTTGACCTTCAATCCTTTAGACGGCACTGCATTAAAAACCAGCATGTTTCTGTAATGAATATAACCACATGGGCTTGGCAATACTTCAGAAAACTCTTGTCAGTAAACACAGTTCATCACTGCATCTACAAATGCAAGTTAAGACTCTACTACACATAGCAGAAGCCATATATCAACAACATAAAGAAACACCACCAAATTCTCTGGACTAAACCTTGTCTGAGATGGACGGATGCAAAGTGGAAATGTGTGCCAAGTCATCCTTTTAGATTGTTTATGGAAATAATAAATGTCATGTTCTCTGGGCCAAAAAGGAAAATAACCAGGCTAAGTGTTCAAGTTCAAAAGCCAACAGCTGTCACAGTATGGTGGTGTGTTAGTGCTAATGGCATGGGTAACTTGCACGTTTGTGAATGCTAAAGGGTATCTACGCATTTTGGAGCAACATATGCTGCAATCTAGATGACATCATTTTTGGCAATATCCGTGCTTGTTTTAGCAAGACTTTGTCAAGCCACATTCTGCAGCATGGCTTTGCAGTAAGAGTGCCAGTGTCTGCCTGCAGTTCAGACTAGTCTTCCATTGAAAGTGTTGTGCATTATGAAGTGCAATTTATGACGATGGAGATCCAGGACTGCTGGGCAGCTAAAATATTATATCAAGCAAGAATGGGGATAAAATCCACTTTTCACAACTGCAACAATTAGTCTCCTCGGTTCCTCCTCAGCTCAAGGAAAGGTGATGAAACACAGTGGTAAACATGCCCATGTCCCTGCTTTTTTTAGACCATGTTGCAAGCATCAATACACAAAAAGAATAAAGGTAAAAGGTAATTAGTTAAAATGTTAATCTTGTCTTTGTCTTTGTTCTCAAACCACAGAATATTTCTCACCTTTTGTGCTATTGTATACATAGCACTTACAGTTGACCAGGGCAGCTCTAGCAAGGCAGAAATGTTACAAACTGACTTGTGACAAAGGTAACATCCAATGACAGTGTGCGTAAGAACATATCCCAAATAAGAAAACTTTGGTGAATGTCAGGATCTTCGTGAAAACTGCATAATTCGGTTTTAAGAAGAAATTTCTTCTTAAGAAAGGTTGATTAGTGAGGCCCATTGACTAGATTTAGGGTGAATTCACTTGCTCTGGTATCGTTTTGCAGTGTGGAATGCAACGTAAAAAAATATAACTGCAACAGAATATGATACAGTTACGTTCCGTAAGGTACTGAAGATGAATCCGTGAGGGCACCGCCTCAGTGACAGCATTTGTACTATGAAAAGTATATCTTGTTTTGAGAGTCTAGCCTGCACAGTCACCCATCCTCACTGAGCATCAGTGAGTTATAACTGAGTAATAAGGTGGAAAGAGCTCTTTACAGCAAGATGATTATTTCTGTATGTACAACATTCGTATACAATGCATTTTGCAGCATCCATTCCCATGCAAAATCCTGCTGTTCTGAAGAGCAAAAGAGGTGTAATTGAAAGGTGTACCTAACAAACTGGCAACTCAGTGGAAGTAATAAGAGTTTAATACATACACAAAAAGGCAGAGGTAGTAGACTACAGAGATACTGGCATAGTTATCACACACTGCATGGAGGGAAATCATGGAGTGAGCTTTGTCTCCCACTGAGTAGGATGTGATGAGAGAAGGCTTCAGCAGGGGGAAACAGACAGAGCTGGTAATCTAACCTACCTCTCGGCTGAAACACGAGCTTCTGTTTGAGCTGCAGACTACAGATTGCTCCACTGCATGCAGCAGGTTGCATCTATATACTACTACTACAGCAGCTACTGCACTGCAATATTATAAGATTATTCCACTTATTTCTCATTTTTTTGATGTTTTAAGCTACATTACATTGAGAAATGGTCTGTACCGCTTTACAATAAAACTGCCCTTATAAAGGGTTTGAGAATGATTTAAAATTAGTTTATTTGTGAATAGTAGGTCATAAACACCTTAAACATCATTAATAAGCTGTTATACACTATATGGCCAAAAGTTTGTGAACGCCTTACCATGGAACTTCCATGAGCTTGTTGGACAACCCATTATAAAACCATAGTAACCATGACCATAAATATGGCATAGACCTCTTCTGGGGAGGCTTTCCACAAGCTTTTGGAGTGTGTCTGGGGGAATTTGTGCCCATTTTGTCAAAAGCATTTCAGAGGTCAGGAACTGATGTTGGATAAGAAGGCCTGGCTCACAATCTAGCAGGGCAGAAATTTCACAAACTGACTTTTGACAAAGGTGGCATGCTACAACAGTGCCATGTTTAAAGTCACTGAGCTGTTCAGTATGACCCATTCTACTGCTCATGTTTGTCTATGTAGATTGCATGTCCTTGATTTCATACACCTGTTAGCAATGAGGATAGCTGAAACACCTTAGCTCAGTAATTAGGAGTGGTGTCCACATACTTTTGGCCATATAGTGTATCTGATGAATGGAAATATCTGATTAAGCTGACTGATGGAGAAGACAGACAAGATAAATAGCCAGCAAGATCTGAGCTTTAACAGTGTAGATGAATGTATTTGGGAAATAACAGGTCACTGTTGCCTCTTTTATTTATGAGTTATAACTACTTATTACTGATTTTTAAAGGTATTTATGACCTAATTAATAACTCTTAATTAACTAATTTTAAGCCATTTATAACTCTTTTATATGGGTCTTCTAACTGTAAAGTAGTACAAAATTGTTTTATTCTATTTGTAGGTCCCTCGGGCCCCGATGACAGCCATGAGAGTCGTCAGGAAGGCATATGCCATAGCATTCAAATGAGTTAATCTTATAATATTCTTAGAACAATCCCAAATTTAGAAATCTTAGATATGTTGTTAAGATGAGTTAAGAGTTAAGATGGTTTCACTTGCTAAGATTTCATTTTCTGAGGTGTAGTGTCAAACATACACAGGCATATCTACTCACCTGGAAGACTTGGCCTTCTCCCAGGCATGTGCATTTGTCTTGCCCAGGTAGAGGCTGCTGTGCCCTGGAGCCACAGGGCAGACATGCAGCCAAACCCTCTCTATGAGCGTAGTGATGCGGAGGGCAGCTGATACAGCCTTGGACGTCCACAGCCCAGAAACTCGGCCCAAACGTTCCCCTGGGACACGGCACTGCAGTATCTCTGCCCTCTGGACAATAGTAACCTTTTCACAAGGCACGGAAAAACATATACTTCACTCCACTCCACTTTACAGTTTGATCGCTCCCTTAGGGAAAGAGAGCTACGTCATGTGAAAGAAGCTCACAAGACAGCTTACCTGAAACACCAGCACAAGCAAACAACAGGTGCAAACCCTAACACAAAAGGACACAGTCTCAAGTGGCCTTCCCACATTCCCAACGCCTCACAGCAAGACATGATGCACCTTACCTGGCTGACAGGTGGGCTGCTGTCCTTGTGTTGCATTCAGCCCCAAAGTAGCCTTCAGCCCCCACCAGAGAAGGGCAGGCCAGCAGCAGCCCCTAGTCCAGTGCATCGTCCTGCCGTAGCGTCCCGTCCTGTGGCGTCTGAAACGGCCTGTGGCGAAATAGGAAGCACTTTCCCTCCCGCGCTGAATGATTCATGAATAGTGAAGGGGTAAGGTATCACACATGCCAATGGGCAGAGAAAGGCTACCGAATGCCACCAGGTCATGTTACAGCTTTTCTGCCTGCCGGACCTGATTACTGATTTGAGCCGTGGTTTACCTGTCTCTCAGCACCTGCCTGCGCTCACTGAAAGAGTTCTAACCCTCACACTGAAAAACTGAAAAAATTATTGTCAGTTCCACACAAATGGAATATGTTACATCAACTTATACTGAGTAAGTTCATTAAGTACACAAACACCAATCAGCCACAACATTAAAATCACATCCTTGTTTCTGTGCTGATTGTCCATTTTACCAGCTCCACTTACCATATAGCTGCAGTTTGTAGTTTTCATTCTTAGCACTGCAGTAACACTGATGTGGTGGTGGTGTGTTAGTGTGTGTTGCGCTGGTCTGAGTGGATCAGACACAGCAGTGCTGCTGGAGATTTTAAACACCTCAGTGTCACTGCTGGACTGAGAATAGTCCACCAACCAAAAATATCCAGCCAACAGCGTCCTGTGGGCAGCGTCCTGTGACCACTGATGAAGGACTAGAGGATGACCAACACAAAAAGTGCAGCAGCAGATGAGCTATCGTCTCTGACTTTACATCTACAAGGTGGACCAACAAAGTAACTTTAGTTCTACAATTAAAAGCATTTTAGTTATAGAACTACAAAGTGCACCTATATTGCAAGTGGAGTTGATAAAATGGACAATGAGGGTAAATACAATGAGGTGGTTTAATGAAGTGGCTGGTCGGTGTAGTAATTAAGCGTAGCATTTACAGTTCACCAGGGCAGATCTAGCAGGGCAAACTGACTGGCGACAAAGGTGGCATCAAACTTTAATCAACCTTTAAGCGACTTCTTTCTTTCTTAAGCAGAGACCCTCTACTGCAAAATTGCAAAAAATATATACCCTATTAATAACTACATCTGACAAAATGTCACCAAAACTACAGATTCCAATAGGCCACACTGTAAACAGTATAATGGTGTCATTTTTGATGAAAAGAAATTAATATTGAAATAAACCAAATAAAACAATATATTCGCCTGCTGTTGGCATCCCTGCTCTGTGTTTTAGAGCAAATTTAACAAACTTTTTGCTCTGTGATATTTTATCCTTCATCTGTACATACCCCCAATTGATGCAATTATTATGAAAATGCAATTTACCCTGCTTTTTAGCATTTTATACAAAACAACCACATTTAACACAGTTGAAGTCCATTCTTGCAGACCCCCTGCCATGCATAATCCACCACACCTGACTCAGCTCCTCAGGTATACAGCCCTATATGAATAAGGAACATATGAATCTGCAGGATTTTGTGCAGGCTTGCTTGTTATATCTATAGCAGACAAATTTAATTTTTTCCCACTTATGACATTTGTTTGGGTTTATTTACCAAAAAATGTCATTTTTGGTCAGAATGCTTGGGTCTCTGGGGGTTCAAAAAGCAAGTTAAGAGAGATGAAACATATTATAGACACCGTGTCACAGAAAGCAATTTTGCATCATTTTTGCATGCATAAAAAACACTTTTGGTTCAAAAAACCTTTTTAATGAATGTTTTTTTAAAGGATTTTTTTGTAAATAAGATGTGAGAGTGTGAGCCTTTTTAAAGTTAAAGAACCATCACTTAGTGTAAAGGTTCTGTACTAATTAAACTTTTTTTCCCTTAAAACCATACATCCAAGCCAGGACCCATTTGGAACTTTTTTTTTCTAGTTTAACTTCATGAATTTTTTTTCTGTGAAGGCATTTAGTTGAGATATGATCAATTTACTGCTCATTGCTACTAGAAATGTAACCGTAACAGATATACAGCCGTGTGCAAAAGTTTGAATGCCTCTGGTCAAGTAACATGTTTTGTAGATTTTCTTAAAGAAAATAAGTTCACATGTTCTCCACAGAGAACTTAAATGCGGCCTTTTTCTGCACATTTTAGTGCACAATTTCTGTTTCTTTGCTGAGTAATACCTTACAGTCCCAGGCTTACTACATACTAAGACTTATTAGTCAGAAACTACAGGGACTTCAGTGCAAACTGGCTGAGCTGTTCTTAGGTTATAGAAGGGTGTAATAAAACTTTGGGTCTGCCTGTGAGCGCTGGCCATTTAAGGGGTTAACATTTTGCAAAAAAATCAAATATATATCTGTGTATGACTGTGTATCTATTATATCGATTTCCAGTAAGAATGAGCAGTAAATTGATTATATCCAAACTTACACCAATGATTAACACACTACCCTTCTCAGTCTTTCTCATGAGCAAAGCTGTCCTGTTCAACCTAGTTATCTACAAACCTTCTGCAAACCTTCTGTACATTTCTGGGTTAAAGGTGATTCACCTGTATTTAGGGGAAGCTAAAATAACCCTCAATAAACAAAGACGAGCAAACACAAACACAGTTACATAAGGAAGACTAATTACGTCCTCTGCTTCTATGCACGTTTCTACAGGGAATTACTTTCACATAGCTGTGAGAAGCAGAGGAGCTGTTTAAAACTGCAATATTCATATTTCACTAAATGTAGTGAGCATTGTCATCTTTTAATGCGCTACAGAATAATGAACTTTGGCCTTCAAATACAAGCAGAAAGTGTGCATGGACTATGACCCAAAGATGCGCACTTTATTACGTAATTGCACTTGACTGGCCTTTCACATACTTTCAGTCTTAATTAATCGAGAGTACGTTGACCATGAGTGGTAGAGCTGCCAGCATAGATACCACAGTGCCTGTGAATGCATCATACCTTGCACTTATATCTACACTAATTGGCCATTTTATCAGATACACCTATCATATACAGTACTGTGTAAAGTTCAGAGACTTCTCTTCATTTTCTTAATATCGAGTCAGTTAAGTACATTAAGTATATATGTTTATTCATTTTTCAGCATCAGTACAAAAAGCAGAAAACATGTTTAACAGACAGTTACACAGAAGCCTCAACAACTAAATATTTAACCAAGCAAAGGACCATTTAATCATGCAGATGGTCCTCTGAGTGTTCATGATTCTATACAGAACCACTGTTTTTTACTAAAGAGAAGAACCAACTTTTTTAACAGTGCACTTTTCTCAGTAAAGTCTTCTTGACAGCTGCACATCTTTTCAGACTCATAGTGCTGAGTTGTCTTGGATGGACACCTGTGGATTTTTTCAGATCTGAAGTAAGAGTGGAGCCTAATTTTCTCCTCTCTCTCAAAGATAAAAGCTTTAAATACTGTTTATCTGACAATGTTTTGGCAGTCTACCAGGTCTCGTACGATTGTTAGGAGTCCCATTTATCGTTTATTCATTATTTAAACTCTAGTTTTGGAGACCCCCTCCCCCCCCACACACACACACTTTTTTTCTTTTCACTTTCCCCTTCCTTATGCAAGTGGATTATGTTGTATCAAATCTCCTCATAAATATCTCCTGAACAATAAATAACTTGTTCTTAATGGCTGTTTTAACTGGAAATAAATTAAATGAAGGCTGGACTTTTGTAGAGCACTGCAGGTGCAGTTTGTTACAGGTCCTGTACAGTAAGTAAACTTGAATATGATATTTTTATGCACATTTTACTGCACAATATCTAGTTATTAACTAAATTTAACATATTGGAAAAACATTAAATAAATGTGCCAACTTTGTTATGTATTTTGTTCAATGTTCAAAATTCAGCAAACAATCCTCTCTGTAGAGGAAGTGTTAACTTATTCTCACAAACACAAACTCTGGGGGCACCCAAACTGTTGCATAAAGTGACTGCATATGATATTAACTGTGCACAAACAATACAAATTCCAGGGCTTTCAATGTGACACAGGACACTAAATTTTAAATGACCAAAACACTCAGAGCTTGGAGATAATTTCATAAGTTCAACAAGTTCAAAAAGCTCAAATATCATATGTAATGCTTCTCAAACATCAGCACTAATGAAAGCTCCCAGTAACCTTTGCGCAAAGTAGGTTGTAAGTAGTAACCTTTGCACAGTGCTGTTTGCTTTGGTTTAGGGATATGTGATACACACAGGAGTATATTAGACGTTCTAATGATATAATCTCTCTTTAAACTGGGGACATTTTGATCTTTGGAAATAACTAATAAATGTAATTTTCCAGCTGTAAAAGTGATTTTGTTGAATCTAAAATACTGCACTTGGAGACATTTGCTGTTAATGCAAGCGATTTTTCATCTCAGCAGACTGAGGGACTTTATTTTGCTTAAATCTCTCCAGAAAGACTGGAATATGTCCTAGAACTGAGCTGACAGAGATTCAGAGGTCAGTAATGATGCTCGAGTCAGTGGTTCTGACTGGTGACACTATAAATATTTCAAAGGAGCTTACGTTTAATCCTCTCCTCTTCTCAGTAGCACTTTGAAAATGAGGAACGATATTCAAATGTACCTTGGAAAAAGATTATTCCTTAGCTTTAAATCTTCAGACAGAGATGGGGTTCCACTAGTGTCACCTTTAGGTACACTTTAGTTTCTTACTTTTTAATTTTTTTACTTCATTTTTCACGGAAGACAGCTAAGGTTGCATTTACGTAGTTGTATGTATGTTAGGGTTTTTTTACTAATATTATGGGTGAGGTATTTACATCTAAAATTCATCAATGTAAAGGCCCTATTCAAACTCCCCTTGACACACTTCTGTTGCAGGTCAATCGATCTGTGTGCCTTTATCTTTGGTTAATGCTGTCTGCAGTAATCATTTACAAAGAAATGCACATGCCATTCATCAGGCCTAGGAAGTGGAGCTGGGAGGAAGAGCAGTGATCAAAGCCTGGGAGAAAACAGCACCGGATGCTGGCAGGATATTTATTTGTAATGAGGCTAGAGGGGCCTATTGCAAAAGTATGTAATGGGCTCATAAAACACTTATCTGTTACAGAATGAACTCATAGTTCTCTGCCCTGTGTAGTAAATACACAGAGAGAAATGCGCTGGTATTTGTTTTGGGCCTGCTTTTGAGTATTAAAGGTTAACTTGTTTACGTAATGTAGAATCCACTGAATCCACTGAGGTGTTCAGTTCTACAGGTGATGGACAATTGATGGATGTTTAACAGAACTGCGGTGAGCTGATGTGGCACTGGCTTATTCAGGGGATTTATAATGACTTTCTGGAGCTGAAGAAAGCAATTTCCATCCCTTTAAAGATTTTCTTCTAAGCTCTGGTCAATACTCTTGTAAAGTATCTTAAGTGTATTACTGTTTAAAAGAAATCCGATCAATGTTGAAAAGCAGAGATGAAGCATTTGCTCCATTTTAAAAGACTGTAAAGAAATATTTTATATCACATCATTAAATTATGGTGAGGTTGCTGTTAATTAGCATTTGTCCTTTCGTTCTTGCCTCTCCGTCCCTCTTTTTTGCCTCTGTTTTGGGCCTTCTGTCCTTTCTTTGTTTCTGTTTCTGCTTACTTTACTCTCATGACTATCAGTAATATAAGGCAAGAGGATGAACAATTTGTTTTTATTTAGTCATATATAAACTGTTTATTCTATGCTGTTTCTGTACATTATTTTGCAGCTGCAGCATTTATTCCCACAATGCTGGTATTGGTATCAGCATTAAAGGGCTCATATCCTACATTTTTACAATGCTGGTACTTGAATTTTTCAAATTTTTCAATTTCTTTTCACTTAAGATTGATATACGTAAATAAGCACAGTTCACTATGAAAAAAAACACTATAAATGAGTTTGAGCAGCAAAATGAGAAGATAACCATGACCTACCAAGACCATTCATCATTTACCATAAAGCAAATATGGGCCAAAATAAGAGCAAGATATTGGCATTAATATTTAACTGCACTGTATTTGAGATATATCACTGCTGTCGGAAGAAAACTTTGTATCTTCAAAATGATGACTTTACAGGAGAAGGAAATAACCTTCTTTACTTTTAATGTACGTCAATGGATCCAGACTTTCTTCCAAGTAATTTTGGGTCATTTCTGTTAGTTAATTCATCATGAAATTTATACACAATGTATAGGACCACGGGTATGCCGAAAGCTGAAAATCTACAAAAATGGAGATACAAGGTTTTGTCCTGACAACAGCGATATGTTGTTCTTACAGGTTTTCTTGTCATTGCTGATATGTTCATCCCTGCTCCTCTTGTGTGCTCCCTTTGAAGCTGTTGTTTAAAAGAGTGGGGGCTTCAAGGACAAATGGGGACGGACCCAAAAACATTCAGCACGTTCAAATTGTTTGCACACAAGAAATAATCAATGGACAAAGCAAGACAAATACCACAACCAGTACCTGGAATTCTCACAGTGTTCATGGACTTTCATAGACTAGCAAATGTACATTAGGCCTCAAGAAAAGCTGCATTCATTAATTTAATCTAGACGGGAAAGCAGTTACAACTGCACTGAGGATCTATTATAAACATGACCTGCAAACAAATGATCAAGTCTCCTGCTACTCGGTGTGTAGGAAAGTTTCTCTCAGCAGCCAGACAGACCCTCAGAGAGTGCAGCCGTTGGCTTTGTTTATCACTAGTGTGTTCCCAGCAGACGCAGGCAAAAGTCAAATAGCAGCCATTTAGTGGAGTACAAACAAATAGCACCTTTGTTCTCTGCACTGGAGATAGGGCAGCTAGCAGTGGATTATGGAAAGCTTTCTCTGGGACTTTTTTGTGTCAGGGCAGTGATCCTACATAGCCAAGTGGGACACAACTTGTTTAAAGTAAGTGGGCCAACTTTTTTCATCAAACAGGTAACTGAATGAACTCACTTTGCATAAATGTGAGATTTTCACCCACAAACAGCAGCCAAACAGGCCTATAAACGTATGACTATTACCGTCATTAACATTTACAAGTCATTTTAGTTGGATGTGAAGAGCAACAAGGTTATCAGTCCCAATCTGTAGTAAAAACATCAGAACTAGTCATGACCTCACCCGACTCCCAGGTGCGTCAATGGCGGCCTTGATGTGACATCACAGGGATAACTTTGAAGAAGGGCACATCAGCTTTTGAGGTGGCCAATTAGAATTGGGCGGCTGGCGCTTCCTGCAGCGATCTGTTATCATAGTGACCCTCCACGTGTTACGTGTTGACATGGGCGGTCTCTGAAGGTCTCTGATAAGGGAATGCTTTAAAAGAAGGGGGTTGAGAAGTGCACCTCAAAGACCCTGATCGAAAGGTAAGGGCAGCATCACATAGTTTCCTGACTTGACTTGCTGACTTAGATCTCCAAAAAGCCCTAATCATTATGATTTAAGGAAGGAATTCTAGTTTTGACACTGTTTCATGTATTTTTTCTTACAGAGTAAGAGAAATATCTTCACAGAAAGAAAAAAAAAAACATGCTGCTGCTTCAGTCTGTGATCTTGGCCATGTCCCTTGTGACCGCCACAGGTTTGTAGCCAATATCTGTAGCTGTTTGTCAGCATCATTTTGGATGAGTGTACTTCAAATAGTCTACTCATACAGTGTGGGAGTTTGTAACAAGAATAAAGATAAAACTCACTTCTTTGCACTCTGTCCACCCTGCAGCATTTCCAGTTCAGCAAGATACAGCCAGTCAAGAAGAAGTGTGGAGTGTCCAGGAGGAAATCGCAAACCTGGCTATTGATAAAGCAGACGTCACCAAAGAGTTCAAGTGAGTCTTTTCTTACACTGCCTTATAGGGGTTGGTGAAATGGCGAAAATACAGTATCACATTACTCTAAGAAATGTTGAAGTATTCATCTCTTAGGTTGAAACAGACAAAACAACTAGTAGTGCTATTTAAATCTGCTCATTTAAAAAATCAAAAAAATTATTCAATATTTCACATACTGCACTCTCAGAAATAAAGGAATGAAACTCTCACTGGGGCAGTACCCCTCTTGTCCCTGGGGTAGTGACCTCAAGGGTACATTTCAGTACCTTTAATCAGGGAACGTAGTTGTACCACAATCCATTGAAATTATATTTTCTAAGCTGTACCGACTCCACACACCCCGTCTGGTCTCCAGACTTTTTATTTTATTGCTACATTAGTTTATGAAAAGGTACAAATATACACTTTTTACCTGGAAAAACTTATTTAAGGTTCACAATTGGACCCTAAAATCACTGTTGTACCTTTGAGGAAACATTTACATTGTTTGTACCTCGATGAATGAAAAATGTATCTGCACAGAACCTTTATTTCTAACAGTATGAGCTACACCAAAACCAATTAAGCAAAACAAATTATGCATTTAGTCCTTTAAACACTAACAACATCCATGCAACATGTAGTGTTGGATTATAATGATAAATGATCATGATAATGTTAAATATTGTCATATTGCCAAGCCCTATTTATAACTAACATCAGCTGAAAACATGACACCTTTAACCATCTTCCTCCTTACCCCAAACATGGTCAATCAACCAAGACTTGCTTCTTTAGTTCTGCTCTGGAGCCACGAGCCTTCTATATTAGAGGTCTGTGTCACTCAAAAAGATTGTGGGTTACATAGACTTTCATTACATTTTAGCTACATATATAGCCTATAAAAAAATAAAGGTTCTGAAATGGTTAAGTGGAAGTTTCTTCACATTCTTTAAACTCTCAAAGGTTTACACATGGATCATCTACAAGAACGGTTCTTGAAAAGATCGTACACTGATACCATGATCAAAATAGTTCTTCTATGGCATAGCTCCAAGAAGCTCTATTGGGAACCTTTATTTTTAAGTGTAAAGGCTGTTACACGCTAGACGTGATGCAAGTAAACACAACATATTTTTCGAGCTGAAACTGTTGCACTGTTGTTCACTACACAAAAAGGGCAAACAGTGACGCTGGGTGGCCTGCTTTTTGGAGATGCAGCACGACATATGATACAGAGGTCAAACTAACTCATTGCCATTTGTAAGAAAGTTAGAGTTGCTGATCCATCATCTTGAGTCATTGCTATGCCAATGCCAGAGACAACAGTGATTGGTCGAGTGAGTTCATGTCACCTGCAAAATGTTCGTAATTGCCAAACAAAGGGCCCCCACAAACAAAACACACGAACAAAACACACCCGGTGTGTACAGACCTTAATAATGATCAGATAGTGAATAATAAGACTAGAGTTTGATGGTAAAAGGAATGGGTTCTTGCAGCAAGCTTGGTCTGAAACCACCACATGTTGTCTCTTACGTTGCAGTGGGATGTGGAAGAGCCACGTGGTGAGCAGTGACCTGTACGCACAGAACGCTCAGAACCCCATGGCAACTGAGCTGAGACGCAAGCTGAGCCAGGAGTCTGAGCGACTGCGGGCTCGTCTCAGGCAGGAGCTGTTGGAGCTCAGGCAGCGGCTGTCTCCTTACCCCACCCACCCGCAGCTCACCCCAGCTAACGTCCGTGAGCTCCTGGCCCCCTTCACAAAGCAGCTCCAGAAGGCCTTGGACTCCAACACCCAGGAGCTCTGCGGTCAGCTCAGCCTGAACCTTCAGGGTCTTCCGGATCTCCAGGCTGATGGATCTGCATCCCTATCTAGAGGTGGTGGAGAAGATTGGTCAAGCTCTAGATGAGAGTCATCGAAGAAGAACCGCTGCCTTTGAGGACTTTAAAACGAAAGCGTTTGAGGCGGTCGAAGAGGACCGAGACGGCAGCAAGAAGGAGCTGTGGGAGGAGGTGACCGCCAGGCTGGGTCAGGAAATTGTTTCATTCAGCCTGGAGGTGCAAGGCAAAGTGGCGGCACTGAAAGTCTCACTGGCGGGTCTCCTGACTTCATCAGAGCCACCAAGAGCCGAAGCAGCTTCCAAGGTGCTCCAGTTCTGCCAGAGTTCCTCAGCTCAGAATGAGAAGTTTATCACTAATTTGGAGCAGCAAATAGCCAAGCTTGAGGAACAGCAAAGTCATGGGGATCCATCAAGTCACATCAGTATTGAATCCATACAAGAGGATTTCTCCACCAGACTGAATGCATTACTCCAGGACATTGTGCACACTCTGAATTAGAGAGAGTATAATCGCTGTAGTGTAAATAGACTTGTACAGTACAGAATTATTGAATTATTATCTTTTATATCCTTTCATAAATGTGCCTTTTATACAGTAAAAAAAAACTGGTTTGTAGATTGCAAGAAACAACAACAGTCTATTTTTGACATGCAGGTTTATTGAAATAATTTTGTTTGGACGTATAAATGGTCATACATAGATATGTATAAAGTGTTCTATTTTAAAAATACATGTGTATATACAGTAGTTAAAATTTGTATATATCATTCAGTGATTGTCATGTTGTAAAATCAAGTCAATAAAACCCTTGAACATTCTCTTATATCCACACAATATTAATGCAATTGAATATATTACCAAAGTAATGTACAAAGCAGCACTTAGTTATTGTTTACTACATTGATAACAAAGTGAATATGTAACATCACCCATGATACCAAAAATAAGACAACTATTGGTAAATATAACAATAAAATGGTATTTAAAAAACAATTTCAGAATCTAAATTCTCTTTAAAATCTGAAGAGTATGTTTACATCCTTCATGCTATTGATTCTTCATTCTTCTTGCTATTGCTGTTCCTTCTTGCTTTTACGAAAAAGGCTTCAGTGTAATATAATGAGGGATCTTTAACACATGTACACTACCATTCAAAAGTCATGTCTCAAATTAAGATAAACTATTTTATATACAATAACAAACAATTTTGGGAATGATAAGTTATTAAATGATAAATAATATACTGTAACTATTTACAGTCATTTTTGTCATGCTATCTGCTGTCGAGATTGTTATATGTAATTTTGGATATTTTTTAAATTACAAAATCATTTGAAAAATTGTCTTTCTCAGACATCTTTAGCATTCCGGACACATCTAAATCAATTTTTTTCTTCCTGTTTTTAGAGATTACAGGTAGGCAGCAGAAGCAGCAGGTTGAGTTTAGTAGAGTTTAGCCATCCTATTCATAGTGAGTAAGTTATACCTTCTGCACAACGTTTTAGGAAGCCCTTAACTTGGAAAAACTTTTGTAAGAAATGTTTTATTCCCACCGTTATCAGCCTCTGGAATCATTTTTTATTTTTATTAACATTCAATTTAATGTTTTATGTTTGCTGGAAAGGCTTCTGTTGTTGTTTTGTGTTGTACTGTGACAGAGATAATAAATTGTATTCTACTAATCATTCAAAACCTGAGATGTTCCACAGGACTAGAATGTTGGATTCATTGTATACATATCTGCAAACAATATCATTTTTATTGAAAACATAGATTGCAAACTTTTGAACGGTAGTGTAAGTGCTTCTGGAGGAGTATCTTTGATGCCCATTCAGGTGCTATGATAAACTGAGACGCCTTATCAGGCAGATCAGATTAGGCTGCTTCAACGTGGAGCAGCTGGCAAGCTGCTGGATCCTTCATTTGAGGATGTGAGGCAGTCCACCAATCCAGTAAACCTTCTTCAGCACAAACCAGCCAGCCACAACTAGTAGCACCGCTGCAGCAGTGGCGAATACAGCCCCTACCACAGTCCCGGTCACCTGGCTTTTAGCAGACTGATCAGAACCAGCAACTGCAAAAAAGAGCATACAGCACTTTATAAAGGGCAAGACAGGTCATCTGAACATGTGACTACATTAAGGGAAATTAGAATTAAAAAGATTATGATCAATGTTTTTATTGGTGAAGAAAAGACTGAGAAATAGAGGAGGCTCTTTCATTTAATTTCACACTACATATCATACGTGGTGTCTTCTCAACACAAAATTTCAATGATTAATTACATATTTCAACTACAGACAAAATGTTTCTTACCATAGGCTGAAGCACTTGGGTCAGCACCTGCTAAATCAATATGGCAAATGTTACAAACAGGTTAAAACGCCTTCAATAACTTATCCTCATCAGTTATTTGCAGCCTTGTCAGTTAAACTATTAAAAAAAAACTCTGTCCTGAAGGCATAGCATGACATTTGTAATGGCCATTGATGCTTCTTTGGTGCTCGTGTTGATAGAAAACCAGCACAGACCAACAAAACCAGCATGTGTTGTGTTTTGGATACTAGTATTCTGGTCAGCCAGCATGACCATGCTGGGTGGTCAACTAAACCAGCACCACACCAGTATAAACTAGCATAAACCAGTTTAGACTGATTTCAAAGCTGTTTGACCATGCTGAGTGGCCAGCTAAATCAGCACCAGACCAGTATAAACTAGCATAAGCCAGTTTAGACCGATTTCTAAGCTGACTGACCATGGTGAGTGGCTGACTAAACCAGCACCAGACCAGCATAAACTAGCATAAACCAGTGTAGACTAGCATGGAATTTAGCAGGGCTTCCACACGTAAACAAACAAAAACTTAGCACTTAGCAAATATTAGGTTAGCTAGCTAGTTAAACCTGCTAGAAAAACCAGCATAGACCAGTAGGGCTGGTCACCAGCAAAACCAACAACTGTGTTTTGGATGCTGGTATGCTGGTCAACCAGCATGACTGTGCTAAGTGACTAGCTAAACCAGCACCAGACATGCGTAGGTATAATATATTTATACTGGTTTAAGCGAAGTAAGATATTCACAGTAAATTTACAGCAATGAGCTGTTTTTTAATCTCATTGTTGACAAGATTTTATATGTGTATAGAAATAATACCACAAGCATTTGGTAGGGCAACAATATCAAGTTCTGTGACAACAGCTAACAACATTAACACCAGCTAACAAAGCTAGCTAACAAAGTCAACCCTTTTCACTATCTATCTGTTAATGCATGCATAGAAAAGTGTAGCATTATTGAAGTTAGTGCTGACAGAATGATTTGTGATATCATTCATTGTTTCTTTTCTTTTTCTCTTTATCTCCCTCTTATTAGCATTCAGTTAATAATGGTGCATGTGCTACTGGCTAAAAAACATCTGAACAGCCAAACTGGGGGAGATTGTGTACTTACTTTGGGCGGCAGTATATATCGGCCCCATTGACACAGAGGCCTCAGTTCCAGGATCAACGGATCTCTTTCTTCTAACATTGCAGGCCTGCACACAATTCCAGACAGACATTATATATCACATCAGTTAGCTATAATAAGAAAATGACATTATCTTCTACATAAACTTGCTTACATTGATAAAGTTCTGGCACTTGTCGGGTTCGCAAAGCTTCAGTATGCAGTGAAGGTAGATGGAGGACCTGTCTTGGTCACGATGCTCCACAAAACGGAACGCTTCAAAAGAGAACCTGGACTTCTTGGAGATTCCATTTCCCAAGACAGTGGTGTGAGGGTAAATGTTACATCTGTGGGAGAACATGTCTAATTCTTAACAGAGAAATCAGGGTGGATTGAGCAGTGAAAGAGTCAGTTATGTGATGGACAATAAGAAAACTATATTACTTACATGGTGAAAAAGTCATGTTTGTCACTGCTGGTTGAATTGTAGAGGGACGGAGTTGCAAAGCAGTGATCCAAGAGGAGATTAAAGCTGTGATGAATCACATACAAATAGACAGTAAGTCAGTGCGCATTATTAATCGGGAAAATAACGAGAGAAGAAATAAAAAGTTATAAACACTCAAGTTATCACATTCAAACTACTCACACTGCAAAAAATGACAATATCTTGGCAAGTGAAATTACCTTAAATCTGGTCAATATATCTAATATTTCCAATGTTGACATTGTTGTAAGATTATATTAAGATTATGAAATGTATTTCTAACTTTTTTGCTTGTTTTAAGTACTTTTATTAAGCAAAATTATCATTATATCCTTATCAGCACTGCAGTGACACTGATGTGATGGTGGTGTGTTAATGTGTGTTGTGCTGGTACAAGTGGATTAGACACAGCAGTGCTGCTGGAGTTTAAGTTAAATAATCTTATTCCTTCTGCCATCTCAAAATTAGATATATAGAGACACATTGACTAGATTTAAGATCATTTTAAATTTGTACAGTGCAAAAGATGCTCTTACTTCCCACTAAGATTGGCTGCCTTCACTTCAACATAGATCATCGTGCGCAGTTGTAGTCCAGTAGGTGGAACCACCAGTGGATATGAAAAGTTTGAATCCTAAGAACAAAATATATCATAGCATCAAAGTTGTGGCAAGGATTCTTTAAAGTAAGAAGAAATTTCGCAGGTAAATTGACTCACATTGTACACACTCATGCTTAGAGTGTTGATAAAGCTTCCGTTTTTGTCATTGGTAGCCACCGACACTGACGATCTGAGAAATGAAAGCAAATGCCACAATGAGTCACTGCTGCATTGCCTTGACTAAGGTCATTTGTTTTAAACGACACTAGGAATGGAAGAAATTAAGTAAAGACAATACGGACCAATGAAGGTCTCTATTTATTTACGACGATTTATTCATCAGCGCATTACAGCTTATGATATATACTATATAACAAATGAGGAGAAGGTATTGTGTGAGTTTATGAAGGTTTGTAGGAAAATCAATGAGCTTGAAACTTACGCCACTATCTTGGTGTTGTTGATGAGGTACTCGAGCGGGTAACGGCAGGAGAAGTGGTAGTAGAGGTCCGTGGAGTAGCTGATGTATCCCACTGAGGAGGAGGGCGTGTCAATGTAGCCGGTGATGATGACTGACTGGATGGTGGAGAACTGGCTGAAGGGTCCAGATGAGCTGGGGATCTCGTTTACTATCTGAGCCCCAAAGAACACAAAGTGACTATCAGAACATTTAAAGTGATCAGATTTTCACAATTGTCCCCTGATCCCTAATGTAGTCAATCATTCAAAACATGTTGCCTATAAAGAATGTCGCCATGGTCATAGCAGCCAAGGAAAATTGGTGAAAACCAATGGTCCCTTTCATCTGTTTAAGGTGAAAAGGACAAGGATGCTAGAATTTAACGCCTTTTGGTTCATCCAGTTTTATAAGAGCACTCTACAAATTATATTTTGTAACTTTTTTTTTCGTTATTGGAGGACTTTTTCTTTTGAACTGTCAGAAATCTGTTGAGGGCCTGGCTTCCACGTGAGACTGCCTAGGCCTCCCCAGGCCCCCCATAATTAGACCCCTGCTTTAAGACAGCTATTACAACTGTTTTAAGCTATGCAACACACCTTTGTTCATTTTGATTGATAGCAGTATGCCATACAATGTCAGAAACTACTTAAGCAGGCCTTGATTGAGATTACTTAAGAATTTGACACAGTAATGTAAGGTAATGAACATGTTTTGACTGTAATGTAATGAACATGTTTTGACTGATGAAATACATGGTAGACATTTGATTCTGTGCCAAAACTCTCCTTTAAAATAAAAAATATGAGAAATACAAGAATATTACATAAGAATATTACATAAATTAGATTTTTGCTGGTGCCTTCTCAGCCTTTATGATTTCACATAGTTTTATATCCATTCTCTTCTGGTTCTCATTTTGGAGCATCACTTTCCATTTATTTACACCAACACCCAAGATGTCCTCACCTGCAGGGACTGCCGGCATGGGTTGGCCTGACTGTCGTTGACAGGCAGTTGGAAGCGAATGACTGGAGGGTTAGCGCTGGTGTCTATGGTGCCTTGACAGAGGCTGTTGTTGTGCTCCCCGTTCATAGCCAGGCTCGCGGGATCAAAGCCGGCCCACTGCGCTGTGCAGAGGTTAACGTTCAGAGTGATGACACTAACCCCACAGTCCACCGTCAGGTCGTCATTGTCTGGGGTAAACAGGGAGAGAATTAGGAGCTGGTAACAAAAACAACATGGTAGATAAGATGAGTGTACATGGGTTTGGGACTCACTTGGGACCCTGTTGTACAGGGAGGAGCAGTTATACAAAGAGAGCGCTGGCTGCAGGGTCACGGCCAGCACTGAGAGACTCAGCCATACCAGCATCCTCAAAATATCTCAGATGTCCTACCTTACTGAGAAAAAATGGGAATTGTTACATTCTTATACACTATTGCAGAAAGTACTATTCCAATTATTACATCATTTGAACTAAGAGACATTATCTACTACACATTCAAATATAAAGACTATACTTTAAGCATCTATGCTCCTAAAAATAAAGGTGCCAAAATTAGTTATTTGGAGCAATTCCACACCAAAGAATGCCAAAAGAACCTTTCAATGGATGTTTCTTATGCAAGACGTGTGAGTGTGAAGAAACTTTTTCAAGGTTAATGAAATTCCACATAATGTACAGGTCCAATTAAAGGGCCAATTAAAGGGGTAACACTTTATTTTACAAGTACACTGTAGCTTTGTAGATGTTCAATTTGTCTTTAATTAAAATTCAACTAAACATCTATTAAACCCTAAATCTAAACCTACTCCTAAGCCCAGCCCTTACCCTAATTGTGTTGAGTATCAATACAAAGTTTGTTAATCATTTTGGTATCTGTAGATCATCTACAGGGGATGATCAAAAGAAAGTGTGACTGATAAATATTGTCAACAACCTTTTGCATCCATATAAGAGCCATTATGATCTATAATAAAGCTGTAGTTTGTTATTCAGCAGTTTTCCTGCAAATCGTTTAACCATTCAAATCAAGCAGTTCAGCGAGTGGGGACCTTACCTTGTGCAGTCTTGAGGTGGGTAGCACATGAGAGGCAGTATGAGATGCTGCTTAAATAGTAGTAGAAATATGATGAGTGTGAATAGGTGTGTTTAAGTACAGGGGAGTCCCACACACCTCACCCCTCCTACTGATCTGCTGTGTTGTAAGGTTATGAACATGAACACTCTGGGTGGCTCCAGGTTGGGTGACAAACAAATGACTGCAATACTGTGTTAGTAGGTTTAGACTTACTTTGACATACATGACACTGATTTCTATATTTGTCACACTAAATGGTTTCAGAATCGCATAGAAAATGCAATATGAGACAAGGGGAACTTGAGGAAACACAAAACTGTTTTTAAATGATCATTTCATTTATTGAAGGAAGTTTTGCAGTGCCTATAACACCCATGTGAAAAAGTAACTGCCTCCTTAAACTTAATAACTGGTTGATCCACCTTCAGCAGCAACAACTGCTACCAAAAGCTTCCTATAACTGGAGGAGGTTTTACATTACTGTGGAGGAATTTTGGCCCACTCTTTTTTTCAGAATTGCTTTAATTCAGCCACATTGGAGGGCTTTTCAAGCATGAAGTGCCACAGCATTTCAACGGGGTTTAAGTCAGGACTTTGACTAGGCCACTCCCAAACCTTAATATTGTGCATTTTGAGGCATTCAGAGGTGGATATGCTCTTGTTCTTCGTGTCGTTGTCTTGGGGTTTTTGTTTGTTTTTAAACATAATTTAATAATCATGTATATAACAATAATTATGTATATAACATAATAACTATGACTATAGCAAACTAGAAGACTTAACCCCACATCAAAAAACATCTGGGACACTAATCTATATGCAGACCCACGTCATGTTCAAATCAGAGATTTCTAATACTTGAGAGCAAAGGCATAGCCAAGGGGTGGCCACCATGTAATAGTTTATTCACGTGGAAATGATGGACAGATTTAAGCATGTACTGAGAAAAACCAAGGTGTTGTGTTTTATGGCAGTAATGTTATGTTTTTTCTTTTTTTGTTGTTGTTGTTGTTTTCTTCCTAGCAGTGTGCCACCTCAAAGAGATTCTTTTTTCTCAAAGAGGGTCTTACCTGGCCACACTACTCTGAAAGTTCTAGCTATGCACCTGCTAGAAATCCACCACCTAACATGCCTGACACCCGACAGGACGTTCAAAACCTGCAGCTCTGGCCATTTAAAAGTGAAAATCTAACAAGCTTGGTTGAACATCAGTTGTGTAAACTCATCCACTCCATTGAGATATCCTACAAAATACTGACGTGAATAAAATACTAAAAAAAACGTACACAAAGGAAAGATGTGCTAACGTTTGTCCCACTAATGTTTCTGTACCTTCACTTGCATTACTTACATTTTCAAATGTATATGGGGATCATTTTGGGTCTCAGTTAGTAAGTCTCCAAAAAGCTTTTTTGTGTTAAGAACATTTTAACTGGCTGAGAGAATGTTCAGTGTGTTGCTCGCTCTACCATTAAGACTCATTTTCGTGCTAAGGTGCTTTTGGTAACCCAGCCCTGGTCATTATTGCTGGTTATTTTAACTTTTGTGATAAATATGAATGAACAAACAGCAACTTTAGCTTGGAAAGAAATAAATCAGTAAGATATAAATTGTATTCAGAGAGTTACCCAAGACTAATTTTGAGTAAGTAACTGGACCGAGCGATATTTTAACAATTTAGTCATTGACTGTCTAAACTGTACAAGGCCTATAATGCAGCCATTTTCAGTTATTGCTGATTTTGAAGGGTTTTTTGCCTTAAGTTTTGACTTCTTTAACCCCATTACATGGCTATTGCCCACCAGCAGGCCCAAGGTGAATAGCTCAGCCAGTTTGCATGGAAGTCCCTGTAGGTACTGCATAATAAGCCTGTGTATGTAAAAGCCTGGGATTTTAAGGGGTAAAGTCATTTGCATACTCAGAGGTCAGTTGATTGATTTGGCCAGTCAAAGAGTGTTAAAACCATAAAAAAGCCATAAAACTCTATTGTTACCTGAAAAACCCAGATACCAGCTTCGGTGTACTTCAGAATTCATCCTGCTGCTGCCATCAGCAGTCACCTCGTCTACATAGAGAAGTGAGCCAGTTCCCAGTCATACGTGCTTGTGCCATCATGTGTTATAGATGAATTTGTGTGCTTTGGATCATGAGCAATTCTTTTTTTCTACACATTTTCTTGTACTATAACTCTGGTACTGGTTAATCTTCATCTCATCTGTCTAACAGACTTTATCCCAGAACTACACAGACTTTTTTATGAACTTTTAAGCAAACTGGAACCTGGCCGTTCTGTTCCTAAGGCTAATCAGTGGTTTGTAGTGAAGCCTCTGAGGTCATGCTAGTGTATCATTCTTCTGTCTAAGCATCCTGCATAGTGATTTTAATCTGTTCAGCATGGTTTTCTTACTCTTATTGATTTCTACTTCTCATTTCTTATTGAGAGAATTCTTCAGTCATCTACTATGTAAAACTTACTTCTCCTAAACCAGGTGAATATGAATAAAAAGGAATATGACTCTTAAAGTTCATTTTGAACTGACGTAAACCCTCCAAAGCTGACATTCCGTACTTTAACCTTATCATTATTGATTTCAAGTTCAGCAGCCCAATTACTTATGCATTGCACTGTGTTAAAATTGGGTAAATTCATTTAGACATCATTTACTTTTTATTGTGGCAGTGGTTTTAAGGAACATACTGTAAGGATTAACCTTAAAAATATGCTATATTGGTCAATATTTTGAGAAAACAGGGCAAGTGAGTAATGTACAATGTTCAGGCACTTCATTCTAAAATTAGATTCCATTTAAACAAATGTAAAATAATCTATAATGTCATGTAAGCAAGCTAGGATGTTGTCTATATCTGTTTAAATCAGTAATCAGAAAAGAAAGAAGACAAGAAATTAAATGATAATCTGGCCATTTGTAAATCTGCTTTCATTTGTTGTTACTGCAACCAACCCTAACCTTCTCTAGTAGCCAAATCCTACTAAATCAAATAACGAGACAATTAACAAGACACGTTAAATGTAGTATCATCTCCTGGGAATGGAAAGGCATGAATGTAGGAGATGTGATAGCATGCTACAATATACACACAACACCAAAAATAACCAGCATTACACTGAGTTTCATGCAAGCCCCCCACTATTGTGTTCCAAGAGATGACTGACTCAAGAAACCCTTGCTATGGGCTAAAATGTCTCTCTGAGTGAAAGGTTATTGTCTGACACAAAACAGACAAAGAAATAAGCAGACGTGTTTCTGCCAAAAAGCCCCTCGGTCAGAGAGCACATTTCACATTGTGCACTTCACCGCGTCACACTTTGACTCTCTTCTGTTTTCCGCTTTGCAGCAGAACTGCTCAGTTGAGCATTAAACTTTACTGCGATCCAATATTAAGCTCAGATTGCATTATTCCAAATGACTGTAGGGGGTCCCTCCCAGTGAGACAGTCATACATCATGCAATTGGCCGGACCAATATAAGCATTAATATCAGTGACGTCTACTGATAGAGGTCAAAAGTTTGTTAAGGGACAGAAGATTTTCTATGTAATGCAATGCAATACGGGCAATACCAGCAAGAACCTAAATGTACCAGAGGTAGAGATGCTCTCAAGTGGCACATGGGCGTTGTTCTGATCACAAACTGCACTTGTTTTTCTATTCTCAAATTGGTTTTGTGATTTCCACTAGAAACTGGCTGGGCGACAGGCTTGCAAAAGCAACTTCACAAAAGAGAACAAAAGTTATGGTGACAAATGTCAGTTAATGAGTCGCCTGTAATGAACCCAGCCAATTGGTTATTTATGAAATGAAATCTATCTGAACATAAAGGACTCTCTGTACCTTTTGTTATGACCTCCGGTGTATTCAGAGACACTCAACTGATATAGAGACGGGTAACAGTTTAAAAGAAAAATCAGAATAGATGATTGGAGAAACAAGAAGAGTGCATGCAGGCAGGTGTACTGCATGATACTATAAAGCAAGTAACACGCTACCCTGCTCTGCAGCATGTATAAAAATGCTGAGCTGACCTCGATTCTGGATCATTATTGGGGCACGGATGGGATAACAACTGTTCAACTGACTAATATTTCAATAGTAACAGTGACTAAAGTTACATCTGCATTCAGGTCTATGGGAAAGCAGCAGTAAAGAGTCTGAAGTTGTGTTCAAAAGCATATATTCAATGACTGTGATGCAAAAAAAACAAAAGATCAACTGTTCCTCAGGTGACTGAGGATGTCAAGACATGATCAGACTGTGTCAACAAGAATAGTCAATCCACAACTACATACAGAGTGAGATAAGTATGAATGCAGTGTATAAACACCTCATTATAAAGCTGAATGAACTTTTGAGAGCTTGTTGGTGCAAAAACTATAGGTGCTGAAAATGTGGAAAAGAGTGCTCGAATGAGTCATCCTTCATCATATTCTTCACAAGTGGGTGAATGCATGTGTGCCATACACTTTCAGGGCCAGATGTGATCTCACAACGAGGGTATACACCTGGGGATAACCTGTCAAACTTTTGGTGCTGGAGTGAGGCAAAGTCTGCCACAAACAAGGGCACAACTGCTCTTAAGCCAACCAAGTTCTTCTAGTCCAAGTTTTCTTTTTTTATCCTGTTTCATAATCGATCAACATTTGAGAAACCATTTTTCGTATAAAACAATATTTTTAAGAGGTTTAACTTAGAAAGTTGTATAAAACAGATTCATGTTTACTTTTTTATATCATTAGCATTATACTACATTTACAAAATATGTATTTTATTTAAAAAATACATTTGTCACAGAGATTTTGGTCACTGGTGTTAACAGGACTCTTATGTTACATTTTAACATAGTATTTTCAACTCTATTAAACTGCTTCTTTGGGTCAAGGCTCATCAGAGAGGAAGCATCTCAAGGCATGAGAAGGCGAGTCCATACTTGCTCATTATATTTCATGAATTTATTAATAATTTTGTTTATCAGGCAGCACATAACTTCTATGTGTCACTGGTGTTATGTGCTTTAATGAC